ATGTATATTTCTCTGCAGTCAAATGGTTATTTAATAATAGTCTGACAAGTTAGTTAAAACAACTCTTCTTCTGAAAGCCCTTTTAAAGTATAAAACTGACTAAGCAGGAAATACTTACCGTGTGTGTTCTTTATAAACGGATCGTTTGTGACAATGAAATATTCCCAGGGTTATAGCTCTGTTCCACATTGCCAGGAAGATTGCAAAACCTCAACTTGGATAATCCTCTTCTAAAATAAAAGGCACTGCTAAGTTCTTTGGGCACTGTGTGTCCTGTTTATTTGCAATCTTGGCATGATACATTCTTGTTTTAGTGCCTTCCTTCATAACTATCTATTGCTCAAAAGCTGAGTTTGTTTGTTTAAATCGAAAAATACAAAGGTTCTTTGTATGGAGCTGATCCTGTTAGTGGGGAGGGGAGCATTCATGGTGGACCATTTCCTATACCCTGTTGTCTCGTGATCACCTCCCCACCTCATCCTTTTTCCATTTTAAAAAAATAAAATATTTCCTATTGACACACATTCGCAGGTGGGTGCAGGAGATTAAGTCTCCATACATTGAAAGCACATTTAAAGCACATGGCTTCTCCCCCAAAGAATCCTGGGAACTGTAGTTTATCCCTCACAGAGCTGCAGTTGCCATCTCCTTTAACAAACTACGGTCACTAGGATTCTTTGGGGGAAGCCCTGTGCTTTAAATGTGTGTGGATGTGGCCCAACTACACAAGCTCCAGGGCCGGCTTTTGAAGAGCAAGAAGGGTTTCTCCAATTTTAGTGCTGTGATGTTTCATGCCAATACTGGATATAATAGATACCCACAGCTGACATAATAGGACATCAAAACGTTTGGTGCCCATCCTCTTCCCTGCTGAGTTCAGGACAACCCTGAGACTAAGCTGGGGGAAGGGAGGAAGTTGACAGACAGTGGATGTGTTAGAAGCAGTTGTATTTTTCTAGAAAAAGAGGTTCCGGAACTCACCATGACCCTTGTTCTCTTATACAGTGGTACCTCGGGTTAAGAACTTAATTCGTTCTGGAGGTCTGTTCTTAACCTGAACTGTTCTTAACCTGAACATCTTTAGTTAATGGGGCCTCCAGCTGCTGCCGGGCCGCCAGAGAATGATTTCTGTTCTCATCCTGAAGCAAAGTTCTTAACCCGAGGTACTATTTCTGGGTTAGCGGAGTCTGTAGCCTGAAGCGTCTGTAACCCAAGGTACCACTGTAATGGCAATGGAGAGGTGCCAGAACTGAGTTCCGGTAAGTTCCAGCTGACAAAAGCTCTGGTTCAAAGAAGACAGGCAGGTGGTGGCTAGATGTGGGCAGCCTCCATAGACCAGCCTCTACTGCATGAACTTGCTGACCAGCTAGGAACAGACTCACAGCATAGACGTGTTCTGGCCCTTGGCCATTCTCTTTGCCCAGGCTTCCATTTTACTTTCTTCGTTGTTACATTGAGCTCACGACATGGGTAACCTATGCACATCCTTTGTATAATAATTTGATATCACCACCACAATTCCTGTCACACTCATAGTTTAAGACGGTTGAGGTTTAACATGTTTTTTTAAAAAACCCTAAATATCAGCTTTCCCTTAATGGCTTTTAAATGGAATTGTTACGAGACCTGTGTGCATATGTATGTGTGTCCTTATTAGGGAAAAAGGAGTGATGGATGTAAATCTGGGCGAGGTGCTGTTTTAACAGACCCAATCTAAAAATCTGAACTAGTTTTGGTTTGGAGGGGTTCTCCCCCCCCCCCCCCCGGATCAGATATAATTCTTTAAGGCATGTTACCAGTTCTGATATTATCAGAAGTCAAAGCTGGGAGGGGGCGGGGAAGAATAAGGAAAGAATATCAGGGGAAGTCTTTGGTGAATGTAAAAGCAACAGGTCACCTATCATGCTTCAATCTACTAGATTGCTTTGATGACTTTCAGACATCAACAGCAAGTAGCAGAGCACATTAAATAAGCATTTAATAAAGTCTGCCGGTCTCAAGGGAGGAATACAACTTTAATTTGGAAAAACAATTCATTTCTTTGTGGCTTGGGTTTTCACCTTTGTTCAGTTTGTGTCAAAGCTTAATTCTACCATCACAGATTGAGATAACCATCTGTTTTCCATTTTAAGTTTTGGTTTAATTGGGAAAGGGGTCTCCATGACCTTCTGAAAGGTCGGTCAAATCAGTTTTTATTATTCCTATTATTTTACAGAGCCATTATATTTTCCACTTAGATCATCCATAGAAGTCCTTGAGTGAGAGACCAATCCAATATTTACATTCTATGATTCTCATAGAAAGCAGCTTTTCAGTATAGCTGGTCTATTTAAAAAAAAAAAGAATTTCTAGAGTGCCAATCACTACTTTGGAGGAAGACGCAAAATAAAGGCTCTTATTGAGCCCTTTCTGGGGAAAAAAAAAGAATTATAATGCTAGATTTATTGGTTTTCAACAGCATCTGGGGACCTAATTCCCCACCAGTAGTTTTACATGCTACATTTTTCATCAACATGCGCGGCATTGTCTAAGGTTGCCCTCTTTAACTGTATCAGCCATTTGCCAGAGGAAAGCCATCACATTTGTGCCACAGATTTAAATAGACTTTAGTCAATGTTTTGTTGCATGCCACTCCCCAATCCCTGAGGGTGTTCCAGGCACTCACCCAGGGTCTGTGTTTCCTTTTGGAAATGAGGCACAGCGGAGACTGCAGTGTATTTATGATATATGGCTTATTTACACACACATCTACAATCTGAGCCTACGATGAAGGGATTCACAGCATTAGCACCCCAAGAGGATCTTGCTTCTCCCATAGGTGCTGTCTAGGATTCAAACAGACATCAAACATCGTGCTCTGCCTGCTGCTCTGCTTCTCTGTCACATAACTCCAGGCTCCCTACTCCAAGCTTCTGGCTCACATTGCTTCTCCCTCTCTACCCTGGCTATCTGTCATTTGCTGCTGAATTAATGATCCACACACGTATGGGAAAATAAAGCCACTTCTCTCCCCACCCCATTCCATGAAAAATTACCTGAGATGGACAGTGGTGTTCCACCCATTGGCTCTACCCCAACCATCACATCCTCAGGTCTCCCTGTCCCACTGACCACATGTTGGGAGCATGTTGGTGCACATTTCCAGGTCATGAGGAGAGCCTACACATGTTTATCGGACTTACCTGTTCCGTTTATTTCTCCAACGCATGCGAATGGGGCCAGGACAACATGGGTGAGATCAATGACTGATTTCTCCCATTCATGCTATTGTATATGTGTGATGTATATTTATTAACACCTGAACAAGGCTTAGAAATGTGTTATTTAAAAGGGTTATATATAAATCCTAGGCAGGGCTCTGTAGACAGGATTGTAGCACTGCTTCTCTTCGAAGTGAGACCAGGAAGGGAGGCTAGGCTGTATTTAAGGGATCAATGCATTGTTAGTTCATTAACCATGAAGCCAACACAAAGTGGCCATTTGTGTCTAGTCTTGGTCAGCCAAAATCTATGACCTTTTCAGTTTGTGGATTAGGTCATCAGACTTCAGCCTTGGAAAACAATGAATTTATTGTACATCCAAATTTAATCTGTGGCTTCCTTTGCAGATTTCTTTCCCATGTTGACATCAATGTAAAGTTATAAAAGACATCCATCGTTTTTTAATGCAGGGTTGTAGTTTCATTCCCATGCAAATGGAGATATATAGAATCATAGGTTATTACTAACGTATTGTCATTTCTCTGTTTTGGCAGTGAATGTTGTAGCAATGCTTCAGGAATTCTGGGAGAGCAAACAGAAACAGAGAGGTGTGTTTTCAAGTGAAGGCACAGTGGTCTACGAGTCACTAAATTCTCCTGGGCCTCCATTTGTGAGTTATGTTACCCTGCCTGGAGGAAGCTGCTTTGGTAACTTTCAGGTAAGAATATATGCTGAAGCATTTTAATGAAAAAGGACTCTGCTGCAAGAAATTCAGCCTGTCATCATGACTATCGCTCTCTCTGTTGTAACACTAGAACTTGGGGTCAACCAATGTTGGTTTGGAACCAAAGGAAGTTTTTCTTCACACCATGCACACATTCAGATTATGTCTGGGCATATGGGCCAGTTTTGCTGTGCTGCTGCTTATTTGAGAATAAAACATTTGTGACTTATTTCCACCCTGATTCTTTAACACAACACATGGGAAGGATCAGGGGTGAAGGAGGCAGAGTGGCCTACATGGCCCCTCCACCGACATGTCAGGGACCTCCTGTCAAGAGATGCATCAGTGGGACAAAACAAGTGTATATTATAGATAATGATGCATCTCTAAAAGAATTTCCAACTCTTTTTAAAACTCTTATCTGTCTCCACCCTGCATTACCATGTGTCCTGATCCCCTGGCCTACTTGGCAGACGGTGTACCAAGACAAAGTCCCAAGTCCAGAAGCCAATTCACACAAGCCAAGTCCAGGAAACACAGTCTGGGGTCAGTCCAAGTAAGCCAAGATAGGAGTTCAGTAGTCAGGATACAGTCTAGAGTCAATCTCAAAGTAGAAACCCATGAAGGTCCAAGGAGAATCCCAGGCAAGGTCCCTCAACATGGGCAGTTGAGCAGACACAGCACCTCAGCTCTGCTTCTGTCTTATCCTGTGTCTGCTGATTGCAGCATCTGAGCTTGATGAGGCATGTAACCCTCACCTGCTCTCAGCTTGCCCCAGCTGAGGAATCACATACCTCCTCCAGAGCTAGAGAGCCCCACCTAGCCAGCTAGGGAGCTGGGCTGTGGGCCCTTGCCTGCTTCAGCCTCCTACAGCACCACTCCCCTTGTTCCACATGCCTCAGAGACTGCCATGTTTATGGGAACAGGGGCCCCTGCTTCCTGGAGTGCCCTGCCCACGGTTCCCTATGTCTTAGGACCGGCTGGGTTCATGGGGACGGGGGCCTCTCTGACTCTAGTGAGGGTCTCGCTACTCGGCTTCCTGTGCACTAGCCCCTGCTTCCTGATCATCCTCTGTCACCTGTGAATATTTTCTACTGGGATGGTCGTCCTCTTCCACCCAGTGCGCAGCTTTGGGAGGGACGCACATGGAGCGATGAGAGAGGAAGGGGACACCCGCGTAGCCAGCCAGATCAGCCGAATCAACCCTGGCGATCAATGGGGTGACAGATGTCGCAGCCAGATCGCCCTCAGGTCCAGCGCCGAGGTCCAGCGCCGAGGACCTTCTGGAGGTTCCCTCACTGCGAGAAGCAAGGTTACAGGGAACCAGGCAGAGGGCCTTCTCAGCAGTGGCGCCCACTCTGTGGACACTGGCAGAGGAAGAAGTGTGCAGGGGGAACGCACCGCCCCTGACAGTGCGATCCTGGCGGGGTGCCATCGCGGCTGCCCCCCTGCCCACGCTGGGTGCCACACCCCTACAGGTGGCAAACCACGCCCCCAGGACATGCACCAGCCCCGCCCCCACCTCTCCGCCCCCTGGTGCCTGAGCATGAAGCTCCGCCACTGCCTGTGGAATGCCCTCCCATCAGATGTCAAGGAAATAAACAACTATCTGACTTTTAGAAGACATCTGAAGGCAGCCCTGTTTTGGGAAGTTTTTAATATTTGATGTTTTCTTGTCTTTTTAATATCCTGTTGGAAGCCACCCAGAGTGGCTGGGGAGGCCTGGCCAGATGGGCGGGGTATAATAAATAAATAAATAAATAAATAAATAAATTATTTATTTATTTATTTATTTATTTATTTCAACCTCTCCTTCCCCATCCCCACCTTGCTCCTGGGTGACCCACTGCCAGCTGCACTGCTCACCAGGTTCCTTTTCCTGCTCCCCTAAATACTGCCAGTTCATAACACCATGTTACTGTATATTGGGAGCAACGAGAATTCTACATTCTATTTCAAGAAAAATGCCACTCTTACAAACAACAGAAAACTCTTAACAAGAGAAGTCCCCTTTTGAAATCTGTGCCCCTTGCCGTTTTTCTTCAGTTACTCATTCTAGGCCTTCTGTATGTTGTTTTTAATATTTATTTATCTGGAATATTTATAAACTGTTATAACGTTATGAAAATAGTTCTGAAATCAGATCCTGCCCACCCTTCTGGGAAAACCTGTAGAAAGTTTTCAGCATCTGAGGAAATGTAGGCAGTGTCAAGAGTCTGTCTAACGTCAGTGGCTGGGGTGCATAGGAAGCTCTCAGAAGTGCAGTGAGCAGATTTAATTCAAACTGGATAGAATTTCTTGAACTGGCAAGGTATTTTTAAATGCTTCTAGTGAGACTGGGCTGCCGAAGTTAGTTTTTCCCCCCTATTTTACTTCTTAAAATATTATGTGAGAGAGAATTTGTGGTTAAATGTGGTGTGGTGAATTTGCTGTATGCTTTTTATAAAAACATCTTACTATCTTCTATGCCATCATCGCTGCATAATAGTTCTCTTTGGTTTGCCATCACTTCCAAATATGTCAATAAGCAATCATTTCTATTACTCATGTCACATAAATGTCTCCCTTGTGCATTCCAAAAGAGCTTATAATGCACTTTTAATGCTTTTTGTGTATATGGGCCATCCATTATGTTCAGCCTCAGTTATCAATACTTGTGCATCAATACCAACTTAGCTCTAGTTGTGGTAGCTGTCCAAGAGAACATTGGGCAAGTTACATAGGATTGAGCCCATCTTCTCTTTGGATGGGTCCCTCAAAAGGTTTTGTAAATTGATCCCTCCCAGAAGATCGTCAAAAGGGAGCAGATGGGTCTAATTGCAGAGAGGAATTTCCAAAGAGTAGAGAATCAAGCACTGGAAATGTTTAATACAGATTCCAAATGAACTGTCCTGAACCCCTGGCAGAAAGTCAGTATTTCAAGTCCAAAGTCCAAGTCCAGGGTTAAAGCCACACAAGCAAAGAGCAAAGTCCAAAGGTCAGGAAACAGTCCAGGGTCAATCCAAGTAGCCAAGTCTGAAGTCCAGCAGTCAGAATACAGTCCAGAGTCAAACTCAAAGCACAGTCCTATAAAGGGCCAGGCGTATCCAAGCCAAGATTCATCAACATGGGCAGTTGAGCAGACACAGCACCTCAGCTCTGCTTCCCTTTGGTACTTTGCATGCAGATTGCAGCATCTGGGCTGGATGAGGCATGTGACCCTCACCTGCTCTGAGCCTAGTCCAGCTGAGGAATCACACCCCTCATCCCAGAGCTAGAGAGCCCCACCTAGCCAGCTAGGGAGCTGGGCTGTGGGCCTTGCCTGCCTCAGCCTCCTAGACCACCATTCCCGCTGCTCCGTATGCCTCAGAGCCTGCCATGTTTATGGGAACAGGGGCCCCTCTGGCTCTGCAGATGGGTTCTGCTGCTCTGGTTCCTGTGCATTGACCCCCATCCCCTTGCCATCCTCTTTGAGTACTTACCTCCCCATCCCCTGCTTGCCCTGGTGCGTCCCAGTCCTGGCTACATCCCTTGTCAGGGTCCTCTTCCTGCTCCCCATCATACTGCCAGTTCATGACAATACTGGTGGAGGATGGGGGGATGACGTTGGATGATGTCTTTGGGTTTCTACCAAGCTTGTGATTTAGTATATGTAAGTCGGGAGTTTTTAGTAGAAGGGACAACTGAAGTGCTTAACTTTGTTAAGTTAACGGCACTAGCTGAGCCTGCTATGCATCCTTCTTCATATCTGAAGAGCTGATTACATATGGATGTGATGCCATGACAACAGCTGGCTGGTGATGCTCTTTTAGGAAGGGATAGGCCTCTCCTCCTTCACCTTGCTGGAGGCTGTGTCATATTCTGGGTTGAACAGCAACAAGCCAGGAACTAGCCTGGTCTAGACCTCTCTGGAGCTGGAAGCTGGTTAGACACAGAAGCTGGACTTGCTCTCTGTGCTGAATGCACAGGAGCCCCTGAAGTCTCCTACAGCTCGGAGTTTGGGATGCATGAAACGATACTTTACCTGAGAGGCATGCTTCCCATCCTTAAAATTCTGGTAAGTTTAATAACTTGGATCTATAAGATAGCTTAAGAAAGGTCACAGAATAAAAAGTGCACAATCAACCAACAACCATATTTGACTGGTTCCTTAGCCTACTAGTCACAAACCCTATCTGGCTTCTTCTAGAATAGAGAATAAAATACAGTGGTACCTCGGGTTAAGTACTTAATTCATTCTGGAGGTCCGTACTTAACCTGAAACTGTTCTTAACCTGAAGCACCACTTTAGCTAATGGGGCCTCCTGCCACTGCTGCTGCGCCGCCGAAGCCCGATTTCTGTTCTTATCCTGAAGCACTATTTCTGGGTTAGCGGAGTGTGTAACCTGAAGCGTATGTAACCTGAAGTGTATGTAACCCGAGGTACCACTGTACCTTTAAACTTATTATTTGCTTTGGCTGAGATATTGGCATCTTTATTTTGTTCAATTTGCCCATTGCTCAGCGATGTGTTTGTGGCTCAATTTCAATATTAAGCAGTGGGCAATTTTAATTTTGCAGAAATTTAATGGATTTTTCACAGGCAGGTGAGTAGCTGAGCTACCCACCCCCACCAGGGAATAATGCAATCCTCTGGCCTACATGAATGCTTAGTGCTTGTGAAGTATGTATCAATATATCCACATTTTTCTGGTGTCATTTGCATCAGGATGTCACAAGCACAGCCATTCATGAAAACAGTACTTTACTTTCCAGTTGCAGCAAAGCAGGGCAACTTGAGGCCTATCTGATAAATTTCTGGCTCCCCTTTTGTTGAACTCTGATGTCAACCCACTCATAATGCTAGCAGATGTTTTTGCTTTTCTTACCAATAGGAATGTCACTGCCCAACTATTCATTTAAATATAGTGAAATAGGTTTAATACATCTTTAATTAACAACAAATGAATCCATATAACTTTTTTAAAAAGTATTTTTTACATATGGGAATTAAGCTGGGGGGTGGAATGCCTTAACCACCACTTAACCAATACTATCATAAAGATAAATCCCCTGAACTTTGTCAAAGTTTGGACGCACCTGTGCTGGATGTCAAAGAAACATATGATTTAGGCTGAGTCTAGATATTGTGCCCCCTAAAAGGTGCTCCAGAGGATTAGGAGAGTCCCAGGATATATCATTGGATATGACATTGAGGAAAGGGGCGTGTAGGGGGAAATCTTCTAGCCTTTGTGCCTTGGTTCACCCCCCAGCAAATGCTTGTTGGGGCCCCAGAAACATGTTTTAGCTATGCATAGACTAAAAGGAAGGGACGCAGGTGGCGCTGTGGGTTAAACCACAGAGCCTAGGACTTGCTGATCACAAGGTCGGCGGTTCGAATCCCCGCGACGGGGTGAGCTCCCGTTGCTAGGTCCCTGCTCCTGCCAACCTAGCAGTTCGAAAGCACATCAAAGTGCAAGTAGATATCAGCGGGAAGGTAAACGGCGTTTCCGTGCGCTGCTCTGGTTCGCCAGAAGCGGCTTAGTCATGCTGGCCACATGACCCGGGAGCTGTATGCCGGCTCCCTCGGCCAATAAAGCGAGATGAGCGCCGCAACCCCAGAGTCGGTCATGACTGGACCTAATGGTCAGGGGTCCCTTTACCTTTATCTTTAGACCTCAAGGACTTGTGATGTATAAATACCACCTCACTTAGCATTGCAAGCAATTCCCCATTTATGTAGGCGATTACATTCCAAATGCAGAAACACATAAAATGTGGAGTCACCATTAGCTGTAGGGTGAGGAAAGCATGGCCCTCATTAGCTGTGTGAGGGCCATGCTTTCCTCCGGTTCGCGGTATATACAAGGTTCAGACATCTTGCTGTGCATTAGAAAAACATCATGATTTGAAAACAAACGCACTGATCACCTGAAAAATAGAGAGAACAGTGCAGCTATCATGGAATAATAAATCTGTGTACTGAAAACAAGGCAAATCTTGCAAGAGATATTTACGGAGGTATCTCACTGCAGATTACAATTCCTGTGATTAGACACATGTCAGGTATGCAGCAGCAGACTCTTATCTATATCCTAGTTCCTATTATCTATCAATCCTAGTGATTGATATAAACCTTTGGAAAGGGCCTGTGTTTCATTTTTACTATCGCCCAATGCAAGGATGTTATTGCAATATTATTCATTTGTATTACGTTGTTTTCCTTCTCCTTGCCTGCAACACATCCTCCCACACTTGCAGACTACCTAGCCCCTTTCAGCCTTCTGAAGAGTCATCCAAAACTGCAAAAGGAAATGGTGTACAAACTATGTTTAAACTAGGTACTTTTAACTCCTTTTATATAAAGCTCTGCAAAGTTCTGAGATATGCAATAGGGTTTCTAATATAGAATATGCCATTATTTATTTCAACCCTGGCAAGAGCCTAATTTCATTACCTCGGTTTATTGTGATTTACAGAGATCTTTAATTCACTGGGCATGGAGAATCATCACCTCAAGTATATGAGCATATGGTTTTCATCTCCTTCATTGTAGCCTTAGGTAACTTCCTGAAACCACATCCTTGGCTATTACAAGGCATGCAGTTGTCCCCCAAGTCTCTGCCTTCTGTTTCCATCCAGTGATATTTTGCATTCCCTTCCTTTAATCTCTAGATTCCATACTTAAACTGCTGCAATGATTAAAATAAATAGGGACTTTAAATTACAGAACTCAGACCACATAGTTTTCAATTTTAGCCAAAAGTGAGGGGAGGGGGGAGTTAGAAATCATTTAACCACATAATTTGCCTGGTTTTTCCATCCTCGGGTTAAACCTTCTTTCAGTTAATCCAAATACATTCACAATCTTCTGATTGTGATGCCCTCAGATTGTTCCTGGGATCTGTGTGTGTGAAGAATTTTATACATGCTGATGGTTGTCTACTGGCACTTATTCTTCCCCCTTCCCCACCTTATGTAGACTCCAGTTCCTCTCAGACCCAGCCATCATAGCCAATGGCCAGGAATGATGGGTGTTGTAGTCCAACCATGTTAGGAGGGCTACAGGTTTCCAAACTCTGCAGTTATACTGAATTAGATGGAACAATGTTCTGACTCTGATAAGTCAGCTTCATATTGTTACATGTCACCTCAATCTCCACACCTCTTGTGAGATTCCAAGGGTTCCAGGTTACCCAGGGTTCGTGTTTCCTTTGGAAATGAGGCACAGCGGAGGCTGTGGTGTTGTTATGATACATGGTTTATTTCTACATACATACAAACAACCTGAGAGGGACGCGGGTGGCGCTGTGGGTTAAACCACAGAGCCTAGGACTTGCCAATCAGAAGGTCGGTGGTTCGAATCCCCGTGACGGGGTGAGCTCCCATTGCTCGGTCCCAGCTCCTGTCAACCTATCAGTTTGAAAGCACGTCAAAGTGCAAGTAGATAAATAGGTACCGCTCCGGCAGGAAGGTAAATGGCGTTTCCGTGCGCTGTTCTGGTTCGCCAGAAGCTGCTTAGTCATGCTGGCTGCATGACCCGGAAGCTGTACACCAGCTCCCTTGCCAATAAAGTGAGATGAGCGCCACAACCCCAGAGTCGGTCACAACTGGACCTAATGGTCAGGGGTCCCTTTACCCTTTACCTTTACAAACAACCTGAGGCTGTTCAAAGCACTACACTCAAAGCGGGTTCCGTCTCTCTCATGGCTGCAACGTTGGATCCAAAACTGAGACCTTGGTAAGCAAGGCTTCGGAGGGGGGGCAGTTGTGGGAGTCACAACCAGGGCCACCCCAGTTGTGTACATACCACCACGCAGGTAAACAGAAGTATTTCCTCCCAGAGATTTGTGGGGGGGGGCGGGTGTTGGTAGTTTGGCCAGTATGGAAGCAAAAGATTACTTCAAAATTCAGGATAGGATGAAATTTGGGATACTGGTGGATGCTGTGCATAAGGGAGAGAGAGTAAATTTGGTTTTCATTTTAATAGAAACCTACCAATTTTGATCTTACATGCAAACTGAAAAGCAGCCGTCATTCAGGCATTTCACTTCTTCAGATTTTATGGTGTGGTCCTCCAAGCAGTTGATGTGCATAAAAGTGTCTCTGTTTGGGGGAAAGTTTGCATGAGAAAGCTCTCTATGCTCCATCGGTTTACCTTGCCTACACCATGTGCATTTCCAAATCAGAATGTCTATTAAATAGCAGCACAGAAAGAAACATTCCAGCGGTCTTTGCAACTTACGCTGAACTCGCAGAAAAGGTGCTGGCGTTAAGTTAAAAGGAGGATCCTGTCAGAGCTCGCTCAGAATCCTTCAGATTCTACAGAGAAGTATCCAGATTGTCTGAGTTGTGTGTTTTTAAAAAAGGGAGTTAGGAGAAACCGCATTTGCTGTGCAACAGCTTCTCTAAGTACCACTAATTCTCCTTCAGTTCTAGTGGATTTGGGTGATGTAGGCAATGTTTATCCTAGCACAGCAGCACTAGCTAAAAGGTGTGAATTTACATTGGAGGGTTATGTGTGATGAGCCTGTCAGCAGTTCTTCTCCTCACATTTAAAAATCTGCCTCTTAAACTATTCTTCAGAATTTAAAATGCCGCTTGAAGGATATGCTTGGAAACTCAGCGGCAAACCAATGGCTTGATTGTGACCACAGACCACACAGAAGGATAATGGGGTTTGGGGTTTTTTATTATTATTTCAGTTTGTGCACCTATCTGACTTCTCCCCCATACCAATCTTTCTGTTTCCTTGGCCTCACAGGAGAGGAGAAATAAGCACTCAAAACCAGAGAGCAAATCCTTACTTTGCTTGTTTACTCAATGTGTGTGCATTTGATAAAATATCTCCTGCCAAATCTACTCCCGTAATAACTTCTGCACTAACAAGTTCACTTCTGCGGTCTTTCGTTCTTCATTTCTCCTTGCAGAAATTAGAAGGCTTAGTTTTCCCCTCCATTTCTCCCTAATGGCACAGTGCTGCAAAGTGATCCCATAACTGATTTTGGATTGGCTTCTCCCAAGCCAGGCCATTCATTGCAGGCACCGAGCCAAGCTTGACATACGAAGGAATGCTCTGGCAAATACTGAGGCAAACTGGGCAAGTAGCATCCCAGAACAAAAGCATCCTGGGGGCTTATTTATTTTAGCTCAGGGTGATCCCAGAAGTTTACAGCAAAAGATGCATGTACGGTAAGCTCTTTGGAACAAAAAAATGGCGAAAGATGCAAAGGCAGCCCCGTTACCCAAATAGCATGTAAGGTAGAAGCAAAGGTCTGAAGAATATATTATGAAAGAGTACATAATAAAGCCCTATGTGGCCTAGGACCCACGTACCTACCGGACCGCCTCTCCTGGTATGCCCTGTGTAGGACCTTAAGGGCCACAAATGACAACACTTTGGAGGTCCCAGGTCTCAAGGTGGTTAGATTGGTCTCTACTAGGGCCAGGGCCTTTTCAGTACTGGCCCTGACTTGGTGGAACGCTGTGTCACAAGAGACTAGGGCCCTGCGGGACTTGACATCTTTCTGCAGACTGCAAGACAGAACTGTTCTGCCTGGCCTTTGGTTTGGACTCAGTCTGACCCTTATGTTTCCCTCCCCTTATGGTTTTGATCTATGGGCTACTATTAAAATGAGGCTGCATTTTAAATTGTATTTTAACCCGTATTTTAAATTGGTTCTCCCCCCCCCCATTATGTTTTTATTGTAATTTTATTGGTGTTGGCTGCCCTGAGCCCGGCTCTGGCTGGGGAGGGCGGGGTATAAATAAAAAATTATTATTATTATTATTATTATTATTATTATTATCATTATCATTATTATTATTACAATGCAAGAGACTAAATACCGATAAATGAAAAGTGCATTGCATGAGCCAATCGGGACTAGCCCTACCAGTTGGCAGGGTGAGGTGTCTGCCTCAGGCGGCAGATGCTGGGAGGCAAAAAACAGCAAGGCGTTGGAGGACACAGCTGTGTGTTGCCTGGCCTGCTCTGCTACTTCCATACTTTTTCTAACACTTGTTTTGAGCAGTCCTTGTAGACACCTTTGCCCTGAGAACAATTAAAGGGTTGAGCTTTTAACAAAACTCTTCAGGGCTCATTTCACATAAGTTCCTATGAGTCCTGCTTTCACAGGATGAACTATTTATATTGCGAGAGGAATATTTTGGGAAATTAATTACAGAAGGCTGCAGGAGAAAGTCATGTGTCAAGGAGCTAAACAATAATTCTCAATTTGCTTAAGCTTTTCTGTCTGCTATTACTTTCAGAAAGAGAAGTAAAATATTCCTGATTTGTAAATCTCTTGGCCTGCAAAGATTTGCCATTTGCTTTCAGACTTATGCAGCTTCTTTGATCTGCTGCTTTCCTGGTCTTAATTAAAATAAATAGTTACTTTTATCTTTCCTTTTACTAGGTTTAATCTTCACAAAGATGGTTTAAATCCAAATTATTTGGATAGGTTTCTATTATAACGTTTATTATGAAAAGCACACAAGTCTGAATTTTGTCTTGGAATCTGAAAAAGTAAACATTCATTTTAACCCACAAGGTTGAAGCTAATATAAGAGCTTGGTGAGTTATGTTCCTCGTGGAATGAGCAGATATAGGTGGACTTATCAAAATACAGTTTAAAAAATGGTTGCTGAAGAGGAAAATGACATTTAATTTTACATAAGGTTCCCCCACTCTTTTCAAGCTAAGAATAATAAACACAGCCCAACCCAATAAATGTTTAATGTCCCTTCAGAACATAATAGCCCTGATGGATCAGACCATCTACTCCAGCATCCCATATCTCACAACTCAAAGAGTTCCCACATGTTTCTGGGAAGCCAGGAGTGGAATTCTAACCCAAGAAGAAGGTGGGTCCCGCAGATGATATGAAGCATCCAATACATTGGTCTTGTTGGCACATCATGGTCAGTCAAACTATGTGTGAATGAGCTCGCTCACACCTGCTTTGCTTCTCCCTGGCTTTTTTAGCTCAGTGAGGCTCAATTCTGTAGCCAAGGTTTTACCTATGGTTACAGATGGTGGTTAAGGAAGAAATACCTTAACCACAATCCTGGGTGCAGATGACATGCTAAGCCAAACCTCGTAAAAGGTGCTGAAAGGACACAGAAGGAGCAAATTAAGTATGAGCTCCTCTCCATGGGTTGCTGTGTTAAGGTGGTCCTGGTAAACCAGGGGAGAGGAGCCTTGGGCCTGAAAGCCAAATGCAGCCCTTCTGTCTGGTCCATGAGACTTTCTTCAGGTCATGGGAGAAAAACTAACCACCCTCACCATCTTAATGCCAAGAGGGGATGAGATAAAGGGACTTAGAGGCTTCATTGGTGCCAGACTTCAAGGGTATCATTGTGCCACTGGCCACCATGTTGGCAACCCCTGCATTAAGTCCGCAGTCTGAAATTACCTAACTACACCACTGTGCTATAGCATTTTTTGAGATAGGCGGACAAGAACATTTGGGGAAAATCTGAGTCTATACAAAAGAAAGAGAGTTGTAGAATCAAAAGGGGGGGAAAGTCAACAGAAACTTGGGCGGGAGCATCCAATTCAGGATGACTCATCTCTCAGGAATGGTGGTATAAATATTCCAATTCATCACATTATAAACGACAAAGCGTTCTATGGTGTTTGGATGCTTCTCTCTTACCAGTTGAGGCAAACCCATCCAGCAAAGCTCTTACAACCATTTACTTCTATTTCAGTGCTGCCTGAGCAGAGCCGAAGCAAGACGAGATGCGGCAAAAGTGGCGCTAATCAATTCTCTCTTCAATGAGTTGCCTTGTCGCAGGATCACAAAGGAATTTATTATGGAGAGCGTTCAGGAAGCTGTTTCATCCACCAGTGTAAGTTCAATTCCATGGCTTTGTATGCTGTCATTGGCTGCATTTATGGTAAACTGCAGAACAGGAAGACAATAATTAATGTAAGATTCCAGATAAGAGTATCTCCATTGATGGGCTAGTGCTGCTATGAATCATGTGCCTTTTCTTGACCTTCATTTCCTTCACATGTGGAGTCCACTTGGCTGATGGTGAGGTCAAGGATCCTGGGAAGTGGTTAATCTGGGCTGATCTCCCTCCCAAGAAATGTGGATAAACTTTATATTTCCTGCAACCAGGGAGTCCGTCCTTTCCCTAAAGTTCTATTAGTCTACGTGGCTGCACATACCATGAGTACCTTCAGTCAACATGGAAAATATTTTAGACCCTGTTGCAAATAGACGGCAGGTCATGGTGGCCCCATCCATTAGGCCATGTTTTTAGTAACCACATAATGCTTGGAGGAGAAGTTAACAAGACATACGCTTACATTTCCCAACAATTATCAACTTCTCTCCAGAAAGACTGGAGATAAGAGATGAACTGGGTAGCAGGTCCAGGGTAAGGATAGTTTTTTCAGATTCTAAGAATACAGTCATGCTCGGCAGTGGGCTCAGCAAAAGTGGAGCCTAGGAAGCTGCCTTAAACAGAATCAGACTACTGGTCCATCTAGCTCAATACTGTTTACACTGGCTGGCAACAGCTCTCCAGAAATTCAGACAGGGATCTCCTCCAGCCAACCTAAAGATGCCTGGGATCGAAATTGGGACCCTCTGCATGCAAAGCAGATGATCTGCCACTGAGCAGTGGTCCTTCTCCTACCCTGAGCGCTCTAGTGGAGCCGGGTGCTGGAGCTGTGATGCGAGATGTCGCGTGCGTGCTACGCACACTGGACTCCTCACTTCAAACAAAATATTGAGGGGGATGAAGACACCTCGGCCCCCTAGAGGTAGTGCGCCTGTATCAAAGGAAAATGCATCTCATTGCATATAGCTTGGACATAGTTCCCCTTTCCAAGATGAAACTGGAAAAGTTGACTCACCAATCAATAGTAAAGGTAAAGGGATCCCTGACCATTAGGTCCAGTCGTGACCGACTCTGGGGTTGCGGCGCTCATCTCGCTTTATTGGCCGAGGGAGCCAGCGTACAGCTTCTGGGTCATGTGGCCAGCATGACTAAGCCGCTTGTGGCGAACCAGAGCAGCGCACGGAAACGCCGTTTACCTTCCCGCTGGTACAGTACCTAATTTTCTACTTGCACTTTGATGTGCTTTCGGACTGCTAGGTTGGCAGGGGCAGGGACCGAGCAACAGGAGCTCACCCCGTCACGGGGATTCGAACCGCCGACCTTCTGATCGGCAAGTCCTAGGCTCTGTGGTTTAACCCACAGCGCCACCCGCGTCCCTAGTCAATAGTACATTGATTCAATAAAAGGAAAAGTTATGCACGCTTCACCCTCACTCATACATTCTTCAGAGTATCAGTTAAGAGCAATGTCATTACGGATAAAAGATCAGAAAAGTCTACTTGCAACCTGCTACTTTCCCTGAGGGCCACATTCACTTTTGGATTGAATAATAAGGGAAGCCAGCAATGGTTTCAAGACTAGGGCTGCCATTACTGGGATTTCAAAGGCGGAATTGACGTCCGGGAGGAATTTCCAAAATGTGATCTGGATCTTAGGCAAGTCAATCAAAAAATCATGTGTTTTTTTTGGGGGGGGGATTGTAAAACAAAAAACAAAACTCAACAACTTTCGGGGTGTCCTGGTTTTTGAAATATGGCAACCGTATTCAAGACTAAACCAGTGCTGTAAAGTATCCTAGTCTTTCCATTCACTTTCCCACATCTCTGTTTCAATCCTTTATTCTCTACTATGTTGCTGCCTCTGGCAAGGAAATGAGTTGGCAGGAACTTTTGTCGCTAAACATGCCGAAACCGAATCAGACTGCTAACATCTGCATTTGAGGTTAGCTTCAGTTTGTGTGGGTTGGCTTGGTGATGCTGTGGATTGTCCTCAGCTACTGGGTTCTTTCAGGGAAACATCTGCATTTACTAATGGATACAGATTCCTTGTATGCGCTACGCGTAGCATAGTATTTGCTGTATGTATTTATATAGACACAGAAGCACTAGGTAAATGCAAGCTAATTCTATTGGAGAGGAACTTATTTTCAGTACCTCACCCACATTATTGATTTATTAAAAGCTAAGTGCATTCACAGCCTTGGGATTGCTCTGCAAATAATCAGAAATTAATGTACCGAGTTAAAAGCCTATCAGAAAGTCCCGTGATGCTCTGTAAATGTCAGCCCAGGTTTCAAGTTTCTTAAATCTGCACGTATGAACATCTTGAAACTAGAGATGCCATCTATTTTAACTTCCCCCAAATCTGTCTAAGGTGCAATTAATCCCTGTATATAATCACTCTCTGCACTTTAAAGCGCAAGTGGGGAACCTGTGGCCCTTCTGGTGCTGAATGACGCCATTTCCCATCAGCCCCTTGTAACATGGCCAATAGTAATGGAAGGTTGGGGTTGTAGTTCACCAGATGTAGGGGTTAATTCTGTGTCCAGGGCAGCTGTTTACCAGCTCCATCTGGTACGCAGGCTGAGCCCCTACCTGCCCGCAGACTGTCTCGCCAGAGTGGTGCATGCTCTAGTTATCTCCCGCTTGGACTACTGCAATGCGCTCTATGTGGGGCTACCTTTGAAGGTGACTTGGAAACTGCAATTAATCCAGAATGTGCCAGGTAGACTGGTGACTGGGAGTGGCTGCTGAGACCATATCACACCGGTCCTGAAAGATCTTCATTGGCTCCCAGTACGTTTCCGAGCACAATTCAAAGTGGTGGTGCTGACCTTTAAAGCCCTAAACGGCCTCGGTCCTGTATACCTGAATGTCAGGGAACTGCCATCGGAGCTGGAAGTGGAGGGAAGGCTCCAAAGGGATGGCGGAGAGGGTCCCAGTAGGGAGAGAGGGAGCCCGTCTGCTGGGAAAGGAAATCAGCGTAACACCAGTAGAGAAGGGGGGCAGATGGGGGAATCGGGGAGGAGGCTCCAAGACTCCTCGCCGGAGACCAGCGGAGAGAGTACGGGTACTCCACTGCCCACACCCTCCCTGCGCGGAAGTCTTCTGCGCAGGGAGAGTAGGAGGAGACTTGGCGTCAAGGAACTTTTGTGCTGGAAGAAGTTTAAGAAACGCCCACTGACGGATTCTGCCAGCGACTGAGACAGTCACGATGCTGGAGGCTGTTCAGTCAGAAAGGGTTAACCAGGTAACCTAGCCAGGAGTGGCGGCAACTTACGCACGAGCAACCCCTAAACCCATTACACTGAAGGAGCATCTCCACCTCATCATCCAGCCCGGACACTGAGGTCCAGCACCGAGGGCCTTCTGGCGGTTCCCTCACTGTGAGAAGTGAGGTTACGGGGAACCAGGCAGAGAGCCTTCTCGGTAGTGGCGCCTGCCCTGTGGAACGCCCTCCCACCAGATGCCAAGGCAATAAACAACTATTTTACTTTTAAAAGACAACTGAAGGCCATTGGTGGGCACCAGTTTGGAGAAGTCTGGATGATATAATAACCTAGATTCAAACCAAGTTTCCCCCATTTCCCACTGAATTTCAAATGAAATATCACTTAGAGGGAGAGGATGGAAGTCATTTCTCCTTTATCCCCCATTATCATGCTGAAAACGTGTCCATGTGGATTAGGCGTTTGCAATGGTTAAAAATCAGTAATCTTATTGCAGGCGTGTTACAGCTTCTTACAAGTTGCTCAGATTCAATATTTTTAGTCATTGGCAGCAGGGGGGAAAATACAGATCAGGAGAAGCATGTTGCTAATCCACTGAAAAGTAGAGCAAAATTCATGAAAGTTTTTTTTCCTTTTTTTAAATGCTGGCTCAGTGAAAGACGTTTGCGGCTTGAGACTCCAGAAGATTTAACAAAATCCTCCCATCTGTGCAGAAGGAACTGCTGATAAGCAAACGGGAGATTTGAAACGACTTGGGAAGAGGGTTAAGAGCAGTGTGAGACACACAATTTGAAACTGTTCCTCTTTGATTGAAAGTTATAAGATTCTGGGGAGGTGGGAGGAGGAGAGCTTATAATGTTGGTGTATTTGCAGAGCAGTGGGGAAGGCCTGGGGTATATCTGGTTTGTGGATGAAAGGATGCCTTTCTTTTCAAGCTTTACGAGTCTCATGCCCTTTTGAGGGACAATCCCATACATACATTTTGGAAAATGGACTATGATTTATTTAGAAATGATTTCAAAAAGAAGGTTCATTTAATGCAATTCATCATTTTTAATGGAAATTTTCTAAGGCGAAAAGCTTAAAATTGCAGAGTTTTAGACAGATGTCCCTTGGGATATTTAAAAGCCAGCATAAATATTTCAGCAGCAGTGTGTTAATGTTACTGCATTTCAAAAGCTATAAATTTGCTGACAGTTCTGCTAAAGAAACTGTCTTGTGTACAGAGTTGTGTTCAGCTCTGCATAGCTTCTCTAGAACGTTAAGGATTATGAGAAGAATTATAAGCATTTGACTCACAAATTGTCCCTCCGAATGGAAAACAACAAACCACTGTGTCTAAAGCTTCAGTCCTCCACGTCTACAGGGCTGTGCTATGCTAATGGGTTGCCCTACCAAATGAGAATATGCAATATTATATATTCCAGTAACTTGAATCTACAACAGGTATGGGGAACCTGTGGCCCAACAGGTGTGCCTGGGCTACATCATCCCGAACCATCCTGAGTGCAGCTGGTGGGAGTTAAGAGTCCAATGATATCTGGAGGATCACGAGTATCTGCTCTGCAAGTATGATCCAAACTTTTTGAAGGATGAGCAGGTTCTTGGTGGGTCTGAGTTCCACTTTGACCCTTGACTGCACCCCAGGCTGGCTGTAAAACTGGACAGCTGCTCATCTCCACACCTAGTCCAAGTGTAGAGTTATTCTGCATTGAACTGCAACCTCAACAACAATGACAGCCTTCAAAGACGACCAAGCACCTGTTTGTAACACTTGATGGAATGCCTGTACCCTGAGAGTCAACATCTCAGGCACCCCCTGATGAACCTCTCTGTGAAAAGGTGGGATGGAGGTTTCAAGGGAGAAGGCCTTTTCAGTATGGCTGCTCACGTGCTGTGATGGGAGGGATTGGAGGGAAGGCTGGGGGCAGCAGCCCCAAGCGAGGGAAGGTGCACATCGCAGTGGCCCAGAATGACTTCCATCAGCAGCTCCAGCAGTTCCTATGTCTCAGATTCTCTCTCTCTCCTCCCTGCTCGCCCTCCCTATTAAAATGGGTGCCTCCCATTTTATGCAATTTCAGTTATGCACGTGGGGGCTGAGAATATAACCCCCACGTAAGTGTGGAGACAACTGTAGTGGCCCTTATGTCTATGACGTGCTGCCTGGATGCCCATGTTATCATATTTTCGGTGCCAGGTTAAGATGTTCCTTTACTTCCAGACCATTGATGGAATGGAATGCACTGTTTGTTTTTTGTTTAATGACTTCATGCGAATTTAATATTTTATGGATTTGTTGTTTGCTCGCTTTTGTTTTTAACCAGGGAAATTTTAATTGTGAGATGCCTTGAGTGCTCTTCTAGAAAATGTTGTCTGAGAAATTTTAATAAACTAAACTAAACTGTCCCAGCTGGACTGCCCCCTTCATCACCACATAAACATCTCCATCTCAAACCAGCTGCTCTGTGGAAAAGAATCCAAGAGACAGAAGGGCAGGTGAAAAAAGCCAACTACACAATATGCCTGTTTCTGCTTGGCTGGTTTTGTTTTGCTTTAAGTGTAGGGCTTTTAACACTTCCATTGTATCTTATTCATTTTGTGAACTGCTTTGAGGACTACATGCAAAAATGTTAGGTACAGATTTACTAAGCAAGTAAGTAAATAAATAAATATATAGTTTTGTAAACTGGTCTAAGACTGTGAAGACACCAAACAGAATCTCTTGTTGGATGGATATTCTTGTTGTTGTTAAGATCTGCTGCTGCTCCGAGGCAAACTCAAACCAGACCTACCACAACTAGCTCACACCACCCAGTTGTGGTTATAAGTTACCGCCTTATATTCCAGTTGTTGAAAATCCTCTTTCAGCATCACTGAAGGAAGATGTGAACATTTGAGAAAACCATGTTTTATGTTAGGAAAATGCACATAGAAATATATGTGGTTTAAAACTAGCCGTGATGATGTTTATGTCTCAATGTTATACCCCGGTCTGTAGCCGAAAGGAAGGGAGGAAAAGAGGCTATTGTGAATGGTTGTGTTCCACTTCCCAGATGATGGTGGTAATGGGAAGCATCAAATACTGTGATTTTATTATGGCTTTTGTAGTAGAAAATGGCCTAGTTCAGGCAACATGCTAAATCATAGTTGAGCATTATGAGAATGAGCTAGAGTGAAACTCAGGCTCCCAACTTTCTCCCAACTCTGGCATAACTACAAGGAGGAATCTGGAAACATGAGCTTCTGGTTTAGATTAATTGCAACCTGTCCAGTCAGTTGAACCTGTCAAACTGTGCTTAATGCAAACTGTGCTTTGGTTAAAACATAATTTAGTTCCATAATTTAGGATTCTTCAGAAACTTGCTAAACTATGGTTAATTGAAACTGGAAGAGAAATTTTCCAAATTCCTCCTTGTGACCGTGCCAGAAGAGAGAGAAGGAAGAATGCACAAGATTCACTGTAACTTGTTCTGTAATTCTAAACTATGGTTTAGCCTGATGTCTGAACATATCCAATTTGTAATCTGAGGATGTGGAAATTTTTCCCCACCTAAGAATGTGTTTACGTAATTCAGAAAGTTCCTTTCTTCTTGTTAAAGGGTACTTTAAATGATGCTGATGACCCAAGCACAAGTATTGGAGCCTATCATTATATGCTGGAATCAAATATGGGGAAGACAATGCTGGAATTTCAGGTACAATTTAATTCTTTCAGACGAGCCAGTTTTTTAAAGGTTTGCAGCGCAATCTGTATGCTGTGTTCAGTGGGTATATGACTTACTGAAAAAAGGATCTCAGCCTCAATAAAACGTATGGCTTCATTTATGTTTTGTACCTCCCTCCATTTCTTCCAACATGAACATTTATGCTATTCATACAGAGTAGGGCAGAAAGCAGCATCTGAAAATGTTCAGCTGAATATTGAAAAATGAACTTGCAAAAGTAACTAAATAAGGCTTGCGGCTGTGTATGTGCACATGCTTTTTCCATATATTCTGATTTGGCTTTTTCCCTTTGTACACTGTTTTCCAGATTAGATTCCAGTTGGAGAGAAGTTACCCTTTATTCATCTTTACAGTGATTTAAATGTGTACTGGAAAACTAACTAAGCAGTCTGAGCTGATACTACTTGATGTTCCAAAAAAATTATTCAAGTCATATTTCAAAATCTGCCCCATGAACAAATTTCCTTTACAAGTATAGCTATACCAGCTTTGCTTTTGATGGTTGTTTTTCTTGTGTCTGATGAAAGGCAGACCATGGAAGTTTGACATAGCAATAGAATATCCAAGTGGAGGCAAGATTGTGCCTTTCTGGAACAGATGACAGCATGTTTGCAACACAGAATGCTCATAAAGTGAAACACTGGACCCCTTCCAATTTAAGTCTCATTTCAGACAAATGGTGATGCTTACACATGCCCCATTGTAACCCCATTGCTATGAAGGCAGTGTCTAAATTCTTATCTGGGTCCACTCTTCCAAATTGTTTTCTACATCCTTTTGCCTAGGACAATGACCGAGAAAACCATAAAAGATAATAGAGAAAGAGGGGCATAATCATTGTTCCAGGTACTTCCATGGTGCACTGAATAACTTTACTTTTATAATACTGCAATTACAAAAGTTGTTCTATAATTTAAAAAATAACAAAGAGATAGGCAATGGTAAACTAATAATTGCCAGTAATAGACAAAATAATTGTCTCAATACATACTTTAGAATCTCTCTCTAGTTATTAATGCTACTCTCTTGATAAATGTCAGTATTCCAACTAATTTAAGGAGCAGCATATATCGGGTTTTTGTTTTGTTTTGCTTTTTGTTTGAAGGGCAAGTGATCTACTGTGACTCAGACTTGGTTCCACTCTAATCCACGTACAAGCATTCAATAATGTTTCAGAAAGTCAAAAGAGTTCAGACATATTAGAGCAATGACCTTGAAGGCAATACAGAAAGACTAGATAATGGCTCTTTCTTGTGAACTCACACAAAGTTCCTGTGCAGGTGGAGGAATTAGTTCCATGGCTGGAACACGAGGTTCCAAAACAGCCCTTCCATGATGCTTTTCAAGATGGAAAAACACATTTGAATCTAACCCAGTTCTCCCACAGCAAATCCCCATTATTGTTTCGCATACTGAAAGAGAGATTCTGTTTTGAAGCAGTTCAATCAGAAGCCATTGGTTTTTCTTCCATAGGAACTGATGATAGTCTTTCAGCTGCTGCACTGGAATGGAAGCCTCAAAGCTTTGCGTGAAACAAAGTGCTCTCGACAAGTGAGTAACACAGCACTAATAGTGCACCCGTATCCCCAACAGCAAAGCTATACTCACATCACCTCTACCCAGTATGTTCCTTATGTTCTATAGACATGGTCCATTCTTAGGTGCCATTGATGGGAATTGAAATCGGTGAGATTTTTAAATTTAGGCACTCAGTGAGTCCCATTGAGTCTGAGACATCTCCAAAGTTAAGTGTGTCCACAAATTAAGATTCCTCTTTAAAGACTGTAATGTCATTATGGATGTTCTAGGTTTAAAGGGATCCATTAGTGGACAAGTGCAAACCTAGGGTTGTATCCCAAAAGTCCCATTAGCACAAGGACTTCTATCTACACAGTGGACTTCCCATCCTGAGTCCCTTCTCCCCAAATCTGTTCTATGGTTTTCCCAACCTTCCAGAGCAGTTGAGGAGGAAGAGAGACATGGGGAGAAGAGAGGAAGAGAAAGTCCTGTTGCACAGGTGGAAGTGCTTGAGATAACAGGATGAATTCCCTGGATGCAACCCATAATTCTTTTTAAAAAAGAATTATGTAATTTGTATTATAAATATATTAATGGTTTTTTTAATAAAAAGAACACCACTGCATTAAAAAAATTATATACTTTCATAATTGCATAATTAACGTTTAAATAATTATGTAATGAGTTGTCTGTTTTAAATGTTAAGACCTGCATATTCAGTTACATGCAAAATTAATCTCTTTTAAATAACCCAGTGATTAAGGACTATGCTCACTTCTAACAAACAGACAAAGGCAGGATGCCTTTGAATGCCAATTGCCAGGAATTGCAGGTGGGGAGAGTTCTGCTTGTGGGTTTCACATGAGCATCGCTTGGTCACTGTGTGAACAGAGTGCTGGATGAGATGGGCCTTTGGTCTGACCCAGCAGGACTCTTCAAATGTCCTTAAACCCAAGTGATGAGCTGATAGTTACATAGAGAAGCATGAATGAATGATGGAGCAGCAGGTTAACAAAACCAAATTTGCTATGGGTTTCAGGTTCTATTATTTCAAATAGTAATGGGGCAAGAGAGCAGTTCAGCTCGCGCAGGGCAAGCCCTTGCTTTTGGACATCCAGGCTCCTGCACAACTAGAATTTCTTCAAGCTACCTTAACTACAATTTATTTGTTTGACTTCCACAGTCAAACATGTTTCCAATATCTGTTCTGAAATGTCCATGTCAATTGCGAAAGATCCCAGAGCACAACCTAACCCATTATTTTAGAATCCGTTGCATTTTACAATAGTAGGGAAGGAGAGCTGGAAATAAGGCCGACATATTTCACATCTGGCAACCAATGTGCCCCTTTGGTTTCAGATAGTACATGGGCAGACAAGTCTAAAAAGCCCAGGACACAAATCTTCACTGCCCTTTAGCAGCTATGGTGGCTAGAAGTATCAGAGGTAATATATTTAGTGTTAACTCTGGAAATGTATACTCTATTCTGACCAAACTGAGCCTCCTGATATATATTGTGCTCCAAGAGGCTTAGTTTGGTCAGAATCAAGTATACATATTCAGAGTTAGCACTAAATACATTATGGCTGGTAAATAAACCACCATAGCTTCTACAGTAAGGTTACCAGGCGTCCCTGTTTCCCGGAGACAGTCCCCGGATTTACAGATCAGTCCCCTGACAAAATCCATCTATTTTGTAGGAAGTCCCCGGATTCATTGGAAAAAAATCTGGTACCCTTATGCTACAGGGTCATGAAAATGTGTGTCCCAGGCTTTTTAGACTCATCTACCCATGTACTATCTGAAACCAAAGGAACACATTGGTTGTCACATGTGATTCCCCTGTCCCTGCAGCTCTCCTTCAAAGCAATGGTGTATTTGTTACTAACTCTTTATTTTTTTGGGCCGGGCAACAGGAAGTGATCTCCTACTATTCCCAGTACAGTTTGGATGAAAGGATGAGAAGTCACATGGCTCTGGACTGGCTTATGAAGGAGCAAGAAACTCCGGGCATTATTTCGCAAGAGCTGCAAGTGGCCCTTAGAGAGCTGGAAGAAACCCGGAAAGCTGGACAAGAGCTGCGGTTTTACAAAGAGAAAAAGGAAATACTGGGCTTAGCACTGAGCCAGCTGTACAGTGATCAAGCCGCTGCCTCTTCAAATGATGATCGTATGAGTCTAGCCCTAAGTGGCTATCGCTAGGGCAGCCTAGAGTGCCGTTTGTATGAAACAGGTTTGCAAGGCTGGTCTGTAATGAGCTAATCCTGGATCATTCAGATCAATGTGAAACAACAGCTTGCCTTTAGCTGATTGTATAATGTACAAAGCAGAAACTCTCAAGTCCCCCCCCCACAAGGTGAGCAGCATGAGTTCCAGGTGCATGTGGAATCCACACATCTCATGTGCAAGTTCACAGAATGCGTGAAGAAGCATTACTCACACATGCTTCCAGTTTCACTGCATGTGAAACAACTAAAGCTGCATTACAGTGTGAAATTCTGCGTGACGAAGAAAGATTTTTAGAATTATTATTTTTATAAAAAAATATAGCTTAGGTTTGTAACTTCTTAAAGAACAGCAGCAATCATTTAATAGCGTTGTATAATCAAAGTAAGTGTGGCGGAATTGTTTAGTGTGTGAATTGAATTAATACATCTGAGAGATGTACAGAAATAAGGAGTGAAATGTCCCTGCAATAAGCAAAAACTGCCGGTTGATAGATATATATATATATTGTTATTTAAAGTAGTGGTTGAAGGGACAACAATAGGCTTCTAAACTTAGGGAAATCTATGACACAAAAGCAGAAAGCCAGTTGTTATACTTGAAAAATGACCAACACGGACATTCTTCTAGAAAAATAACTTGAGTCCTGATAATCAAATACATTACCTACAGCAAAACCTGTGTAGTTTTTTTTTCTTGTTTACATGAGTAGTAAGTAAAATAATAATAAAATAATAGGCCAGGATTTGCAATTGGTAAGCCCATTGCTTCTGATAGGAACACAAATCTCAACTTTTCATTATTTTTGCTCATTGTACTGTATCAATACAGCAAATGAGAAAAAGATGACAATATATTTGATCAGCACCTGGAAGCAGTGGCTGGCTGTACCCAGGGCCACATTCAGTTTTCAATGCCCCAGTAGTAAGACATGTGGGGCTACTGCGTTTCTGAACATCAGAATGTCATCAAAGAACAACTGACAACATCAATGATAATATTTATGTGTGATGAAATCAACCCTTTTGCAGGGTAAATGTAATGAATTGCTTTTATTTCTTGGCAGGGAAACAGACAACCATGTTTAATTTGTTTTGCTCACTACACATACTAGCTTCCTTAGCGAATGAGAAAAACAGCTTAGGAATGATTCAGGGTTTAATGGCACTGAATGAAGTAGAGTTGTACCTTGGTTCTCAAACAGAATGCGTTCTGGGGGTCCGTTCGACTCCCGGAACCGTTCGAAAACCAAGGCACGAGTTCCAATTGGCTGCAGGACCGTCCTGCAGCCAATCGGAAGCCACATTCAGCTTCCGAAAATCATTTGGAAACCGGAACACTCACTTCCAGTTTTCAGTCGTTCAGGAGCCAAAATGTACAAGTTCCAAGGCATTTGGCAACCAAGGTACGACTGTGCTGCTGCTGCAGCTGAGGACCAACCAACTTAGTCACAAAATTGTATGCTTAAGTTCTGGGTTCCAGGTTTTTGAGAAATCGCCAGTGCCTGCAAATCCTTTCAGCTGAGCGAGATCTCACTTGCCCCACACCTGACATTATATAAGACATTGTATGGAAGATGGGCAGGTGTGGCTTAGTCAAAATGGCCCCAAGTGCCAATTGGGGAGGCTTGGTGAACCTATTAGGCCAGTGAGATGAAGGTTTCCCATCCCTGATACAACAACAACAACAATTTCAGAAAGTTCAACTGTACTTTGGAAGTAAATAATAATAATGACTTACAATTTTGGTCATGATTTTCAGCATTTGGTGAAGATCTTACTAAATTTGAACCAAATTATTGGATGTTGTCAATGCCTACCTAAGCTATCTCTTCCACTGTCATGATAAACACTGCTCTGCTTATCAAGCACAATGCAGCCAATCCTTTCCGCTAGTTGTGCACTTGTGACTCTTACAGAAATTTCCATTGCAAGCAGATCAGATACACATATTCAGGCCTTTTTTCCAGCTGGAACAGGTGGCTGCAGGTAGCATGGCGATCGGTGCAATGGGGTGTCCCCCACCAAAAAAACCACAAGTTCCAGCACTTCTTTTTCTAGAAAAAAATGCTCTGTGCGTATTATGAAGAGCCCTTGACAATGAGTTATCAACACTGTGTTGCAAAAAGAAAACCAGGCTGTTCTTTCAAGATTCATCTATAGCTGTCATGGGTCTGCTGCAGCAAATGGCAAAGAAATATAATACTGAGAATTAGAATCAACCATTAATTTTAAAAAAGTATTTCACTGCCTCACATCTTCTGTATCTTATTTGATCTCACTCAAGTGTTGAATTTGGGCAATCATTTTGTAAAATAAACTGTTGTGAAAACATTTCAGGAAAAATGTGCTTATTGAGAGCATTCCACATATTGTATGCGAACATTACAGTAGGCTGCTTCTCTCTATGGTCCACGTGAAAGAAAGTAATGCTTAAATCACTAAGCTTAAACATGCTATGGAATGTCAATGGAGAAGTAACCCCCCCCCAAAAAAAAACCCTACTCATGCACATTTCTTATTTACTTCTATCCTAAATATTCTTGACTTTTTCCAATCTTGGCAGCAGTTCTTAAAACCTTGACCTCCTGAACCATAAAATTGCAACCATTTTTTTTCTTCAAGTTTTAAAAAAACAACAACACCTGGCCAACACTGATTTTTGTTTTTGAAAGGGAAAGTTACCGTAGTTTTATTTGCTGAATATTTCAGTCAACAGCCAAAGAGAGACTGCTTTTGGTGAAGCCTGAAAGGCCCTTTCTCTCTCTCTGAGTGGGGCTGATAAAATGTTTGCCAGAGAGGAACTCACCTTTCCTCTTACCTCCACCTGCTGCTCTCCCCTCTGAAACTTCCCACACCAACTGCTTTCAACCTTGCCAATGTTTGAGACCTATAGTTATCTTGCAAACATGGGACTGGAACCCCACGGGAGCAAACGCAAGTTGGGAGAAGAGGAAGCAGAGGAAAATGGATGGCTGTAGGAAGGGTTAAGCACCCCCTTTTACCTCATCACCTTCTCCTCTTCAGATTACCTTCTCCCACAGCTCCTCCCACAGAGGAGGCAGTTTCATTGCACACAGCAGGTGCACGACTCACCGTTTTCTCTCTCAAGTTTTCATTCAGTTTCAACACCGACATTTTCCCATGGCAGTACCTGAAAACTGGGTGCCCATTCTTCCGGAAGCGAGGCCAGGTTTGGTTTCACCAGTTCTCTGCAAAAAGCCAGGGCTCCTTTGCTTGGATGCCATTAAAGAGCGGTTTAAGGAGGCTCTGCCTTGCCACATGAGCTACTTCGTCCCAGGCATTGCTGTTCTCGCACACGTTAAAGGCTGGGTTCGCAGGATCCAAAACAAATGGCCTACGGGAGGAAGAGAGGCATTGTCCATATGAACAAAGACAGGAAGTGCTGAGAGCCAGGTGCCTCTTTTACAGTACATTCAAATGCAATGCTGTTTTCACACACAGAGCCTATTGTTTCAAGTCCTCTTGAGCTGGATAGCTCACCCGGTGTTGATAACACCAAGGTTGCAGGTTCAATCCCTGTATGGGACAGCTGCATATTCCTGCACCTGCAAGGGGTCGGACTAGACGATAATCAGGGTCCCTTCCAACTCGACCTACGATTCTATGATTCATCAGCTGAACGCATCAGCTGAAAGGAAGTGATGTCATTTCTTGGGTGAAGAAAGCACAGATCCAAAACCATGGGAAATTGCAAGTCCAGGAATGAAGGCAGGAGCCACACACAAAACTGGAGCTGTGTGGGTGTGGGTGGAGAGAGAGAATTATCCAGCAGTATGAACTAGACATTTTCCAGAACAAAGTACAACATTGCTCTTGTTCTGGTAAGGGAACAAACATCAAAAGACAAAGGAAGCAGCAGGGCAGTCTGGTTGATTTATAAGCAATGGCCTTCACAGAATCAAAGGCCCTGCAAAAAGCAAAAAGCCACAAGAAAGCGCCCCCCCCCCCACAACAGCACCAGCAAGCAATATTCAATGTCATGAACTGGCAGGACAATGGGAGGGGGGAGGAAGAGGGTCCTGGAGACTGGGACTAAGATGCACTGAGGTAAGCTGCCGATGGGGAAGGAGCAAGGCCATAGCTAAGGGGTGGTGAGGTGGGCCCCTGCCAAGGGCGCAGGTGAGAGGGGGGTTTGTCAAAAAATATGTCCATAAATATGTCTAGAAATAAAAAAATTAATTATTGCCTCATAAGAAAAGCTTTTAAATAGAGGGTGAATGGGGGGAGGGGAGGGGAAGGGAGGCGGAAAGAATAACTAATACGTCCATAGGGGGCGCAATTTGGACGGTTCTGCCAGGGGCACAATATCACCTTGCTGCCGCTCTGGGAAGGAGAGGTTGGTGGAATCAGCTTTTCCTAGCAGTGGAAGCTCTAGATTAAATTTCAGCTGCTGGGAGCATGTACTAAAGAGGCAGACAAGTATATAATGGGCTTACTCACCTGGTTTGCTTTAGAAACACCTTTTGGAAAATTGGAAAATTGGGTCTGTAATGTTTGTGCCATACAGCACAGATTTCTTGATACTGAACCAAAAGCTTCAGGACAGCTCTCATTCCCTGTACATAGCTGAAAAACATTGGTTTCCCAGCCAACTCCCATACATAGATGGTGATGAGTTCCACAGCGTAGGAGGAAGGGAGCCTGCGAAACCTAAACACACACACAGCACACATTTAGCAGCTGCACAGAAGGAGCCGCCACAGGAAACGGTCAAAAACAAAAGCTGTAGATCAAATAAAGGCTGGAGAGACAGTAGCAAAATCCAATTTGGGCCTCCCGTTTGATTTAATATCCATGCCTTGCAAAGAATGATAAGCCAGGAGTAGCTAAGAAAATATACTGGTAGATTAAATATTGTTTCCCCCCTGGTATGTATGCTCTCTCTTTTTGCAAATGTGTGGGTCACTCGCTCACTAGAGGTTGAAACAATGCAAAAATCTGGTCCAGTGCTCAAAAGCTTGCATTGGCTGTCCATACTCTACTAGGCCAGGATCCAAATTATTGGGTTATTTTGCAAGGCCCTTAACAACTTGGGTTCAGGATTATTGAGATTTACAGAGAAGTAACTGATAGTGGTCTCCCATGGCAATTCATATCCATCAGGAGTCATTACTGAAATGAGGCTGCATTTTAATGTTGTACTTAATCTTGTTTTTAAGTTGTGTTTTAATCAATTGTTTTTACCTGGTGTTAGCCTCACTGAGCCCGGTCTTGCCTGGGGAGGGCAGGGTATAAATAAAATTTATTATTATTATTATTATTATTATTATTATTATTATTATTATTCATTCTGTATTATGTGCCCAACCAGGTCAGACAGGCTCCCTCTCTGTTGAACTTCTGGCACTTACTGAAGACACTTACATTTTTTGTTCCAGCAGGCATTCTAAACTGAATTGTGATACTATAGCCTTAACCAATTTTTTTATTTTCATTGCATTTCTTGTGTATAAATTGTTTAAATCAAAGGGCTCCCAAACCATGGTCAGTGGTCCAGCAGTGGTCCGTGAACTTCATTCAGGTGGCCATAGGGCATCTGGCACAGTACGTTACAATTGCTACAGCAGGCAGAAAAACCATTAAGTGTTCTGCCAAGAACCTCATCAATTTTCAAGTGGTTCATGGGGAACAAAGTTTGGGAACTGCTGGGCTTAATGGCAACAGCAGGAGGAGGAGGAGGAGATGATAAATGAGTTTAGTTGTGCTTGGATACGAGCAACCTACTTGTTTTCTTCTCCTGGTGTTGCAAATGAAGTTTTGAACCAGTGCTTCATTAAACGTATGAGATCTTTCACCCTCTCTGTTGACGCCTTGACAAACTCAACTTGGTGCTTCAGCAGGGCCATAGTGTACAGCTGGATTTTATCACTGTCACTGCAGTGGTAGAGCTTGCGGTAAAAGCCCTCTTTTAAACCTGTTAACACCAAACAAGAGATAAGGCTAATGACACTCCCTTGGTCTCCATTTCTTAAATCAAATCGGACAGATTTCGGGCTAATGGAAATATTGTTGCAGTCTGAATTACAATAAAGGTAGATCTCCATAAGTATTATTGGACAGTGAGGGGGTGGGAGACACTACCCCCCAGCCAGCTCTTACCTGCTGATAATGTAGGCCCAAACATGTCATAACAAGGCATTATGTCAAACAAGTGGCCGTGGTGATCTTTATAACACTTAAAGTAGAACCTTAAGGAAAATGGTGTCCTTTCCTGCAATATTACCCTAAGTAGAAAAGAAAGGGGAGAATAAGGCTTTAATTCTACCTCTACTTACCTAGGAGTAAGCCCTATTGAATTTCATAGGGCTTACTTCTGAGTAGACATAGTTAGAATTTAACTGTTAATCAGTGGCATGCTAATGACTTTACAATAATTGGGGGAAATGAAGGGAGAATCTCAGTCCAAACCTGTTGATCCAGGAAGGTTTAGTTAGTCTTTTCCCTAACTCTTCTAGTACTTCGGGAATTTTTCTTTGGCAGTCTTCTAAACTTTGAAAGGCACCGCTAAAAAGAACTATGTCCACATCAGATGAATCTTGCACATCAGTTCCTTTTATATATGAACCGCCCTGTTACGTAAGATATTAACAGAAAGTTGGTTAGTCCTTGACTTTAACCCACCTAGTACCAATGTTCCCAAGGAAGAGCAAGACTAGCCATGTGTCAGCTGTTCAACCCAGGCAATCTGCATCACTTTGGATCACAAATGGAGGACACTGCTTCACTGCTTATGGAGCAGATGACTCTGAATGGCTCCCATAATGTAGGCCATATCACATATTCATTAATGTGATGACTCTGGTTCCAAGCATCAGACAGGACTTTGATACAGAAGAGGAGCAGTTAAGTCTGTCTTACCCACTGCAACTTGGGCAGAAGAGTGAGACCCAGTCCCTGATCTCAACGCTGGAACTGGACCTTGAGACCCTGGTGCCATAGCGCCTAGAAATAGGCCCCATCTGCAGCACACAGTTAGAAGGAGTATCATGCAGTTTGAACAGCCGTGGCTTCCCTCAGGGAATCCTGGAATTTGTTAAATGCGCTTAGAATTGTTAGGAGGTTCCCCTTACAAAGATACAACTACCAGCATGGTTCAGCATTCCCTCCCTCTTCTGATGGAACTCTGGGAATTGTAGCTCTATGATACTGCTTTAAATGTATAATGCAGATGGGGTGATAATACTTCCTGTGCATGTCGTACCCCGAAATGAACCAAGTCTCATTATGTTAGCCACCTCCCATTTTCCCATACATGGAACAGATGAAAGTAAGGGAAAGACACACAAGTGCTTGAATCCAAACCCAAGAGCTGTCCTTTAAAGTTATCCACTCCACTTCTTATGGATTGAGGGTAGCATGGAACCTGGGCCCATAAGGATATAAATCTTCCTTTGGAGCTAGGACTCCATCAGAACAAGTTGCTTGCTCCCAATGATCTGTCCATGGTCCTGCATGCCATGTATCTGACCCTCTTGTTTTTCCTGAAATCCAGACCCCTATCATCATCATGGACTGTCATCTCCCTTAATTCTGGTTCTTCCTATCATCTCCAACCACTGGTTGGACACTCTGCCTCCTGGGCCATGCGTAGCCTCTGCCACCTCTGGACAAGACAATTAAGCCATGCAAGTTCTTGAAAGTGGTGTTCACCTGGGACATGGCCTATCATAAGAACATTAGACAACCCTGTTGGATCAGGCCAATGGTCTATCTCACCCAGCATTCTGTTCTCACAAGGCCTATGGGAAGCCTGCAAGCTGGACACAAATGCCACAGCACTCTTTCAGCAATTCCCAGCCACTGGTATTCAGAGACAAACTGTCTCTGTCAGCGAAGGTAGGACATAGCCTTGCTCTCCATAAATTTGTCTAATCCTCCTTTAGAACCATCCATGCTCCCAACATAAATTGTATTGGGTTGCAAGCCAAGTAGCTGCTTCACTCATGACATCTTTCCTCCATAGAGATAACACACACCAACACAGTCTGCTGTGCTGCGTTATGTCAATGTGAGTGTTTACTTTGCCCTGAATACAGCATATGCATGTACATATCAGATTCTCAGCTGACATATTCATGGCAAGTCACTAGGTCTTGGCTAACTTCTTATGTCTTTTCCCTTACATAGAGATTATCAGTGATGAAGCAGCCCCAAGCAGCTTAAGATCCTGACTTACCAAAGTCCATTGATTGCAATGGGCCTACTCTGACTTAGTCAAATACCACCTTTTTTTATTTAAATGTTTTGCCTCATGCCCCCAAATTTCTCTGCCCATTGCTGTATTTGAAGGGAAGATTTGCATACTCCCCCCAAGCAGGAAACTATTGCATTTTCAATTCTTATACAATAGCATATCCTCGCAGCAGGATAACCTTGAGGGAAATGGGATGTGTGCAACAAAGAGGGAACTAATGCACATTTATTGCATAAACACACACACACACAAAACTGCTTGCAAAGGTCCTTAGACATGAAATACTAGATACAGGAAGTGCAACACTACTGTGATCAATCTCAAGTAGAATGTGGCATCATCAGTACCTTCGTAACATATGTAATTGGTAATGGAAACACTTCTTCAATGAACTCAATGATCTTTTCAACTTCTGATGCACAGCCCCAGCTTACAGCATTTGAGATTGGTCGGAGTTTTGCTTCCACAAATTTCGTTAATTCCGCAGGTGTTTTGTACTCTAATATGTTTTCAGGTTTAAATGCAGTGGACATTTGAGCTATACAAGAGAGAAATCAAGGTGAATTACGAGTTTTTGCCTGAAAAGGAAGGGATGAGGAGAAGCTCTTAAAAAGTAAGGTTTAAAATCGGGTGGTCCTTGATAATGCGAGCACTTCAAAACAGCAGTGCTACCTCTTTTGCTGGCAGTGAAGTGATGCTCTTGTTTCTCATGGTACTCCCTGGCATGGGCTGTTCCAAACTGCCTGGGGCACATCCTACAGGATGTCAGTGTTTCCGTGGCCACAAATTTTGTTCTCCTCTTACGAGTCATATCCCAGTAGCTTCTGTGATTGCTGGTCAGTATCATTTCATGATCAGTCTGTTAATAAAGAGAAGAGATGAACTGTATATATATTGAGCTGAGATGCAGGGCCTGGAAAGAGATTACAGATGGGAGCAAGGAAGTATATGTGGATAGTATTCTAGTCTTTAAAATGGTATAGCAGAAAGTAAAATGCCTTTTTTTATTTGATATCTGGTTTTAGGTTTGCCTTTCTTAATGTAGGCAGGTGTATACAACTGTTTACATTTTTATCAGCCAGACATTTTAATCATTTTGTACTATTTTTATGATATTTTCTATTTTATTGTATATGCTGCTGTACACTGCCTTGTTATGCTACATGAACTTGTGATAGACTAAATGTTTTTACAAATAAATGGATAATAATTTATCTTCTCATATTTATATACCGCTATTTTTTCCCACATGAAACCAAGATACCCCCCCAAAAAAACACACATTTATTTGCTTGAACAAAGGAGGAGGAAGATGACACGTTCCACCTTACCTTTGCATGCTGCAGAAGACACTCTCGCAAAACCTCCTTGCCACAAGTTTCACAGTGAACTCTCCCAAGATGTTTAGCTTGAAAATGGTATCTCAGAGCTGTGCGGCTGACAAAGTCATTCCCACATCTCTCACAGTTGTAAGATCTGGGTCTTAGGCCCCACATCCTTTAAAAGGACAAAACAAAAAGTTAACTATTCACACACACACACTGGGGGGTGGGTATGGGAGAGTATCTCAACTATAAGAATAGCTAAATTAGGAGTGTCATACGTCTGGAATACTGCATCCGGGCGTAAATTGGGGAAATGTCCTGGAAAATCTGGATGTATGGCAACCTATGTTGGCAGTGCCAGTTTCCCATAAAAATATATCAGAAACTGCATTTTTTGTGAAACAACTTTGGGCAAAAACAAGGAAAATATCAAAAACTTTGCCAATATAAGCTCAACAATTTTCTGTCCAGATTTTCACTGTTTGAAATATGCCAACCTTAAGCTAAATGCCAACCTAAACACATTACTCCAGGGAGCCGGTGGGTTATTTGTACCATGCAGCTTAATTCTTTCAAAACTAGTTGATCATAGCCTGTTCTGCTTGTGGCAACACAACGAGGTGGCCACTCCCTAAATCATCTGACTAAATTATTCCATGTGCTTCAGCTCCTTTCCCGTTTGTTTTTCAAATACACGCTCTAAAGGGGTAAATTACAAAGGAAGGGTTTTCTGCCAAAAATAATCTTACCTTGGCAAAGCCATCCTGTCTGCATTTCGTAGCAAGTGTGTTTATGTACTCGTTTCCCAGTTACAGTCCTTTGAGGACAGCACATTTCTCAAGTATGTACCACCCCCAGATGCTTAGAATTCTGGGAATTGTGGTTTGTGCCTCCACTGTTGATTGTTCTCTTTGGGAATTGATAGTTATCACACCTCTGGTCAGCCCTGGAGCCGCAAAAAGATGGGATGCAGCTCCTTTTTATACTCTTAGAAGCTTTGCAGCAATGCAAAGAAGAATTATCCATCAGATGCAAAACCTTTTCTTTCTTTCTTTGTTATGGGAGTTCCTGCCACTTTGCAAAGCTAGTGTTGTTGGTCACCTGGACAACACTTTCTTGGCAAATATTTGATTTCCCCCACCACTTGGTTTCTAGACTGTGGTTTAATGTGAGCCCCGAAACCCAGCCCAGCGTCTTAACCACACTTGCGAGCCATAGTTTGTTCTTGATTTGTAAGCCCTGGTTTGTGTTAAGTGTAGCTTAGCGTTATGTGTGAATGCAGCAGAATGTTCTCTTTTGTCGTTTTCTTATTCATAAACATGAAACACACCTTTTTCGGGGCTTGGGTAATCTAAACTTCTCCATTTTTACATTGTTTAGTCTTACCCAACTTTCACAGCTGGTGATTCATATTGCAGTTCTAACCATGTCTGCTCAGAAGTAAGGTGCATTGAATTCATTAGTGTTTACTCCCAAGCAAGTGGGGTTAGGACTATAGCTTAGTGCATAGACACTTACCCATTCCATGTGACAAATGTGACAAGCTCTGCTTTAAATCTTCTCCCTAGATCTCCCTAAATCATTTCTGGCCCAGCACTCTTGTATACTTACTCTCTGCCAAAATCACAATAGAGGCAATTATGATGTGTAACACACATACACACATATACACACACACACACACACACACACACACACACACAGAGAGAGAGAGAGAGAGGGGGGGGACCACCAATATTTAAGTTATTTTAAATGTCAGGCAAAGGTGTTCTTGTTTGTTCAGCCATTTGGATCTTGATATAGTTTGATATTTGGCCTGTTCTTTGTATACCACATTTGGGGTAGGGACAATTGTTTTCCATGTCAGTTCCTGGTGAATGGATGTTTTTAGTACTACCTACCATTTTATTACTTTTGGTTATTTTACAGTACATATATTGCTTTACTAATTTGTTGTAAGTTGCTTTAGAACTTTTTTTCCTGTAGAGAGCAATAAATAAATAAATACAGTGGTACCTCGGGTTACATACGCTTCAGGTTACATACACTTCAGGTTACAGACTCTGCTAACCCAGAAATAGTGCTTCAGGTTAAGAACTTTGCTTCAGGATGAGAACAGAAATCGTGCTCTGGCGGTGCGGCAGCAGCAGGAGGCCCCATTAGCTGAAGTGGTGCTTCAGGTTAAGAACAGTTTCAGGTTAAGAACAGACCTCCAGAACTAATTAAGTACTTAACCCGAGGTACCACTGTAGAACAAACAAAACTGAAACAAATTTGCAGTCAGGTTATAGAAGCAGCAGGAATGTGGATTCTCCTGGAGCCTTTTGCTGTGCTGCAGGAACAGTCCCTTCCCCAGACTCAAAATGGAAATTGCATCCTAAAGATGACTGCACAGCCAGTGGCGGACTTCGGGCTTTCAAATTTCAGTGGCACTCTGTGTGGCACAAAAATTTAGCACCCCCCTGCCTTTCACCTTATGTTCTAAGCCGTTGTTGCAGCACTCACTGCAGCACCCTCTTGGCTTGGCACCCGGTGCAAGTGAACCAGTCACTCTCCCCTAAATTCACTTCTGGCACAGCATTTCATAGAATCATAAAATTGTAGAGTTGGAAGGGACCACGGGATCATCCAGTCCACCCCCCTGCAATACAGGAATACACAGCTGTCCCATACGGGGATCAAACCTGCAACCTTGGCGTTATCACCACCACACTATAACCAACTGAGCTATAGAGAGGTTCAATAAATATTATTATTATTATTATTATTATTATTATTATTATTATTATTATATTTATACCCTGCCCATCTGGCCAGGTTTCCCCAGCCACTCTGGGCGGCTCCCAACAGAATATTAAAAACATGATAAAATATCAAACAGTTAAAACTTCCCTAAACAGGGCTGCCTTCAGAAGTCTTCTAAAAGTCAGATAGTTGTTGATTTCCTTGACATCTGGTGGGACGGTGTTCCACAGGGCGGAAGCCACCACCGAGAAGGCCTTGTCAGGTTCCCTGTAACTTCGCTTCTCACAGTGAGGGAACTGCTAGAAGGCCCTCAGCGATGGACCTCAGTGTCTGGGCAGAATGATGGGGGTGGAGATGCTCCTACAGGTATACAGGGCTGAGGCTGTTTAGAGCTTTAAAGGTCAGCACCATCACTTTGAATTGTGCTCGGAAACATACTGGGAGCCAGTGAAGATCCTTTAGGACTGGAGAGCCAGTGTGGTGTAGTGGTTAAGAGTGGTGAACTTGTAATCTGGTGAACCAGGTTTACATCCCTGCTCCTCCACATGCAGCTGCTGGGTGACCTTGGGCTAGTCACGCTTCTCTGAAGTCTCTCAGCCTCACTCACCTCACAGAGTGTTTGTTGTGGGGGAGGAAGGGAAAGGAGAATGTTAGCCGCTTTGAGTCTCCTTCGGGTAGTGATAAAGCGGGATATCAAATCCAAACTCTTCTTATATGGTCTTGGTGGCCACTCCCAGTCACCAATCTAGCTGCCGCATTCTGGATTAATTGTAGTTTCCAGGTCACCTTCAAATGCCCGTGTGGTGGCCCACATCACTCTTAGGGGTAGGAAAACATGTTTTTAAGAATTCAGACCTCCATGCTTCATAAGCATTTAGAGATAGTGGCTAATAGTGGGCTTCCAAATCTTGTTGCACTCCAACTCCCATCAGCCCCAGCCAGCATGGAAGTCGTAGTTCAGTAACATCTTACCATCTGAAAGGCCAAGGGTTGGTCACTCCTGTTTAAAGCCAATTATAACTAAACATTTTTTTCTTCCATCCTTTTATATATATATATATATTTTGCAGTACCAGCATTTAAGGAACTTGCTGGATGTTGCACTTGAGACTCTAAATGTAGGTGATTCCATTTCAACTACATCCAGAAGTTTCATTGACATTGTAAATGGTTATAACTAGATTACATTTTGGGCGAATTAACTACCATTTTATTGCTATAAAGTGACACAAACAAAATGTTCTTTTCAAAATTTGGCAGCATCTAAATAAAAGAAAAATGCTGCAATGTTTAAAAATTTGCCCAATGTTTTTTTAAAAAAATAAAATAAAATAAAAAGCCTAAAAATACACAATATAGCTAAATGCATAACAGTAACGTTTACCATGTGGTGGAATGAAATAACCATGTGAAACATGATACAGAAACTCCAAGAGTTAGCATATACATCCGGATACATAAATGCATACAAAAGTGTATGGTTAGATGAAGCAACGTTGTTTTGTATTTCAGAGTGCAATGAAAGATAATATCAGCACACACAGAGAAAAAGAGCATTCCCTTTAATGGGAGTCAAGCAAAAGATGTACGATCGTATATCAGAATCTCAGACTTCCTGCAGCACATATAGACAAAGGGAAAATTATTTAGGCTAGCCCCATAATTTTATGCAGCATTTAAAAAGCATACACAATTTAATCTTCTGCAAACTTGCTAAATATGTACAGGGCCAGGCTACACAGATTATCCAGAACTGGGGCACATTTCCCCATGTTATGATCATGGGGGAGGGCTGAACTTCTTTATTTTAGTTACAGACAGACAAAATTATTTACACACTACTGCCATTAACGGTCAGACTAAAGGAGCTTTCCCAAAGTTTAGGACTATGGTTGCCTCCAGAATGTCAGAAGTTTGTGGGGAGGACTCCGTCGTATACCAGAAATGTTGCTTTGTAGAATTAAGGCAGTTTAAAGTGTTCTGGCACAAATACAGTGGTACCTCGGATTAAGAACTTAATTTGTTCCGGAGGTCCGTTCTTAACCTGAAACTGTTCTTAACTTTAGGTACCACTTTAGCTAATGGGGCCTCCCGCTGCCGCCACGCCACCGCCATGCGATTTCTGTTCTCATCCTGAAGCAAAGTTCTTAACCCGAGGTACTATTTCTGGGTTTGCAGGTTCTGTAACCTGAAGCGTCTGTAACCCGAGGTACCACTGTGGTCTGCTTAAAAAAGATATTTTTGCTGTTAGGAAAGTGACAGGGAAATGCAATAAAAAGTGTGGTATAACCCATCAATTGATGGGAAGATGTAAGAACATAAGAAGAGCCCCACCATAAGAAAGCATGCCAGTGCAAGAAGATAAATAGGTACTGCTGCGGCGGGAAGGTACACAGTGCTTCCGTGCGCTCTGGTTTCCGTCAAAGTGTTCCGGTGCGCCAGAAGTGGTTCAGTCCTGCTGGCCACATGACCTGGAAAGCTGTCTGTGGACAAACGCTGGCTCCCTTGGCCTGAAAGCGAGATGAGCGCTGCAACCCCATAGTCACCTTTGACTGGACTTAACCGTCCAGGGGTCCTTTACCTTTACCTTACCTGCATACTCTTACACACCTCAGTCAGTAGAGCAGGAGATTCTTTATCTTATGGTCATGGGTTCAAGCCCCACATTAGGCAAACGATTCCTGTATTGCAAGGGGTTGAATTGGAGAACTCTTGTAGTCCCTTCCAACTCTACTATTCTACGATTCTATGTCCCACCCCTTTACTTGTATGACCTCTGCACAAACAAATCAGGATGCTCAATAAAGAGCAGGCACTGTACAACCTCTGTGAAAGCTTTGTGCTGGCAAATGAGGGTGAATACTCAACGAACAGGTGGTCTGTAATGCACTTGAGACCCAACCGATATGGTCAATGGCCAGGGATGGGAGAATGTGTAGTCTTAAACATCTGGAAAGCAGGACATTGTGGACTTGGAGCAGGACTTGGTTTCAAAGCTCTACTGATGCTCCCTAGCCCAGCTACTGTATCTCAGACTTACTTGCTTTCATTCATTCAGCCTTTATTGGCATAATGACTTACTTACCTTGTAAGGACAAAAAAGGGAGAAGAGCCATATAAGCAGCCATGAGCTCCTTGGGAAATGGCCGGAACAATTTTTTAAAAAATGTAATCCTATGCCATTCCAGTTACTCATACGTTTTTGCTCTACGCCATTCTTTAAGTAAGACTTGTGGATCATTGGTAAGAAAGCTTTAGGTCTTAATTTCAATTAATATGATTGTGTCTTCTCTCAGAACAATTGCAACACGCATCATATAAATTGGCTGCTTTACATATTCCAACGTGGCAAAATGATGATGGGCTTGGCTTGCAACCCCATCATGTTCAAATCCTGTTCTGTACTTTGCCATGGCAGGAAGCCAAAAAGCTTGTGTCCGTGGTGTGGATCAAGTGTTAAAAGAGCTGGGGCAGAGATGACTCAGTTCAAGGTCCCCACCCCTGTTCTGCTTATGGGATTGACACAAACAAGAGTTGGTTTAAGGCTAAGTGTGGGATAATCTCATGTGTGCTGCCTTGGGCATCTGACAGGAAAGATTACAAGTGTCATAGAGAATTCTAGATCGCAGCCAGCAGCTGCTTTAAAAATAAGAATTCTAGTTCAGTATGGCAGCTGTCGTTACTATGGACCGTTTTCTTTGCACCAAGGAGACCTGCAGAGGTGAGTGAGAACCTCTAGCTGCCTCATGGGGCAGACACACAAATGGCAGCCATTTCCATATCAAAGGGTTTACAGAGGCCTCAACTGGCAATCACAACAAGATCAATAAGCCCCTCTCTCCCATGCAAACTGAAATATTAGGGCGAGATGCTGGCTTCAGTGCTCATTCTTGAGTGAAAAGGAAAACGATTAAGAAGGTTCAGAATATAAGTTGTGCCACCAAACACTGTCAAGCTATGTTGGCGGAACGCAGAAGAAAACACTGCTACTGAACAATTGTGTTTTTAGTTTATGAGTGCTGAAATTCAGATGTTAACGATTTGTAGCTGATCTCCTGGTCACATTCAATAACATTATGGATTGAAAAGACGACCACTCTGTAGCACCACTTCCCCCTTGCTTTATGGATTTCATACTCATGTGCAAACTTCAGAAGGGAAACCCTGGAAGAATAATCGTGCAAGCTTGAGAAAGCCAAGTAGCTTAACTCTAGGGTGCACTAATCAGATATTTGAGTCATATTTGAAAACCACAAACATACAGGAAAGAGAATAATAGGTTTGGAGATGTAAGACAGCTGAAGTCGGTTCTCTGTGCAGAAAGCAGATCTGTTTACATCTCTGATTTACTAGCATAACTGCAGTGTTAGCATTTCATGTTTTAAGTTTTCCAATCAGTCGTCCAGTTTTAAACACATCATCATCTGTTCCCCATGCTATGATGCAGAAGACAGACTGCTTTTTGGAAGGCTGAGTGGAAGTGAGGTTGGCTAACATCACCCCCAGGTGGGAGCACTTCAGAGAGAGAAATATAAGTGCAGGATCACTTTTATTTATTTATACTTTCCTCCTCAAAAGTATGCGGGTTTAAGTTCTATGCAGATAAATAAAGGAGTCAGTTATCACATCTTGGTAGGTGGACAGTCTGTAAAATGTGGTTTTTCTTCCTTCATGGTTCACATGAAGACCACACAGGAGTTTGACTCCTCTTCATTCCAATGTCTTTATGATTTGCAAGGATATGCAAGAAAGTGTGAAGGGGGGGGGGACCTTTTCCAAGAAAGCAAATAAAAATACCATCCTTTCTATTAAACTTTGCAAGTTTTGATTTCACAGTGGAAGTCTACAGTGCGTCAGTTTTTTATATCAGCATGGGGGGGGGCTCAGGACCTGTGCCTCCCCAGACACTGTTGAACTTAAAAGTCCCACCATCCACGATCACTGGCCATGCTAGCCAGAGATTGTGGAATCTGGCACCCAATGGCACCTGGAGGGTCACTGGATCTACTTGCTTAGAGCTTGATTCTACTGACTTAAAGCTCACACAATGTGCCTGAGGAAAGGAAGTAGAGCAGAAAATTGTGCTCCAGGTTTTCACCACCTGCAAAAGAGGCCCATTTTCCTCTTTAGAATTTTACATTTTGGGTTGGTGCGTGTGAGATTGACCTAATATATTATTGCAGATTGGCTGTGGATACATGCATTTTTATTTAAGCGTTTATTGTACGGCTTTTTAATGAACGTTTCTGAAGTGTGCAACAGAAATATAAGACAACATGTATAGTAAAAATGAAATATCCGTTAACTATCTTGAAAAAAATCCTAATTACACACGTTCCGTATAAGCATACAATATAAAATATGTGGCGTAAGCTCTCTTTGAAATGCCAGGTTTCAATAGCCATCTAAAAGCGAGAATTCCACAAAGCTGGAAGCACAACCTTAATGGGTGGTTTCTACTTGATGTCAGGCATGCAGATCCATTAACAATGCCTTATTTTAGAAATTAAATCATCAGGCAGGGGTATATGGGGCAAAGGCGATCCCCTCAGGTATTGATGGCAGGGGGTCTTTCTTCTATTAAAAGGTGTGTTTTCCCCTAGCACATTGTAGCCCCAGGCCTACGCTTCCTGATCTCAAAAAGCACCATGGGATGCTACTTCATGCTATCCTCTCCTGGGTTTTAATCAAACTACAAGAAGCTGGGGAGGGAAGTAGCTTTGGAGCACCCGAGATCAGTACGCTCAGATTTTGTTCGGAATGTCATTTTTAAAAATAAAAAAATCTCTCAGCATTTTAAAATAAAAACTTCTAGGGGTGGGGACTCACCCACAGTGGCCAGGTACATAGCAGATAACATCCCTGACTTCTGCACATGCAGTAAAGCCCAGTGAGGATGTTATGGGGTTTCCAGAAAATACAAGCCCCAGGAAGACTGCAGTGTAAACACTGGGGATACAATTTGTAGATAAAATAGGGCACCTTGAAAGGAAGCAAAGCAAACTAAAACTCCTGTACCCTGAAAGTTTCAGAAATGTTATCTTCCCCTTTGATAACTTTCAAATGCAAATTTCTCAATGCTTTTTAAAAAATGTGTGTTTTCAACACAGCACTCAGTTGAAACAGTTCATCCTTTTGACTAGGGCGTATCGCTGAATACAGCTAGCTGTACAGTTGTCCTTAACAGATTCTACAACACCCAGAACACAGAAAGGCTCAAGATGCCACACTCCTTGTGCCCTTGCCTTATGAGTCTAGAACAAGCCACAGCTCCTGCATCTTAGAGGAGGGACCTTGCCACCTGAACAACTGAAATATTTCAGCCCATTAAATATTGCAGAATGTAGAGCATGGGTGAATAACTTGTGGTTCTCCAGACATCGCTTAGCTCCAACTCCCATCAGTCCCAGCCAAGTGATGGGTTTGGGAAGACAGAATTTGAGTCCAATATCTGGGAGGGACACAGGTTAGACCTCCCTGATTTAGAATGTGTCGAACGATGTAGAAAGAAGTCCAAAGGCTGAGCTGAAATCCTGTTAAATACATCCGAGAAATCAGGATAAAGCTAGAAGTCACATACGTTTGTATTTAAAAGATTTTATTTTCATTTCACCAAAAATAAAATAAAACGCAACAGTGTTTGCAATACACATGCCCTTCAATCAGTGCTCATTATATGCACACCATTTTTATTTGAAATATAAGAAAATAGGCTTTATTTCTTCTCCTTTACAAATTAAGGAAAACCAAAAATTTGCATATAACGCTTATACATGTACATATGCATACCATTTTCAAAAATCCTTCTCCTCAACGTAATATTGTACAACTTGGGTCTTTTACTCTTATACTATGCAAGGTTCGAAAAAATTCCTGTTGCAGTTGATATTCCAGAAATACTTTGATGTTACCATTATTAAAGCCAACTTCTTGTTATCAATATAACTACGGATCTGGTGCAAATTTACTCTCAAATCCACTCTCTCTTTTTCTGAAGACTTTGCAAATTAAAAGACTTCAGACTCCATCATTCATTCCAATTTAAAAAAGGTAACTATTTTAGATTTTTACAGTAATTTGCTACATGGTGCCATGACTAACTTAAAAAAGATGCCAGACCATTGCTTTTGATCAAAGAGATGTTGTCATGTGCAAAGATCTGAATTTCTACTTCAAAACAGCAGGTTTAAGTAACACAGCAATTCTGGGAGGTTTAAGTTATTGAAGGCTAAGACCTGAGAACTTAATATGGCAAAAAAAAATTTTTTTTAAGGTGGCTAGAACTTTAAACATTTCATTAAACAAAGGATAAAACATTGTAAACATTTAGGAGCATCAGAGCAAAGCAGAGTTTACCCATGCGTTTTAAAAAAAGTGTGTGCATGGGGGCAAAGGGGGGATTATTTTATGCATCTAAGCAAAGCCTTTGAAACTGAAATTAAGGAACACGTATCTAAAAATTCACTGGAGTTTAAGTTCATGAAATGCATACAAAGCACACACTTAAATGAGGCAACCTTTTAAATTTCAGAGTGCAATGAAAGATAACATCTTCCAGAAGAGATTTAAGAAAGCCAATCTATCAGGAGGAGGAATGTTCTAATGGAGAACAGGTGAAAGATACACAGCAATATAAATACAAAATCAGCTCAAAGGTCAGCATCCTGCAGCATGGTGCTAGTAAGGAAAAATTAAGGCCACATTCCTTAAGAGTATTACCCTTACAATGCACGCCTGATTTCACATATGGCAAGATGTAATGGAGGAGGCAACTTTTTTAAGCAACAGGATCCATTACAAACCTGCCATATCCATCCCTACATCCCCACGCCTCACTCACACAGCTAGATACATACAGATTTTACAGTTAAAATGCAGGTATATGCAGCAGCTTTGTGAGATTAACTTCAGCCAAGCTGATTCTGCAAATATAAGCAGCTTGATACTTCTGAGAGACTTTGAGATTTCAGATATCCTATATTCTGTGTATCCCTCTCCTTTCCTGAATTGTATCTAACAATAAAGACACACAGAAGGGGTGTTTCAAGGCATTTAAAAACAACTTTACTGAAGATTTCTCTATGAACATTTGGTGTGTTTCTAGCTACTGTGACCACTTCAGGGAATTCTAAGAACAGAGCACATCTTTCCCCTTCAAAGTTCTCCACCCGTTCAGAAGCTTTAAATGTGAACGGATATTCGTGCAGCATTTTCCAGAATTACCTGAAGTTTGCACAGGAGCTCAAAACACAAATGTTTTTTAGATATTACCTCAAAACTTGTTTATAAGCGCCACACATTTCCCCTTTGTTTCTGAGGGTACAATTCTGCACGATAAAATCCTAACGTTTGAGCCTGATGACATGTGGAAGCCGCAATCCGAAGGCAGTAGGAGAGATGGGGCTTTTTTGTACCATTCACCTCACCACACACAAAAAGCTGATAAATGGCTGTCACCAGTTGGTTCTAAGTAACTGAGTCTTAAGCTTTTCACACACAACCCCCATCCTGCTTTCATTAAACTCGTGGGGGGCAGAGGAGGACTGTGGTTGGCAGCCCTTTCGCAACGTTGCATGCTCTGCTAACCTCAACCCCCCAAATCTGAAAGAGGAACCTAGGTGAATACAGCTGTATGTTTATAAGACATCACACTAAATGGGTGAACATCACTGGAACAATGGGCATCTGGTTTTCATTTAAAGAAGATGTACAGAAGATAACTCTCTATTTGTGAACATTAGGTGTGTGGTACATACATGGTAGATACATGTTTCTATGTGTGTATTTCTCTTTAAATAGCTGGATAACATTTACCCAAGGGGGGCGGCAATAAGTCTAACTATGTAACATTGAAGTTGTGCTTAAATTGTGTGAAGACAAAACAGCTGGAGGTGCTACCTATAAATTGGCTAAGCCAGACGATTTGGATGGAAGCCTATTTTGTTACAATCCCCCAAATCCAGGGCTTGGATGCATACATAGCAAAAAAGCATACTTCTATGTTTCCAGTGTCATGTGCACAACACATTTCCTAACACTGAAAAGAACAGGCAATTCACCGGATGGTGTAAAAGCTCCATGGCTGCACAATGGAGCACCACAGAAATGTGAATTATGTTCCTTGACTCCCAGTCTCAAAAGAACCAGAAAGTACTTCTGAATGCAGTTTTCCTATCACCGAGTATGCATATAATTACACATTTCTATGGCCGTAAAATATTGCGAATGGAGGGTTTTTAAATAAACAGACATCTTTTTATATATCATTAACATATTCCTTGTGCAATCATTACAATATACTCTAAGGCACATGAATCATTACTATTTGATTTAAAAGCAGAACCAAGACCGATACCATTCAGATTCTTTTCATACAAGATCCTCAAAGAAAAGCTTAAAATTAAATTCAGTATTTGATTAACAAGTGGGGGGGCACACACAGTTTTCAAATTTCTAAACTATATTTCTACACTGAGGTGATTGCTTTTAGAAAAACAATCTTTAAAAAAATGAATCTTGAGCACAATTCAAAGTCAATTACTTTAACGGAACAGAAAATTTACCATAAAGAAGGAGTACACCCAAACTAGACATTAGCCCTAGATTTCTCTTAAACACAGTAGAAAACTCTTTAACTCCACATATAATTCAGCTAGTGAAAATATATACTCTATTACTACAGTGCATTTTTCTCCTGAAAGAGACACCACAAAACAGATTCAGATTAGGTTAAAACAAGATACAATACCTGTGAGCTGCCACTTACAGCTTGAATTTACAAAAAATAAAATAAAATGGGGGGAGGATTCTAATCCCTCCAGTTTGCAGTGAAGTAATTATGGTACCCAGCAATTGGCATTAAACCTTGATCTCACTAGTATTTTCTGGAAGATTGACGAGTTTTTATAGCTTCTCCTACAGACTGAATCCTAAGTCCAGACAAGTTTGATTAATATTGTTTAAATAGAAAATGTCACACATTCCAAAACCCATTATTTAAAAAATAAATAATTGAAAAATACTCTTAATCCAACAGCGCTTTAATTTAAACAATACAGTCTTAATTCTAGAAGGCAGGTGCACTATATTTTCAAGTACATTTCACATTTCCAGTAGCAAGCGCATCTATATATAAATAGAGGACAGCCTCAAGTGACTCCCTGCCCTTAAACAAAAAAGGAAGCAACAGAATCTTGACCATCAGTGCTATTATGGGGGGGGGATGAAAGGGGTGAAGTCGCAGGAGTGGACTACAGGCCAGAAAGAGGGGAGAAAGTACAGCCATTCAAGCACTAACCAACAACCATAGTTCATGACAATAATTATCTCCTCCCAATCAAAGAATGAATGCATGGTCATGTTTTCCACTGAAAGATGAGAAGCTCTGAGGCCATTTTAGAAAGTGAAGCAGAAACTGATGAATTTCTACTTCAGTCTACTAGAGACCCAGAAGTATTAAATCTTTATTACTTTAATGTATACAATTATTTTTCTCCTCTTCTTGCAAATTTCAACCTATCTGAAAAAGCCACTATTTCACTGCATTTATTGTGAAATCAATGCAGAGGGGATATGCACTGAAAGCGCTGCGAAATAAAACTATGGCATGGTAAGTTCTGAATGCTTCTCTTGAACAAATTATCATGACTTTCTTCATAGTAGCCCAAAGCTGTTTCAAAAACTGAGACCGCACAACCTTTGGCCATTTCCCTTAGTTTGGCTCATTTGTTTCGAAGTTATATTATCAGCTGTTTCTAAATCACGGGACAACTTACGAGGAAATGAAGTGAGCTTTACTGTATTGGGCTAATATAACATAGAAAAGTGGAACGCTGTAGCACTTAAATATTGGAGATTAACAAGGTTCCACAGCATGTATTAATGATGATCCTCTGGGAGAAGTAAATCAAGTCAAATCAGTTTTTAAAAAACATCAAATCAACCAGAACAATCAGAACACTCTGTTCTATAGCGTCAGCCAAACAACAATGGAAACTGGTTTTCTTGTAAGTACCCTAATGAGATAGGAGTCAAAATCTTTGGGGTTTTACTCTGATCAATTGCACACTGAAAACTCCCCTCACAAAGCTATTTGCAAAAAAAGCTGTTCACTACGTGGCACTGGTAGCATCCAGCCATGTTGCAGACAAAAATAAGAGATTTCTACCAATAATTATATTATTTCTGATATTTGCATAATGTCTAGAAATTACTTTGATAAAACGAAACTCAGAGCTTCCCAACATCTAACATTTTCACTTTAGTTGTTCACTTCCATATTGTGTGTCTTAGCAGCTGCTTATAATCGTTTTTTTAAAAAACGTGCTTCAGAGCGGGTACGGTATTTACCATTCAAGAAGCTACAGACATTGAGGAAGTCTGATTAAACAGCACCCTGCAAAGAGAGAAAACAGATCACGGGAGAGTTCTTGTTTAGCTGCTCTTTTTTGTTGCTGTTGTTCAACTTTCATTCAATATGTAGAAAGTAGAACTGGATTTTCCTATGATGGAAGGGAGGCTCCATGACAAGTTACTGTCTTTGTTTTGCGTGAATGTTTGGTCAATGAACGAACATTCCCTTAGATTAGCAACTCTCTCTCTTGTCTACAAGCACTGCAAAGAGTGCCAACTTAAGAGATGTACCCTGAGCTAACTCTAACCCTCGCAGCGCAAAGCAAGTTGCACTGTCCCTTTTCGCACACGCCCCTTTTTGCACAAAAGAGCAAGAACTGCCACATTCTAAGTGGCTAACGCGGACTCTGTTGGATGCGATCACTATAGTAATTTTTCCAGCGTCTCCAAGTTCTTCTCCATCCACTGGATATTCAGCTGAATCCTCTCAATGGCCTCTCGAACAAACCGTAGCTGAGCAGTCTCCTCCGACTTGGATTCGAAGAATGTCTTAACCTGCAGAAGCAACGCACGTAACAGGAATATGTAAGGACAATAAAAAAACCTAACTTCACCCCTGTGCTTCCAAGTGGCACAACAGGGGGGTTGGTGGTGAGGAGGAGCCTTCATTTAGGACTTGGACAATTTGCCTATTCTAATTTAGTCCTAGTTACACCAATGCATACCAAGTAAATTTTAAAAATCCAAACTATTTATTGAAATCTCCCTTTTTCGTAAACATTTGGAATAACTTCCTGAAGGACTGCGGAAGAGGCTGTCTCAGAAGGTGGTAGACTATTATATTTGATGCTTTTGAGCGGCTGGGATAGCCATCCATCAGGGATGGAGGAACAGATTTCCTGCATTAGCAGGAGGTTGGATTAGATGACTTTTGAGGTCCCTTCCAACCTTAAGCTTAATTAACTCCTTATTTTACTTGTGTGATTAAAGGCAGTTAATTCACCAGCAGTACTCAAACTTTAAATGTCATCTTCCACATTGCTGTGTACCAAGAATACACAGCTACTAAAAGCCAGCAGTAACAGAGCAATATGCAATGTTCCAGCTTCTATTTTATAATTCCTACCCCCCAACACTCTTCGGAATACTTTATTCAAACAAACCTCAAGCAGATGTTCTTGTGTTGAGAACTGACAAGTTGTCGCAATCACAATACTTTGCATGGTGTATGATCCACGGTGAAACCTGAAGTTTACGAGAATGAATCAAACGTTTATTCAAAGCATATTTAACTCAATTCATGCCTTACCTATTTTGGGAGCTCATGGTGAATTAAGAGTATTTAACGTTCTTAAAAGTGATCAGCATTTAAAGAAATCTGTTACTCCTGGTCACTAAACTACTAGCCATACAAAGTAAGTAACGGTGTGCACTGACTATGCTAGACACCGTTTGGACCTTGATTCAATGCTCCAGAAAACAGTCTGATTTGGCCCAAAGCACTTTGAAGGCTCTCTGATTAATCTAGGGATCCAAATCTGATACCCAATTTGAAAAAAAACACACACCCTGTGCATTGTCTTCTCCCATTTGAGGGCTTTTTTTAAAGGCTATAACTTTTTCCCTTTTGAAAGAATTAGATGAAATTGGTAGTCACAGTAGCCCCTCCTAAGCAGATGAAGCCTACCTAATTATGGACTTACAGGACACCTTTGGTGTTTTATCTATGCATTATTATTTTTTTACAAAATGAATGGTCTACAACTTTCTTTTTTGGCAGAATGGGGTGAAATCTGCAGGCATGGCGGTTCTTTTGAAGGTACAAGTCCTATCACTTTGCCAAAGGATAGCTGCAATGGTTTTCATGAAAGGCAGCCTTGCAGAGGCTTTTAAACATCCAAATCAACCCGAATTGCCTTTGAGATCCGTGCAACAATTGGGGTGGCTCAGGCAGAATCCTGCTCAGCTGAACCCCAAAACTAAAAGTGGTTCAGTATTCAACTAAAATAAGGCTCTGGTCAGATAAGTTCAGTATTTTTCACAATTACAGAGGACAATGAACAAAGCCAGAGAGCACACACTGAGAACAACTCTTTTTATAGATCAAAAGACAACAGGTTAATTATACCGGGGACACCGAAGGAAATAAACTGGCACAAAGAATGATAAATAGCTACAATTCCGCAACATGAGTGCCTGCACTTTTCAGCATTTCCTCTCCTTCTGATCTACCCCCAGCCATATGTGCATGTGCCTGAAACTTCATGCGTATGATGAAATGGGACTGTAGTTCAGGAACGCTTATGCCACAATAAATTTGTTGAGTTTTTGAGATGCTTTAAGGTGTTTCAAAAGAAGTAAAAGACTCAAGTAGCAGTGAAATGTGCTTTTGGTGACTTACTGTGATTTGCATGCAGCTTCAGCAACCCAGCAAGTCTCCACGTAGCTCATGCTATAGTGCTGAAATCTTTTATTCAGTAGGTGTTTATTCTAAACAGCAACGACAAGGACACCCAAGGCACTAGGGCAAGACCTGAACGGCATGCTTATTTAGTGCCAGTAAAAATCCTGTTTTATATGTACACGTCTCTCTCTGTATATGTGTGTAGCAGAAGGAAGGATAAAGACAGAATTTTATTACAAGAACTCAAGGAAAGCCTTACTTCCTTATAAGCTGATCCCAGTTCTCCTTAACGAAATCCCATGCTAATAAGTGTCCAGGCAAATTCTGACTGGCTGTTGTTATAACAGTTGGAAGATCCTGCGATCTGATGATGCTTCCTTCCAGGCTTGTTTGCATTAACCTATGAAGCAAAACAGAGTCAGATTATAGGCAAATGTGCATTCTTTTTAGAGATCTAGACAATTTATAACAGATACTGTAAGGGGGCAGGGCCAGTGAGGGCCATCTCACAACTAAAAATGTCTACGTTTGTATATGCAAATACTACCTGCCCATTCATTCAGCAAAGAAATCTGAACCACTCTTTAGCTGGGATGTCCTATAAAATGTGTCGTTTTTTATCAGGCTGCCTGCTGCTGGAAACTTTTCTATACTTATTGGACAAAAAGTGAAATACAGAAACTTCGAATAAAAACACCTCAGTAACCTTGCAACTGAAAATTAGAAGCATATGTTTTTCAAACTGCCAACTGAAAAACTTTCTGGAAGGGTCGTGAGTTCGAGTCTCATGTTGGATAAAACATTCCTGCATCGCAGGGGGTTGGACTAGATAGCCCTGGTGGTCCCTTCCAACTCTACAATTCTATGAGTCCACTAAACGCTTTATTCTAGAAATTTGTTCCTACAAGTATACCTAAATATTTCAAGGAAGGACAGCACAAGAAAAGGTAACTTGTAGCCTCAAGTTTTGAAGCAATGTATAACACATGTCCATAAAGCAGGGAGAGAAAGCACGCGCATGCATGCACACATGCACGCACACACACACACACACACACACACACACACACACACCACATACAGCTGCTGCCAAGTCAAAACTTGCCCTGACATTAAAGTCAATGAGTGAAATCTCTCTTGTCAGTGCAAAGATGGGAAGGTGTGTTAAATGCTGCACATATTTTTTAGACTTCCTTTTACAGTGACATATAGAAATTGCTCTTAGGATTTTCTTTATGATTATATGTGTAATATATGCGGCTTCATACCATATCAGTTTTTTAACATCATCTGCACTGGCCAATGCTTCAAGGATTTTGAGCTTTTCTGGTTCAGACACCAAATATGCATACATGCTTAAAAGATAGTTCCAGCCACTTTCAGTTTTTGCTCCGGCTGTGAATATGATCTTCATAACATCTGTTGGCAGGCTACAGAGAGAAAGTGCAAACCTTTATAAGAACAGCCTAAAAAGAGTAAGTCACATCAAAGCACTAGTAAACATGATATGAACCATGGCTTATCTCAGTAAGTCCTTAACCAAGAGGCTAATTTGAAGTCGTCCGATGAGTGGGAGGACAGGGATCCTACACTGGCTATATGCCCTGTTCCAAGCACAGAATAGGATATAGCAGCCAAGGCAGGAGGATTTCGCCACTGCTTATCAGGGATGAAAACCCTTTAGTCAGTATGTGTGTGTTTGTGTGGCAGAAGTGGTAGGAGACTCCCCATCACCACCCACTCGCTTAAAGGAAAAGCAGAGCTGCTATAAAGAGCACTTTTGCAAAGGACCAGCTCTCTGCAAAGCAGCCATTCCTCACCACTTCTCCTCTAACCATTGCTGCGAGCAGGTGGGCAGTAGTCTCTCCCACATTTCAATGATGAAGAGGATTTGGCTGCTGCAAACAGCGCTTTTCCAAAGGGCTTTAAGACAGCTCCCTTGCTCCTGGCCTGAGCCTCCAGAAGCTCAAATGGGAGCGTGGAGGCTGCCCTAAAGCCTTTGCAAGTCTGTGTGATCCGCCCCTTTAATCCTCCAAAAAGCAGGGTTTAAAGAGGAAGTGTGTGGAGATACGCAAAGTCTTTTGCACGTCTCCACATGGTTCCCTGGGAGTTTTAAATGTGCAAGTGATCCAAGAGTGGCTGGGGAAACTCAACCAGATGGGTGGGGTATAAATAATAAAATTAGTAGTAGTAGTAAAGGTAAAGGGACCCCTGACCATTAGGTCCAGTCGTGGCTGACTCTGGGGGTGCGGCGCTCATCTCGCTTTATTGGCCAAGGGAGCTGGCGTACAGCTTCCGGGTCATGTGGCCAGCATGACTAAGCCACTTCTGGCAAACCAGAGCAGCGCACGGAAACGCCATTTACCTTCCCGCCGGAGCGGTACCTATTTATCTACTTGCACTTTGATGTGCTTTCGTACTGCTAGGTTGGCAGGAGCAGGGACTAAGCAACGGGAGCTCACCCCGTCACGGGGATTCGAACCGCCGACCTTCTGATCGGCAAGTCCTAGGCTCTGTGGTTTAACCCACAGTGCCACCCGTGTCCCTATTATTATTATTATTATCCAAATGACATGTGATTGACAGGTGGGAGGTCCCACTTACCTGTCAAATTTGGCCCGTGTGGCTGATCCTGATAAGGATCTGGCCCATGGAGCCACAAAGCTTCTCCAGCTGCTGCAAAGAAGCCTATGAAACATCAGGAGTGAGGCAGGTAGAGACATCCATGGGGAGTTGGACTGCATAGCTGATCCCTCCAGAAGCAGGCCTGAATTCGTTGCCCATCAGTGTTGGCTTCAAGCTTGATCAGCGGGACTTTGAAAGCACCACGGAGGGCTCTTTGAAAGCCCTGTGTGGTGCTTTCAAGTCCCGACGATCATCACCTGATGCCACTGTGATGTCAGGTGGGTGACATGAAGGCTGCTCCAGCCAATTTTCCTATGTTGTCTGTGAGAAGATGAAGAGATGAGAATCTGGCCCACAAGCCAGATCAGGTTCCCTTCACCTGATATAAAGCTGGAGAATGCTTAATCATGAGTAGCTCACCTGAGGGAGCAAAACCACAGCTCTAAGAGATGCTGATCCATATTTCTATTTAAACCCGTCAGGCTGCAAGATGCTTGACTGCATTGAGACTATGTAATAGAAAACTATTTCTGAATGCCATAGTACACAAGAGGCAACTTGAACCAAAGAGCAAGTCTGTCTTTTACCTTTTTGTGCCATTGGAGTCTTTCCATTCATTAAATAGCTTGGTAGCATCCGTGCTGCAGTCTTCCAAGTTATGGGTGCAGGCAAAGGTCAGCAGACTTGACTTCAGCTCTTGTTCTGAAAGGGTCCCATCACTTGTCCATTTCTGTTGATTAATCTTGTCTTTAAATAGTTGTAACATCTTATGCTGGAGAATAAAGAGGAAAAGTTTTCACTATGCAAACTCTGTCACAACAAGCCTGTGCTAGGTTGGAGACTATAAACTGCAAACATCCCCCAAATCACACAGCTCCTTGCAACACTCCTGTATCTAATGCTCCCTTCTGGCAGGTCTGCCATTCAGTTCTGAAGAGAATTTCCTCACTGTCTTACATGTGCTCAATTCTCAACTGGCACCAAAATGAGCCCAATGAGTCTTTGAATGACCTGCGGCTCAATAGGCTAGTTCAAATCTATATGAATTATATTAAAAGGCACATAAAACCAGTCACACCATCTTTAACTCACTTTCATAGACTTTTTTTTTTAACCCAACCCCACTTTCAATAAAATCTTTTTTATTTGTCTGGTTTCCAGAGTTCATGAGCTGAAACAGTTTGACAGTTCTGCTAGGCACACATTCCACATTATCACTGAATAATAATAATCAGCAGATTCATGTGGAACCAAATTATTTGATTGTTAAGGTGTATGCTTTCTGCATGGTCGAAATGTTACAAAAATGCATGCTGTGGCACCTTAAAGACTAAATGGTTTGTTTGGGATGGACACGAATAGATGCTCTCCTCCTTTGGTATATGACTACAGAGCAAAAAGCAGCTGGTTACAAATTTAAGAGGATCCTAATAATAATAATAATTTATTACTTATATTCCACCCACCGGGCCGGGTCTCCCCAGCCACTCTAAAGGAACACCAAAAAACCAGCTGCTCTTCTATTTTATCTAAGGTATCCATCTCTTTGCAGTTGGGGTTCAGAAGTTACAAATGGCATTTACATCTGAGAATTTACTACTGAGGCATTTACTACTGAGAAAAACAACGTGCTTTTAAATTGAAAGCTCATAAGCAACCCATCCAACATTCTAACACTAACCACAACAAAACAGTATGATTTAGAAATTGTCCTTCCATGTAGTACAAACTATTTTGCCCTACTATGAACTTCATATCTAGCTTCCACCACCTGCCTGCTTTCAGTAACTTACCAATATTCTTGCTGAAAGGGTCTGCATTCCTCTTTTTTCAACTAGGTTGAAGATACGGTTCATTTGGTCCAATGCTTGTATGATTGGAGAAGTGCTGTTTTCTTTCACTAGGTAGTCAATCAGGTCAAAGGCTTTGGCCAAAGACACCCTTCCTAGTCTAAAGGGGGCATCAAAAACAACAAGAAGAAGATACTGTCAAGCATTCTGATAAGCCTAAACAAATGTAAAAGAACTTGTTTGTGGTACAGGATATAAATTCTTCAAATATAAAATTGTTTTGCTTTATTTCTTCATATTATTAGATTTATTTATTTATTCATTCTGGAGGCAAAACCTCCATAACAGAAGATAAGTTTGATTCATTATAGCATTCTATTGATAAGCCCCCCAAATCCAAAGTGCTGTTAAGATCTAACAAACACCACTGGACTAAATTCCTGCATCTTTCACTCTTCTTGCAAACTCGCCATATCTTGCCCTTAACAGAAGGATCCTAAACTAAAACCTTTGCAATTTCATACTTAAAGAGTTTCGTTATGCGCAACAGTGAACATCTAGGATAACAAAAGGTAAAAAATAATTAACTCATCCAGATTAGATAAGGTTCTCCTTTATTCCACTGGCCCACCAGGCAGTCCAATTTGACCCACAAGGTCATTTCCTCTAACCACACTCACCTGCTCACTCGTGACATCAGCAGATGGGCAGAAGGAAGGGTTAAATCCTGCAATGGCTGTGTGCATTTGTTCCCAGCAAGAACCAAGCACATGCAGCCAAGGCGGAAGGATTTAAACCCTGCATCACCTACTAAAATAAAGAAGAAAAACTCTCCCTTTTAGCAGGGTTTTCCATGAAAACCCAGTTACTGGATCAGAAGGGGTTTGCATGGAATTGTGCTGAAACCAAAGGCTCTAAACTAGCCCACCACTGCACAGTGAAGTCCCAACAACCTGGACTTTCAGGTGACTGACAGATGAGCAGCCTTGCCTACCAGCAGTGGGGAGATAAAGATATGTCCCGTGGGCCAGAAAAGCTTCCCCGCCCCTTTCCTAGAAGGTTTGTTCTTAAGACTCTGGATTTGAAGATGGATATATCACGGACAGATATATCACAGTTCGAGGGACGCGGGTGGTGCTGTGGGTTAAACCACAGAGCCTAGGGCTTGCTGATCAGAAGGTTGGCGGTTCGAATCCCCGTGACGGGGTGAGCTCCCGTTGCTCGGTCCCAGCTCCTGCCAACCTAGCAGTTCAAAAGCACATCAAAGTGCAAGTAGATAAATAGGTACCGCTCTGGCGGGAAGGTAAACAGCGTTTCCGTGCGCTGCTCTGGTTCGCCAGAAGCGGCTTAGTCATGCTGGCCACATGACCCGGAAGCTGTACACCGGCTCCCTCGGCCAATAAAGCGAGATGAGCGCTGCAACCCCAGAGTCGGCCACAACTGGACCTAATGGTCAGGGGTCCCTTTACCCTTTATATCACAGTTCAATGTAATAACTTTAAAGAATTACCCTGCCAGATTAAAAATGTTGTGGATCAAATTGGCTCTGTCTCTGGAACTCAGAGCAGTGGGCTCCGTCTTCAGCAGGTCAATTAGAGCAGTCCAGTCCTTTTCCGCATACTGTACAATATAGTAACCATTTGAGTCTACATTGAACTTCACCCACTGCGTATCACCTGGAAGTTCAACGGCATCTAGGAAAGGGGGGAAAGGAGGAGAGTAAGAAAGCACTGAACTGATACAGTCTTCAGATCACTTGCAAATTTCTAGGAGTATATCAGGGCAATAACACTTCACTGGCATCATTTAAGAAGCTCTCTGCCTTCCTGAATTTTACTGGGTGGGAGCAGTAGGAGCCAGCCAATGATTACAGCTGCAGAGCACCTCTTAGCTACAACTGACTTGCAGCCAATACTATCAGCGATCAACCTGAGACGATGACAGTGTGCACGGCAAGCCTTCATTGGACAGATGTGCCTTTACTGCATGCCGCTACACATGGCAACATAGCAAAATACCTATGCAAACTGCCCTGCTACCTGCAATTGACCCAGCAGCCGTGTAAAAGGGAAGAGAGTAAATAACTAAAGCTCGAGGTCGTGCTGTGAAATGTCATGCATCACAAGATCTGATGCACATAACCTATTCCCAAAGTTAATACTGTGTTGATAGGCTATTAACAGTAATGCTGGCAGAGACCTCCCATAGGATCACTCCCTCTCAACCTACAGAGGTGACAGGAAGTACTCAGTTTTATTTATCTGCTGAATGGCCACATGGGCCAGAAAAAAAGAATCAACTGCAGAGAACTTAGCACATTTGATAGGCATATTAATGTGTTGAATCCAGTCTTGCATTTCACCTCACACTATATAAAAAAACGGGGAGGAATCCCATCCTTGTATAAAGCTTTCTAAAGTTAATCCCAGTACAAAGATATATTTTGTAAGTCAACTTACCTACCGACAGTACATTTTTGCATGCTTTTTCCAGAAAATGTTGTGGATGGCATTCGTTTAAACCCTTTCTCCTTAAAATAGGTTTACTGCTTTTCATTAGCATATTTAACTTCTCAACTATGCAGCAGCCTGGATTTTGGCAGTGGGATATGTATATATTTTTAACACACGCTGCTTTCATCTTCTCTGGAAACCAGTTTTCAATTATAGAAATGTATCTGTCCAGAAGTGAATTACTTGAGTCTCTGTGGTTGGCACCATTGCCCCATCCTTTTATATTTTAGAGGAGCCAGGTTACAGAAAGCTATCCATTACAAACTTAATTCCAATTTCTACCATGAAGCAGGTCTGCTATATCCAAGAATGTACCTCCAGGCAAACAGAAGGTAGGTTTAGGCTACACATCAAAGAACTGTTCGTCTCAAGGGAGGCACACAAGGAGAACAGCTCACTAATTAGCTGAGAGTCACATAAGTCCTTTTCGGGCTTAACAGCATTTATTCATTTAGATCAAGGTTTCCCAAACTTGGGTCTCCAGCTGTTTTTGGACTACAACTCCCATCATCCCTAGCTAATAGGACCAGTGGTCAGGGATGATGGGAACTGCAGTCCAAAAGCAGCTGGAAGACCCCTATTTAGATGAACTAGTTTTGCTTTTCCACATCCTAACCTGGTTAAAAAAAACAACTACTCGTGATGGACCATTGAGTTCATTTTATGCTCAGACCCATTCTGGACTCTAGGTTTGACTAGGCTCCTGATGTCACTGGGAATGCAAAACTTCCTCTCCAACCCTTCCTGAGCTGCCTCATCCACCGAGAAAATAAAGCAGACCTAGAGGCCTTCCCAACTCAAACTCTTCTTGACAACAAAAACATAAAAGCCTTGCCTGGCAGCAGTACAGAAAGACTTCAGTCTTCATTTTCCCCTAGATGCTACAGGAACACAGTCCCAGACAATTTGCTTCTAGGGTATCGTAGATTTCCAAGGTTTCCAAAGCCTTGTCAAGAAATATAAGCCTTGAGAAATTACTTTCCATAAATCCTGGTGCTGGGATGCTGCTGAGAATATGCTTTGGTGGCAGGATTTTTGGAAAGTACAATTTTACTGAGGACCTAAAAGAAGCTGCAATTTCCAGGCATCCTGGCACCTAACAAATGAAGGCCATTTCAGCTACTCCTCACTGCTGCTACCACGTTAATGTCTGAGGGAAAGAAGGTTGTACTAATGTTAAGCTGTGTTTGACCTTTGAAGTGATTTGGGATTGGCTCATAATTAATCCAAACCGGGAAAATGTATATTTTCAAGTCTCATGTTCTAAACTTTGGTTGCAATCTTGGTTAAAAAATTATATTCTATAGACACCAGAAGCTAATGCAATTTAAACTATTTGTTTCTTGCAATTATTTATATTCCATTTGTCAGGGAACAAATCCTACCAATGCTTTACTATTAAGAAGTATTTTTATTGTGTTATGCTTCAACTTTCTCAAGTTCCCAAAGTCATATACAAGTACCGCCAGTAAAATAATAATAATAAATAAATAATAATAATAATGTGAAACATTTCCCTGCTCTAACGTACGCCAACTCATGAAGAGCCAAATCAGAAGTGAGCACTAGTAAAGTCAGGGAGGGAACACTATTCAAATAAAATGCACCTGAAAATTAGATGATATTTTTGGGGGGGACAAAATGTATCCAAATGTAAAAAGATTACTACCGCTAAAAATCTAGGACAAATTTCTATTGGCCATAATTATTCTGTGAGGGACAAAATACACACAGGGCCCGCTATCAGAAAACTCATCCAAAATCTCCATTATCCAAACACAAGGAATTATACCTAAACCTCACTATACATACTGCTGATTCAGATATCCAAACAGATAGAGTTTGCCCACTTCCTTAATTGTTTGTGTTTTGCTGGTGGCCAGGAGCCATTTTGGGCAGAAACTATGGAGGGAGGGAGAAAGACTGGACAAATCAGGGAGCAGGAGAGAATGGACAAATCTTTATCTGCCTTCTGCTGACTGGCTGCAGCAGTTTCAGGCAGAAAGCGTGGAAGTAGAAAGCATGGATTTAAAATGTTCTCTTGGAAAATAATGGAAATTATTTCAGCCCATTGTGCAAATGCTTGCCTAACAATTCTCTGGGGAGCATATGGTGTTCGGAAAGCAGGACTTGCATGCACTCTTGGTTAACAAGGTGTAACCAGTCAGAAGCTACAGAATTTAGTTGCTACAGAGATTGTACTAGTTCAGAGGTTTAAAATCCTAAAATGCTTAGCATGTTACAACTAAGAAAATAATCATTTTGGTATGCCCCCCTTTCCTAACCATGCCAAAAAAAAAGAAGTGTTTTGACTGTAAACGCATTATGTAAATGAAGTAAATGAACTGTATTGCAAACCCAAAATAATGAGGGCATATGCACTTTTCTTCCTTCTTAACTATAAGCTCTGAACACTCATCATTTATTTTACAGAAATTAAACCCTAAAGAGTCCCCTGCCCTTGTTCCAACACTAGCCATCAAAGATCAACGATGATGCTTCTGAAAGATGCTCATAATTTGGCTCTGGAGACTCTCCAGGGGAAAACTATTCAACATCAAGAACGTATTTGTGCATTGGTTGACTTTAGCATCTGTGAGGACAAAAGCCTTCAAAAACATACATACCTGACTTTTGCTGCAGTAAATAATTGTAAAAACTGAAGGGTAAGCTGCCATTGCTGGTGGTATAAGAAAGAGGAATGCTCCACAAATAACTGGAAGAGGAGAAAGTGTTTACACAGTGTTAAAGATTGCTTATCCCAAGCATAGACAAACTCGGCCCTCCAGATGTTCTGGTACTACAACTCCCATGATCCCTAGTTAACAGGACCAGTGGTCAGGGATGATGGGAATTGTAGTTCCAAAACATCTGGAGATCTGTGTTTGCTTATGCACTGTACCTTAAAAGAAAAAACAGATACAGTGGTAGCTCGGGTTATATACACTTCAGGTTACAGACTCCGCTAACCCAGAAATATTACCTCGGGTTAAGAACTTTGCTTCAGAATGAGAACAGAAATCGTGCAGTGGCAGCGCAGTGGCAGGAGGCCCCGTTACCTAAAGTGGTGCTTCAGGTTAAGAACAGTTTCAGGTTAAGAACAGTCCTCCAGAAAGAATTCTTAACCAGAGGTACCACTGTACTGATAGTTCTTCCTATGTTTGTGTGCAGAAGCATTGTTTATTAAACTTAACAAAGTTAGTTGAGGGTACAGTTATAAAGATCAAGACCAAACCTGTGCCTACAAATCTTGTGCTTTACAGGTTCACTACGCAATTTGCTTTTGTAGAAGCAAATCAGTTTTGTACAAATGCACACACAAAACCACGGATCTACAAGGAGCTCTTATGTCCATGGTATGTAATACACTTAAAATCAATCAATTTTCTCCTCCCATTCTGCTTTACTGCATATATTTGTAAGTAGCAATTGGCCTTAAGTGTCATTCAAATAACACAAGGTTTTTTTCACGAAGACATTCAATTGCCACAATCAGCAGTGACGTGTTAAGAAATTCTCCAACTATGCAATATTTGGGCCATTCTTCGTTTCAGGCAAAGAAACAGATGTGAAAAATCACAGTAGTCACCTCCCCTCTTTTTACCGAATAGCTGGGTTTTAGCTTTTTAAAAAGACTCTGCATGTGCAACCTCAGCTGCTCTTCGTGGGATTGGGGCAATCATTCTAAATGCAAGACATTTCCCAGCATAACAAAGGAGGTGGAATTCACGGATTTCTCTGCGGAGAAGTTCAGCAATTCCAACATTCCATTTTACACCAGAAAAAGTATGCAGGGAGGGTGGATACAAGTCATTTGCACTTTTGTGCAACTTGGAATGTACAAAACGCCTCCAGTTTAATACTCCACCTTTATTTTATGGCACAAACTTTTATGTCCCGCCCCCCGCCCCCATTTAATCTCCTTGCCTTTCCCGGCAATGCCAACAACCTTGGCTAGTCAAAAAATATACTTCCTTGAATTAGGTTTCTGCCACAAAATGTTGATATAATCCGTGTGTAAAAAGAACAGCAAAGAGTAGAGCTCATGTCCAATAGATTCACCAGCAACCCAGACACTCCTATGTGGACGGTATAAACCCACCTTCATGTCCAAAAGTGTCTTCTTCCTTATCAATTTATAGGCCCACCTTCCATCTCTAACTTGTCACTGCCCCTCTAATCCATGTTTCAAAACAGATTTGAGGTGTACTAGAAGGTGAGTGAGCTACTATTCTCCAACCCACCCCTCCAACAAGTTCCCATCATTTCCTATTGTTCTCTCCCAACCTGGGCAGATGTGCTGGACCGGGTACCACTCAGCTTGATATTTACACCACACCTCAGTGGATTTATTTGCCATCAGCAGTAAGCATTTGGAAGCCTCACTCCGTAAGCTAAAACACTGTCTGAAGAGTTAAATCACCAGAGTTTAACTATAAGAAAAAAAGAAATGAACCTGGCAGGTACGGTCTGATTTTCCGATTCCACATTGTGCACAAATGGCTCCTGCTGCAGATGGATCAGTTTGCCTTCTCTTTTGACAGTCACCAAAGGAAATCCTTTCTGGAGAATCCAGGTCTTCATGATTTTTTTGATATCGACACGGGTGTCATTTATCACCTAGGAAAGCACAGGAAAAATCAACTTTTGAGGAAGAATATATTATGGGATACCTTCAACAGCTGCCTAATCAATTCAATCAACAAGGACCCTTGTGAAACCAGGGTTTTAAGTAGTTAAACAGAATTGTAACTGCCAAGTTTATCAGTGATAGTTCCTTTTTTTTTTTTAAGAAGAGAAAAGTCCAGGAACTGAACTCTACCTTCCTATTTCCACACTGCTTCAGCTATGCAGTGGAAGCGTTTGAGAAAAGCAAGAAACAGAGAAAAAGTCAAAGCACTAAACTGCAGGTCATCTTTAGGTCTCTTTGCCCTTCTGAGAGACAACAGAAAAGATCCATGGATCTTGGGTCACAACACAGTAAACTTCCCATTTAAGAGTTGAAATTTTAATTTCAGAAAATTATATTTGGGGTGTGGCTCAGTTTTCTAGAGAGAGGCCTGTCTTAGGAAGGCCTAAGCTACCTCTTCATGAGGAAAACAAGCAGGATGAAAGGGGGAAGTTGTTTGAAGGCCACAGGCTGCTTCTTGGTTGTTGGCCGAAAGCAGAGCGTTACTAATCACTTCTTCTAATCTACTGTCTTTGGGGGGAAACTAAAACAAGCTGGCAATCATTTTCGCAAGAGAGAGGGAGCAAGAAGCTGGGCAGGCTACCTATAGACTTGTGGAAGCCAACAAGAGAGCAAGCAAACATCAACTTTGAAGCCGTTTTAATGCTGTATTTACACCTCTGCTTTCAACTGTGCTCATTCCTGAATGGCTGAACATCCACTGAGCATTTATTATTTATTTATTAAATTTTCATATGCTGCCCTTTATTAAGTTTTCATACCGCCCTTTATCCAAAGACCACAACATAAAACTACAAACACATAATAAGCCCCCTCCCACAGACACATTTTAAATGCCACAGAATGTTTATTGTTATTATTTACTGATTTTCGGAGCGAGGGCTGGCAGGGAATGGGGCAAGTGAGGAAAAGAAAATCCTGCCAAGCCACATTAAGTGATTGGCTTAGACCCAGAGTTCCAAGAGTAAATTCCTCCCACAGATTGGGTCCCTCTTTTCTCCCCCTTACAAGTTAATCAGGGGAACAGTCACCTATATCTAGTAAGAATGGTCTGCCAGACTTATACGGAGCCTCTGGGCTCAATAGCTTGTTCAGCTTCCTATCTGCAAAATGGGAATAATGTTTGACCGCGTTATGTACATGTACACATTTTATTTAAATAAATTTAAACAACACTCTTCAACAATAAACAAGGGTTTTCAGAGAGGCTAACTATTACAATCGAATTAAAAACAATTCATGTATGCAGGCAAAGAAATATTTTTTCTACTGTTGTGTTCACATTCTTGCCTTTTGGCACGTTAAGGTACAAGAGAACCCATGTTTAGAAAAGGTTGACTCTGAAATTGCAGGGTTACTAAAGGATATATATTAATAAACATGCTATTTGCATGTTTGGTTTCATGCTGATTACTGTGGCACTGATAGGGACAGGGCTTGCCCTATGCATAAAAAGCAGAGGTCTGAGAAGTTTCCCAAGTGACCTAAGCTTCCTAAGCATAAATCAGAGCAGCCCCCCCCCCCCATTTGTCCCATCACTTTTCCGGGCAAAACCCGCTGTTTACCGCTGAATCAGAATGTCTATTCACAGAAAAAACCAATGGATGCCTGTTCCGATTCAGCGGGTTTTCCCAGGGGGAAGAGCCGGGACAAGCAGACATGGAGTTCCCAGCAAAATCCATCATGGCACACTTTGCAGAACAATTCAGTGGTGGCCAACCTAAGTAACATCAATAAACCTTTGTTCACTTCCCCTCCCCTAGTCCAAGAGTTTTACCTGATTCATGCTATCCCACAAGTCATCACTTTGGGTGGACCCATAGCTGTGGTCATGCAGATATAACTGAATACTAGCTTGGAAGATATCGCTGTGGAGATAGTTTTTCAACATTGACAAGAGAGAAGCTCCCTGCAAAGAGATAAATAGATCACATACCTATTTGAAATGCAATGGCCATGTTTTCAGTTTCTGTTTACAACAGAGCATAAAGGTAAAGGTAAAGGTACCCCTGCCCGTACGGGCCAGTCGTGTCCAACTCTAGGGTTGTGCGCCCATCTCACTTAAGAGGCCGGGGGCCAGCGCTGTCTGGAGACACTTCTGGGCCACGTGGCCAGCGTGACAAAGCTGCATCTGGCGAGCCAGCGCAGCACACGGAAACGCCGTTTACCTTCCCGCCAGTAAGCGGTCCCTATTTATCTACTTGCACCCAGGGGTACTTTCGAACTGCTAGGTTGGCAGGCGCTGGGACCGAGCAACGGGAGCTCACCCTGCCGCAGGGATTCGAACCGCTGACCTTTTGATCTGCAAGTCCTAGGCACTGAGGCTTTTACCCACAGCGCCACCCGCGTCCCGGTACAACAGAGCATACTTTTTCTTTTTCCTTGCTGAGGAAAAGGTACTTGGGCCACTACATAGATGGCTTTAAAAGAAAATTAGAATGAATTCATGGAGAAAACATCAGTAGCGACCAGCCATGATGGCTATGCACTGCCTTCACAGTTGGAGAAAGTATGCTTCTGAATACTAGATTGTGGAAACTGTAGGAAGGGAGAGCTAAGTAATTGACCACCAGGAGTTGCAGTGGTATTAAGAAACTCCACGTGGTTAAAGCCAGGAATACAGAATGGCTACAGAAGTGGCTGCCACAGGGAGTTATATAATTAGTTTCCACCATGCTTTTGTATGTGTTCCTCCTCTCCCTCTTCCAGATGTCTGCAGGGCCTCAAGATCACAAGCAGCTGGAGATGGCTGAATATAAAGATAAAGGCTCAAAAAGGATAACATGCCCCCAATATTATAACTCCCCTCCCTTCCATATCAACAGCTCGAGATGTGAACGAAACTTCACCTCTGGCCATGCTTACAGATGGGAGGGTAAAAGCTGGTCTCAGCTATTCCTCAAATCTGAACAAGATGTGATCTGGCCACAAATGACTGGGCCTGATTGGAAATAGCAGATGAAAAAGTATCAGTTCACATACATCTGCTTTCTACACATTTATTATGTGAATTTAAACCATTATGTATATCTAGCGAAGTCATCATCTATACAGATACCAATTCCCTTTTATACGTTTACAAATATTCAAGGGTGTGTATGAATAGCCTTTTATTTGCAAATGCCAACCTTGTGAAAAGAAACAGTGTTGCATCTAGTCTTGAAAGAATACACACCTGATTTTATCAAAACTGCATTAAACCTAAGCAAAGAGCTTCTTCTTCGAATCAAAACAGTGTTTACAAAAAGGGGAAACAGAAGTTTGGAAACAAAGAGTTTTATGGTGGATAATTATGAGAATTAACTGAAAACAGGAACTAGTAAAATTCAATCTAAATATTTATAAATGATGGCTTAGTGTAGATGTCATCCTTTTAACCACAGTTAAAGAATTGAGGGGGGGGCAGAGAGATTTGTGGCCTCCCTCCCTCTCTCATTTAAGGCTACCCCTGCATCACATTCTGAAAATGCATACAGAGTGTAAGGACAGCAAGTCTATGAAGTGCATCTGATCTTCTAGCCGTGTCTTAAAATGCTCAGAAACAATGGATTGATATTTCAGTGCAAACGCATGTGAGAAACAACATTCCGTTTCCCCCCCTCCACTGAGGAAAGGGAACATTTCTAACCAATTCTTGTTGAGCTAAAATTTCTGATTAAAAATTGCTCATGTTGGTGTGAAAGGTTTCCATTATATGGTCCTCTCGCCCTGCAAACCCTTCCCCCCACCTTTCAGGGCCTGACCTGCTGCTGCCCACGTCAGGAATGTGATTTGAAACATATTTGTGCGGACTTTTCAAGCGCATTTAATTTTATTAGAAGCACATTTGCCAGTACTTTTGAAGTTACCTTGATATAGGAGACGGCATCAAACATTTGCTCGATCTCCTCTGACGAATGGACGGCAAGGGAGATGGGATGAGATGAATTCATGGAATCTTTCTCCATTGTCTTGAATTGCAGATTTGGAAAAGAGTAATCCTGAAAAACAGGAAAAAGTTTAAGTGAACTCAAGTAGATACTAACATGAGGAATTTGACCAGTCTGTAAGTACTGTTATGAGAACTGGAGATCTGGAGAAATAGTTATCTTGTACACAGTCCCTTCTAGATACTGGGGTGCCTTTGAAGATTTACAACTGGCCCTGTCCAACAGTCCATCTAGTTCAGCAGTCTGTTCTAACAGTGGACAACTTGATACCCACGGAAAACTGCAAGCAGGGCCTGAATGCAACAGCACCCGCCACCAAGTCACACCAACAATGCAGTTCTGAATGCAATAACCAGGAAGCAAGCTCCCCTGAACACAATGGGATTTATTTCCAAGTGTGCTGAAACTTGCTTTCCAGCATATGATGCATAAGATTGAAATACTGAGCCAGAACAATATTGAACAAGGTGTTAGCAATAAAGAGTTAGATTAGCAGTATGAGGACTATAGCTGATTTGGATTTTAGATTATGTACTTCAATTATAAGATATGGACTATATTTTATGTTTCCACTTTACTGAATGAAACAAGTAAGCTATGAAATGCCATAGGGCTGTCTATTATAATTCATTCTACACTCAGATTTCTACATAAACTGTTAGGGCCTGTTCCTCAATGCACCGTCCATTGGCAAACACTTCAGATGCAGAGGCCTGTACACAATGTCCAGGTTCAACCCCAGGTGACCATTCGTTTCAAAAGATTAGGAGAGCAGAAAAGGTCAAGTTGGTAAGTTTTACATTGCCCACAAAGAAAATGTACATTCTTTAAAGCAATCTGGCACCACCAAGTGGTGAAGTTTTATTTCTTAAGGGACCAATGTGTGCAGTTTTTTCCAAGCGATTCTTGACTTGTTTATAAGCCTGTAAAAACTGGGGTCGGGAAACTATTTTATCCCAAGGCCCAGATTCAAACTTTACCAACACTTCAGGGGTGTATGTACCAAGGGTAGGCAAGAAAAATGAGCTGGGGAAAACAAAAATGCATGTGCCCCTATTCCTCTCTCTTATTGTCACCACCATATAAGCACCGGATGCAGACATACAACACTCTCTTCTCAACCAGTCCCACACTTGTGCTCACATTCTCATACTCCAGGTGTGTATTATGGAAGTTGCCTTCGATGGGTTAGGCCCTAAAAAGGAGCCTAAATACACTTTTAAAAATAATCCTGGAGTTGGAAGGGACCTCAAGGGTCATCTAGTCCAACCCCCCACAATGCAGGAATCATTTGCCCAATGTGGGTCTCGAACCCTCAACCCTGAGATTAAGAGTCTCATGCTCTACCAACTGAGATATCCAATAATATCTCTCTCTCTCTCTCTCTCTCTCTCTCTCTCTCTGTGTGTGTGTGTGTGCATATGTGTTGAATTCCATATATATGTTAAACTCCACCATGGCTAGAATTTTACTACAAGTGCTTCAAAAGCAAGGATTTTTCTTTTCTTCAAACAATAGAACTCCTAAAAACAAAACCTTGGGCCAGTCACACTTCTCTCTGAAGTCTCTCAGCCTCACTCACCTCACAGAGTGTTTGTTGTGGTGGAGGAAGGGAAAGGAGAATGTTAGCCGCTTTGATACTCCTTCAGGTAGTGATAAAGCAGGATATCAAATCCAAACTCTTAGTATAACTACGAAGTCTGAGACCAAAGCGGATTATGCCAAGTTAAAAAAAACTTTGTACACACCCGTTCACTGCACTTACAGTATATAATTCTGGGAAGACTTTCTCCAAGGCAAAATTTTCCATAAAAGTGGCAAATCCTTCATTCAGCCACAGGTCGTTCCACCATTCCATAGTTACCAGATTGCCAAACCACTAAGGATGCAAAAGAAATACATATTCCCATTATTAGATAACATGCCCAAAGATGAATCCACGGATTATGTATAAGAATAAAAATTTTAAGGAGCGTTCAAGGAGCTATGCAAGATAGATAGGAAGGTTTCATATTTGGAAACAAACCGTCTTCATCAATCATCTTCATCAACAGGAAGCAGTAAAACAGCCCATACTGCTTTGACACGTGGGGCTACATGCATTTTCTCAACTCAGGAAAACCACATTACAGCTGCATAGATGTTTATACTGGCAGCTTATCGTGCATGAATGTGAAACAAACATTTCAGTGGGGCATGCTGCTGCAAATTGGCCTAATCACCCAGTTAACCCAAAACACAAATCTGAATGTAAATAAATATTGTATATACATATTTTTAAAATTGCTCATTTAATTGTTTTAATTTAAACTGCAAGAGTGCTTGTGAACAGAAATTTTACATCCCCCCCCCAGGGTGGATTTGGTTTAAATCAAATTGATTTAAATCATGATTTAAATCACTAGTCAGGAAGACTTGATTTAAATCATTTTTTTACTGAAAGACTCATTCTTGCTGGTATAATCTTAATATTTACAACCAGATGAAGGTTTCATTTTTGGAATAATAAATTTTCAGAGTAGTTTTTACAGTTATATCAAAAATTGCTGATTTGGTTATACTATTAGAAATACATAGACAGATAATTATGAAATTATTGAGAAGTTTAATAAGTTAACTGTTTATATTTGGACAACTTTTCTGCTGTACTTTATTGGAAGGAGAAAAATAACCATTTCCTTAATAACAATTTAAACAATTTATTTAACTAAAACAATAACATTATAGCATATGTATCCATGTTTGTTAACTGATGTGGTTAAACGATTTTTAAAAAAAAAACCAGACTGAGTTTTAGGACACATGAAAAACTTAAAACAAATCCTTATTTCCTGATGAATAGCCTTTGGACTATAATGTAACTTAAATAGAAAACTATCTTTAAAAAGATTTTTCCTCCAAAAGCATTTTATTTTAAAAACAAAAAAATCTGATTTTTTATCCACCCTGCCCCCCAACCACCACTTGGCAATTGCAGATAATGCACATCAGCAGTTCATATCGCATCATGCTTTTCCATTGCTCCTAGTACAAAGTTACAGCGTGTAATCAAATTAGTTTTTTTTAAAAAAATCTAGCTTGCAGTTGCTCTGTCTTCCTTATATGCTGTCTGGACAAATTTGCAGCGTGAGAAAATGTAATTACTCTAGGCTGTCTCAAAAGCACTGCTCCATCACGAGTGCACAGACACAGTAATTTTCATTTGAGGCAGGGGGAGGGGAGAGAGAAACTACTTCCTATTAGCGGTGCAAAAGATGCAGCCTAATTATCTTAGCAGAAATTGAGAAAAGGCAAGCTTTCTTGTAAGCAGCATGAATCAGAACTGCAATGGTTTTTTTTTTTAAAAAAAGAGGAAATCCTGCAGTACAGGAAGAAATTGGGAGATCCTTCATACCTGGTGTGCCAGCTCATGAGCAATCACTCTTGTTACTCTCTTTTTATCCATGGCTGAAGATGTCGTGTCCTCGTGAAGGAGTGTTGTCTCTCGAAAAGTGATCAAACCCCAGTTTTCCATTGCTCCAGCCTCAAAGTCAGGAAGAGCTACCAAGTCTAGATGAAGAACAAGGCACCAGTTTTTAAATAAACCAGTACTAAAATGAAAACAAAACTTACCAAGTTTAATTATAATTAAAAAAACCTAGTCAAACACACTAAACTTCAAGTGCATAGAACATGTCCATGTTCCATGCTCAACATCGTGGCGCCACTTGCAAACCTATGCCCATTTTGTTTATACATGGCATATCTCAAATCTCAATGAACATAGGAAACATGCACTTTCTCGGACAACGTAACAAGGACTCCACTTAGTTTTAGTTATGTAATTAATTATTTCCCCATGTTACAGTGATTAATTCTCCTCTACTTTTATACTGTTAAAAACCAGGTGAAAAACAAACTCATAAGAATATATGAGCAACAGATGCAAGCTCACAAGAATATAAAGCATCTCACCTAATTTTTGAAGCGGGTATGTTATATTAAAATACTTCTGATAAAACTTGAGGAGCTCCACTGCTGTGTCTAAGGCATATTCAGTATGGTTCAACTTTTGTGGCACAGAATAGACAGATACCTATCACAGTGGAAGAAAGGAAAGGGGTGGGGGTGGGGAGAGAGAATATGAAACTGAAAATCCCACGAGACGCATATGCTTCACTGATAGTTTTTAGGTGAGAAAACTGCTCTTATGAACACAGTTTTAGTAAAACAGTTGGCAAAGGCAGCATTTGCAAGGAAGCTCAAAGAACCGACTTCTTTGTTTTATGGCTGAGAACCACCTTAGCACTTTCTTGTTAAACAAGGCAATAAAATGGAATGCAAACAACATTGGGACATTTCCAAAGAGTTCCGCAGTTCTGAACAGCTTCTACTGTGTAAATACAACCTTGTTCATGTTTTAGCTTTATGCTACTTTCTGAGTAACTCCACCAGCAACACTGGTGGCTCATGGTCAGAGGGAGAGAGGGGGGAGGCAGCGGCATCCTCCCAGTGGTTGTACTGGGTTTACTGGGACAGGGATGTGGCTGTGTATCCTTGGGGATTTGGTTGTGGCTGCCCCACAGGTGTGCCCACCCCCTGGATGGAGGCTGTGTATCCTTGGGGAACCTTTGATTTTGTTGTGGCTGCCCCACAGGTGTGCACCCCCTGGATGGAGACTGCCCTCCTAGAGGACCCCTGACCTCATCCCCATCATCTTCTCAATGAGCCCAGGTGGGTGCATGTGCTTCTACCACACACACCCCCATGAGCCACCACTAACTACCACCAGAAGTGGTTATTATTCCAGAGATTAAAAAGAGAGAATATGAGGGAAATTAAAAGCTGCCTTCACAATTGGCAGCAGCAACCTCTGTGGTAAGGAAGAGTCGCCTTCCTAACACTAGCATCACAACAGCTTACATGGATAGGGCTGAGGCAAGGCAAAGCAGTGGAGAGGCCTGCACTGCATGTGTGGACCAAGTAGAGACCAGGGTACCTGCGCAGCCCTGACCTTGCTGCCTCCCTGCCTCCCAGATACGCTGCAGTGAAGCAGGTGTCAGGAGTGCAGCTCCATGACTATGCTATACCCCATAGGCTGCTACTACCAACTGAGACTCTACAGAGCTAAATATGAGTTTACGGCTCCGACACACAAAACTTCATATTTGGGTCAGAAGCGGGTTTGTGGCCACACCCAGGAAAAACAACCCAAGGAAGAAGCTACCCTTCCTTCTGCAAGGTTATTTGTAATACCACTGCCCCACCTGCGGCAGTTCACAAATATACACCTATGTGGCTTATTTGGTTTAGCTGAACTTTGAGATTCCTTCATAGTAATTTGAAACAAGCAAGCAGCAGCAGCAGAGCTGGCTGGTTCTGGTGGGTCTAGGCCAGAAAACCACAACCTACTTCAGACAGTGTATGCTGGCACAAGGGAGGGGACACAGCTTTCTTCAATTCACACAAAGGGCACTTCCTGAAAAATTCTGAGAACGAAAAAGCTTACGCTCAAGAGCTAAAGGAACACATACCTGAATCCCATTTGTTTCCTTAGTGCGATTTGCCAAGTTTCCAACGATGATCGCTACTAGGTAAGTGCTCATTTTCACACTTGGGTAGAACTCATCTTGAACCAATCCATCTGCCAGAGATTTGGTTGCTTTCTGGAAACACAAACAAAATGTAAGTGTTTAATAGAAACCTAGAGGCCCTGGGGCAAGAGTAAAGCTCAAAGATGCCTACCCTGTGTTGACACAGTAAAAAAATAGAGTGATGCAAAATATATACAGGCTAGAACTGGAATTAATATGCAAAATGTTAAGTGTTGCATATCGATATTTCCCTAGGCCTGCACTGCCCAGTGGTTTGCAATTAGTATTATGATGACTGAAACTAAATAGTTGGCAACATGTTTTATGAAAAACTTCACCCCCCACCCCAGGTAAGGCACCCTTTTTTCTGTCGGTTCCATGAAAAGTAGTTGAAAGAGGGGAGAAATGTTCACCTGAAGAGTTAGGACACTCTCTCAGTTTTGGCTCTGTAGTGATGTCACACAATTAATTTAGCTCTGTAATATCACCACAAAGTCAATTCAAACAGAAGGAAATGCTTCCTGAGCTCAGACTGATGTGGTTTCATAATATCCTTAAGTCAAACCTGAATAGCTTCATGGTGACATGACATTACACTCCTTGTATGACCTCTGCTGCCTCAGCAAGCTGCTCTTATTTTTTAAGAAAAACTGTGCCGAAGCTGCAGAATGGACAAAGAAGCAGTGGCAAACAGGCCGTGAATAGCTTGCAAAAGAGATAAAAAGATAAGCAAAGGATTAGGGAAAACTCATACGCGCTCAACTCCCACTTTTGCCCCTATAATTTTGATGCAGCAGTCCTATCACCACACATACATAGAATGAGGCTAAACTATTGATACACACAGACATTATATCTAACAGACTAAAACAAATATGATGAATCCCGGATTTATATCTCATCAGTTGGGCCTCCCTAGAAGACACACTGCAGAGATATCCTATCTGTGGATTGCTTCTCAAACCACATTTTTTAAATGTCTGGCCAGAACCAGAAGACAAAAAACTTATGGCTTTGGTATAGGGTATATAGAGAACACCAACACCACGCGGGTGGTGCTGTGGTCTAAACCACAGAGCCTAGGGCTTGCCGATCAGAAGGTTGGCAGTTCGAATCCCCGTGATGGGGTGAGCTCTCGTTGCTCGGTCCCTGCTCCTGCCACCCTAGCAGTTCGAAAGCACATCAAGTAGATAAATAGGTACTGCTCTGACTGGAAGGTAAACGGCGTTTCCGTGAGTGCTCTGGTTTGCCAGAAGCAGCTTAGTCATGCCGCCCACATGACCCAGAAGCTGTACACCAGCTCCCTCAGCCAATAAAGCGAGATGAGCGCCGCAACCCCAGAGTCGTCCACAACTGGACCCAACGGTCAGGGGGTCCCTTTACCTTTTATATAGAGAGCACCAACACCTGTCTGAGATTTAACTGACTTGTTGATTGCTATGGCTGAGTCCCGTTCCCTGTTCCATCAATTTCATAGATGCTTCCTCCCCAACTCCATTTGTCTCAAGCAGGGGTAGAGAACCTATAGCTCTTCAGATGTTGCTGGACAGGCTAGGGCTGATAGGAATTGGGTGTCCAACATCATCTTGCTGCCACAGGTTCTTCACCTTCTGGGTCTCCTGGATCTTAAAGAACATGGGCAAAATGGTGCTGCCATGCTTTTCCATTTCACCCCAACCAGCACCATAAATAGCAGCCAAGTAACTATACACAGCTACCATAACAGCACAGAGAACCAAGTACCACATTTCCCAGTTGGAAAATCATAGACCTTACTGCGTTTAACCTTCCAATGGAAAGTGAAGGGGTTACCAAATGCAACACCAGTTTCTGGGAGCAAGCAGGAGAAGGCAATTGCCTTCATAAACTGCTTGTGGACTTCAGAGGCATCCAGCTGGCCTTTGTGGGAAACAGGACTTTTTGTATGGCTCTTTTGTTTCCAAGTTCCCTATAGCCACACAATGCCAACATATTCACATTTTTCCGCATCATAAAAGCAAAGGCAAAGCACAGAATGCCATTTCATGTGATGAACTAAACAGCTTTTTTGTGCCAACAACCATGAGCACATTATTAAGAATGTAAGAGCAAAGTCCCATCTAGTCGGGCATTCTGTTTCCATAGTGGGCAATGAGATGCTTATGGGAATACCACACAGAAAACACAAAGGTGTTCTCCAGCTTGCGATTAGCAGCCACTAGTATTCTGATGCATATATTATATACCAGTGGCTTGAAGCCTTTTTCAGCTTGTGAAACAGATCCTCTGATAGACAGCATTCTGGGGCTGCAGGTAGGTCGGCCACAGACAAACATGGACAGGACAGTGGTTCCAACTCTTAACTTTCTACAGTAGGGCTACATTACAACCATGCAACAGTCAGAGGTCTCTCTCTCTCTCTCTCTCTCTCTCTCTCACACAGACACACACACACACACCCCTCCCTCTCCATACAGGTGAGTAAGAGGCATCACCACAGTTCAAGGTCACATTCCAGCCAGGTTTAAAGCGCTTAAGGAGCAGAGGTCATTAAGCAGGGAATGACCTCAGGATAATTCCAAGGGTGGGAAGAGAGGCATTGAGGGCCACCTTCAGCCAGAGGTGCCCATGCTATATATCCAGTGGAGCATAGCAGCATAGGTACCCATCTCCCACGAACAAGAATATGGCAGGATTTTACCTTTGGCATGTTTGACAAAGCAGAATGCTGATTATCTCTCTTGACAGAGACTTGGAAAGTGGCTTTGAATGCTGGTTCATCAAAGCACGGAAAAGCTGACCTTGCTGACAAGGGTTCAAACTGGGTTGCTGCAAGCCACCTGATGAAAAACAAAAGAAAATCCATTATCTATGGATCTATTATCTATTATATTTATTACTTCATAATTGAATATGAATCTTAAAAATAGTTTCTCAGGCCACCTGTAAACAAGCTCTAAGGAGTTGTCTACCACTGTACCTTTTAGGTTCCTTATACTAGCCCTAGCTTAATGTACCTTGCAAAAGATCTGCTGTATCCTAACGGATTAAGCTACACAAAGATCTGGCTTTGAAACAAAAATTCTAGATTGAATTCTAGAATTTGGTTTTGATCAAGGCTTGATAACAAAAACCAAACTTAGTTTACAGTCTATATATATGCCTGCATTCTACCTAAAGGAACAAAAACTAGTGGAGAGGATGAACACTTTCCTTTTCACTCCTGAAGAACACTTTAGCAGGTTTAATTCCCAGACACAAAGGCACAGTCAACAACTGCAACATCAAAAGATTACAAAATAAGTTTTCCTTGTTCAGAATGCTTGAACTTTTCAACACATACTTAACATTTTATGGAGTGCCTTGAATATTCAAAACACTTTGCATACACTCTCAGTAATTCTTAGAGCAATCCAGTTAAGGAAAGCAATGTTATCATCTCCATGTTGCACATGGTCTAAAATTGAATGTATCTTGCCCAAATCTATCTACTAGGTTTATGGCAACAAAGAGATTTGAACCAGGTTTATAATTTCATCTTGGGCACTACACTGCATGTAGATCACTTGAAAAAATTCAAGGAGGAGGTGGCAGGTTCCTTAAATTATGAGTGAGAATTCTGTGAGCTTCCAGATACTGCTGTACTTCAACTCCCATAATGTATTACAAATAAGGTAGAAATACATTATTTCCCAACTTTACCTTTTTGTTGAATTTCTGTTGTCATTGTTATAAGCGATTCGGTAAAAGCCAGAGTAACTTTCTGATAAATTAGAGGAATACTCCATGTTGATGTTATATTGTTGTCCTACAAGGAGAGCCTCGGGGGCAAAAATTGCAATCTGGTCATTCAGTGGATATTCCCGAAGCTCGGCTTGCTTTGGCTGGCTTGAGCCTGATGAAGAAAGAGTTACCTTGGTAATATTAAGTTTTGAGCTGTGAAGAATGATATGCCAGGTCACCTGGAGGACTTTCACAGTTATCTGGACTGAACCCCAAAACTTCATAGTGGTTAAGTTTGGCTGCAAGACAATATCATAACGTACTGGCACAACAGCACCTGGTAGCCTGAAATTTGCCCATGGAAAGGGCTTTCCGTTTGTTGCCAAAGGATATATATCGTCCATTGTGTGGTTTTGCTTATGACAGCCTTCTTTGGTAAAGGTACATTTGGGAAGAAGGTAGATTGCCATTATTACGGAGACAGCAATCACAAGAACAACAGCACAAATCACTGTGGTCCTTACAGATGGTGCAGAACATGATCCATCTGAACTCTGCCTGTAGCCCACTGTGTTACCACGCAGGCCTGTGCTTCTATTCATAAAAGACATTCCCAGAAGTTTGGCTGATGATTCATAGTCCTCTTCATCCTCATCCATTTCGTGATCTCCAAGACCACGGACAAGGAGCCGAGAACTCCTTGGCTCATACTCCACTTCGTCAGGCTCCAAGGGATGCAAGCAAGGCTCTTTAGCCAGGTCAACCACATCAGGTTCTTCTTCAAACATGCTGTTTTCAATCATATTCCTAGGTAAGGGAATTCGATCTGAAACACAAATGAAGCTTATCAGCTGTTTGAATTGTTGGGTGGTTGGGGCTTTGGGGCTTTTCAAGCATAGTTTGCATGTATGTGTCTCTCATTATGGTACCCATGAAGGAACACAGTGGACATGTGTTCATGCAGGGACAACAATGCAGACGATTTAATTAGCAAAAGTTGCTTAACAAGTGGATGAGTCCATTTCTTTGCAGGCTGTAGCCAACAATGTGCCATGACAGTATGGAAATTGGGGCTATCTACTTGGTAAGGGGCTCTTACGCAAGGGGCACCTGAATGAAACTACCAACACCACAATGTGTTCTTACATGAAACCTGTACCACATATAACAGTTTTATGCTACACTTTCACCACCAAACACTGTATCAGAAATGCCTTAATTAAAATGCAATAGATTTAGACTTTTACAAAGAGTATTAATGTAATACTAACTGTTTTAAATCTGGACAAGCAGCAGTTCAGAGCAAGCTATGAAATGGAAATCATGCAATACAGAATAGCCTGTGCTCTGAGCATCTGTGAAAAGATTCCTGCTCAATCTTTTATCGAAAACCTCCAAGGAGGATTAAAGTTCCTCCGTTAGTTCATGCATAAGGATTTTTACCAAGTCAGACCGACAAAGTCAGCATAACACTGGCTTCTATCTGTGACTTTTTCCAGAACAAAACACGCACCACAACTAAATCATTGAGATCATCATCATCATCATCATCATCATGCATTTGGTTAAAGACTTTCCCAAACTATGGTTCACATTTACATTTATTCATCTTTCTTGCCTTTCTATGCTCAAAGGCAATTGAGGCGGCACACAACTTTATAACAACTATGTCATATAAAACCTCACCTGACTTTTTTTTAAAGCAAAGCTTCAATAAAGACCATTTGAGTCCAATAATAAAATTCTCCCCCACCCTACCCTTCAAAGCAAAATCATTAAAAAAGGAAGAAAGCATTAGCAAGCAACATTATGCCAATAACTTGCCAAGTATAACCAGCACTATTTTCATTATTATGCAAATTGTTTTGCTGCAGAAAATTGTACTTCCCAAGCTAGCTGCCTGAAGCTGATCGGAATTGCTTTATTTATTTAACAAAAATTTATACACCGCTTGAATGTAAAACAAACCAAAAGAAAACAAACCTCAAAGCGATGTACAAATGATAAAACAGTAAAACCAAGAAAAAATATTTAAATTGTAGTCCAAAACATATGGAGGACACTAGTTTGGTGAAGGCACAGTACAATTGCTGCTATTATGGTAGCTGTATCACGGATGTTTTCATAGCACTTCTTTCCCCCAACCCATTGGCAATGACTGGTAGAATATTAAGACCCATTTAAAAGATAGTAAAGGGACCCCTGACTGTTAGGTCCAGTCGTGACCGACTCTGGGGTTGTGGCGCTCATCTCGCTTTATTGGCCGAGGGAGCCGGCGTACAGCTTCCAGGTCATGTGGCCAGCATGACTAAGCCACTTCTGGTGAACCAGAGCAGCACACGGAAACGCCGTTTACCTTCCCGCCGGAGCGGTACCTATTTATCTACTTGCACTTTGACGTGCTTTCGAACTGCTAGGTTGGCAGGAGCAGGGACCGAGCAACGGCAGCTCACCCTGTTGCGGAGATTTGAACCGCCGACCTTCTGATCGGCAAGTCCTAGGCTCTGTGGTTTAACCCACAGCGCCACCCGCGTCCCTCCATTTAAAAGATAGTAGGCATTTAAATCAATATTAAAAGCGGTAGGACACTGAGTAGCAAATGCTCACCATACCATCTCTCATCTATGTGCATTAAAGGAGGGGAGAAATGGGGTAGAACATGCATCTAGCTGAAGCAAAAGGGCTATACATTAATTGGTGTCCAAATTTCTATACTTTAGTTAATATTGACCTGTGTTGCATGCGAACAGGGAATCTGATCAGGTTTTTCTAGATCCTTTGTTGCTGTAAGATTCTGTAAATTATAAAAACTGGAGAACTGTGAAATGCCCACATATTTCTGCAGTAACAGCAGCTTCTGAAACTTTACATCTGTTTTAAGAGTTTCTCACCTGGGCTTATTTATAAAGATTTGCAACAAAACCCTTCAGGCAATTTTGGTTCAAGTCCTTTGCAGAGAAAGGTATGCTGAACAACTTGTTCTGCTGAAATACCCGGCAGATGGTTACCTTGCACCAGTTTAAGAGAAACTTTTCATATATTAACTTATGAATATGAACTGGGAGGGGGGGATCAATAGAGACTGTCTGCAACATCAAAACTCCAACTCTGATGTGCCAGAAAGTAAAAGTTACACATGTCATATGTGAATTGAAAGACCACGTCTTTCATATTTAAAGTTAACAAGTTCACTGCTACTCTGTAAGCTGTGTGGTTAAAGCTGTATATTTAATTACATGCAACCCACATTTTCATGGTTCCTGAAAACTGAGAGTAGATGTAAGAAGTTAGTTGCATCCTGTATTGTTGTACCACTTTCGTTTACCTAGAGAACTACCCACAGCTGACATCTGCATAGGCCATGTTTTCCGCATCTTTAGTCTAATGCGCTTTAAAAATAGTTTTCACTATTTCAACATTTTAACCAGTGAAAGGAACAAATGATTACAAATCCTACTCAACTCTTTTCCTCTAAAATGAAAGCATAGCTCTTTCCATCCCTTTCAGGGTCACTTAAAATTATTTACACTGCTCATTGCTCTCGCTAGGAAACAACTCCATGAACATATAGTTAATGGTGGAATTGTGAGGTATTGCAGGAATATAAGGAAGACAGGAGAAGCCATATTATTTCAATGAACTTGGTGATGGAGGGAAGAAATGGGTTATCAATTCCCAAATATAAGTAGCATGTAAACAGCAAGAATTTCAGAAACACTTGACTAAATTCTAAAGAACAAAATTGTTGAGATACGTTGAGCAACACAATCCTTAGGAATTCAACCTAAAAACCTAGCAAGAAGGCAAAGTCAAAAGCCATATCTCATTGAAACAAATGGGACACAGAGGGTACAATCAGAACTTCTCCAAATGCTGCACTTGTCAAAAATCCTCCCCCTCTCTTTATCTTTCCTCTGCACTCAGGAAATCTTAGAAATCAATTTGGAATCCAGGTCTCTTTATAAACTGGACTTCATAAGACTCCAAAGGAAACATGCACACTCCAACTTTTCTGCACGCTTGTCAAATAGGAAACCCAAAACAAAGTTTTTAAGAGGCACACACACAAAAATGGTGCTGAAGGACAAACTGCTTGTTTTCCACAATATCTTCCATTGGTGGTTCCTTTAAGGATTGCACTAGCAGTCTGGCAGCCATTTTTTAATAACATGATGGGGGCCAATCACATGGGTCTTTCCAAAGAATCAACACACACATGCAGCAGACTACCACTTCCATGGTTGGGACCTATGTGATCAACTCCCATCATATGGCTGTGTATTTATAACATTAAACTTAAATTGGTCTTTCGCCCCCTTGGCAACTTAAATCAATTGTTTAAATTAATTCACCCTGTTATTCATGTGTTTCTATAAAAGGTTTAATCAGCAGACTAGAGTCCCCTTTACCCTTGGAGAATTACCTGTTGTTTTCCTGTATGCAATCCATCTCTCTGTCAGTATTTGACTGTAATGTAATAATTGTTTGAATCTGTGGGGGGTATTTTATTCCACCGTAGAGTTATCATATGATTATAGCCTCTCTTCAATAGTGTGGTGCTAATACTAGTACACATCCGGCCGGGTAAGCCAAAACAGAGTAGCATACGAATGTCAGCAGAGCAGATAAGGGTCTTAACAAATGAGATTTGGATTATGGCCTTCTGCATTCTTAACCTGGCTGACCTTAATATTCCATCAGAAAGTGTCAATAGAAATAAAAACTACTAATGGAGTGGAAAATGGCCAAAATGCTATGCTCATTCTCATTCAATCCTATACCAATCCTAGTTTATTTCTAATTCTTTCTTCCAAAGCATCTTTAAAAAAAATAGTACTTAAAATTAGTTTAGTTGCATGCTCTTATCACATCCTTCCAATATACTCATTAAAGCGTAATCAGCTTGCCTGGAAGGGGGAAAGGCTAAGTATAAACACATCCCTAAATCTGATACGACAACCACATAACCAGTGTTAGAAACTGAGATATGAAAACTAGGAGCTAAATGGCACCTTAAACCTAGGTTATGGGCGCAACAATGGAATGTCTAGGCACACTTTTTTATAACAAGAATACAAAGCTGAAAATGAATGAATTGCTGCTAAAATCTTACGTTCATTTTTCACATGGTCTAGATATCTCAAGACTGCAAAAAACAAAGTCATGCGTCCCCTGCCTGCCCCCTTAATATTCTTATGAGGGTCCCTCAAAACGGTGCCTTTCTGTAAGGCCAGCTGAGAGGCAGAACCCATCAGCTTGCCTGATGCTGTGATTTCTTGGAGGTCGAGCAGGCAGGAATTTCTCCTCCCACACCCTCAGTGTTAGGAGTGGAGATTTTAATCTGAAATCTTAGGCACAGTGCTGAGTCCAGAGCTCAGAAATTGCTCGCTTTTTAGCACCTAGAGCAAAATGCGCCTTAGAACAATGGGAGTTTTGAATGCTGCACATAACACTATGTTTTCTGAACATAGTGGTATGAGAAAACACCTGTCATTCTGTAAAAAGAATCAAAGTCTCTTCTACAAGAACGCAAGACAACTTTTACTCCAGTACCTCCATTAAAACCTAATGATTCCTTGACCTACCTTTGACAAATACCTTGTCTTAGCACATTAAACTCTCAATTCCAGAGATGCCAAAGCAAAGCAAAAAATGTTGGAACACCTCAAACTGTTTCTTATGGAAATAGCACACAGTTCAAATAACGGTTAAGGTAAACCAAGAACACAACCACATATGCACATAGACTTAGTCACACTGAAGAAATAAAAGACTTAAATTGAGAACTGAAAACAAGACTATAGAACACAATACATAACCATTATCTCTCGGATCTTTTGGTTACATTGCAGGTGTAATATACAAAGGATATTGCTTTATGGTTTTAAGCTAACCGACTTTAGCCATTCCATTCTCTCAATTTTATCTCTGGCAAATTCAGTTTCGTATGGTGATACTACTGGTGTCAAGTAATAGCTTACTAACAAATAATTTCATCCATTTCTGTGACTGATTGGGTGCTAGCAAACACAATGCACGTTTACAAAAAAGTTATAAGGAATCATGTATTTAAATGGTTTTATGAGTCAGCCAGAAACTAGAGGTTTCTCCTCAGGCCCCTGAGATTCAGTCAACATAACAAGGCAGTAGTGAGAAGATAAATCTTGACTATAGACCAGAATACATTTGCATCTCACTGATAATGATTTTTCTGTCTATACTGCATTTACACTACTTTGTCTTCCGTCTGTTTCTATGATTCTATAGGCAGGGGAAGGAGGAAGAAGCAGGAAGAAAAAGGAGGAAACTCATGTCTGTAGTACAGTAAATGACTTGTGGGGGCAGGTTAATGGAAGGCATTGGTGGGGGATAAGAAGGGGGTGGGGGTGTGAAAGAGAGAGAGAGCACTTCCCCACTGAGATAGGGAAAGTGGTGGTTTAAAAAAAAAAAAAAGGGAGAAGTTTGAGTAAAGCAAAGATGAAAAGACACTGAAAGGAACATGGTGGTTTTAAACAATGGAAGAGGTTTGAATAGAGCCCAGATGGAAGGGCACTGAGATGTGGTGTGTGTTTTTAAGTTTTAACGGGGAGAAATAGCAGAAATGGATACAACACAGATGTAACTGAGTAAGAAAAAAACCCAAACATAATATGTGATTACCCTCTGAAACAGAAATACTTATATTTCCTGTTCTGCCAGAACAAGAGTAAGCTTTGGCAGATCAGATTATGTGTCTCCTTTCCCTATTCAAGTGCTGTGGCTTAGAAGCAAGCAAAGAATTTAAATGCCAATATACTCTGCTACCTGAATGACGCTTGCTATAACATATGAATTCTTTAAAACACAATCATGATTCACAAGGCCTACAGGGCCGAAAGACACCACCTGCACTGTTAGGAGGAAGAAAGATGAGGGAGCAGGAAGGCACAGGCAACATCAGAGCCCGGCTCCTTCCTTCTACCAAACAAATGTTGTATCATTTTAAAAAATCATAGAGTTGGGACCCTGTGTTTTAGTCATTTAAAATTGTAAACTGCCTTGGGTGCCTCGTCAGAAAAGCTATATATAAATGCAACAAAATGAAGAAGAAGAAGAAGAAGAAGAAGAAGAAGAAGAAGAAGAAGAAGAAGCAGCAGCAGCAGCAGCAGCAGCAGCAGCAGCAGCAGCAGCCATCCAACGGAGGGGGTTAATAAGACGCAAGATAAAATATCCCAGGATAAGAGACCATGTGAATTGAACCAAAGTGGCATTGGCCCAGTAGCCCATTTCTTCCTAATCTATATCATTTAAGGAAAAGGATTTTAGGACACTTTGGAGGACATTTGTATGGTCTTACTATAGTATCTCCAGTCTCAGGAAAAGGACCTGCTGCAGGTGCCAGTGGTTAAAAATGCAATAACATGCTCCATAAATGAAACCTTGACATGTCTCAGACGAATGCTTGAGGAACATTCTTATGTACAAGCAACTAAGAACTATACCAAAGCAAAGGAGTACTGTCCGTTCTATCTATCTATCTATCTATCTATCTGTTTTTATATTGTAAACTGCCCTGTGATCCTTAGATGAAGGATCCTATAGAAATGTAATAAATAACAACAACAACAACAACAACAACAACAATAATAATAATAATAATAATAATAGTTACTCACTATACTTTCTCAAAACACTAATCAAAGGCAGGAAACCATTTGTTAGGTGGGGAAAAGGGTTTACTTTTAATCCATCCACCTCTCTCGTCTGCAAATGGCCCCCAGCCCCTTTAAGCAAGTTCCACTCTCTCACTTCCTGCCACAGCAAGTTTTTAAAACCAAAAGCCTTGCCCAGTTAGCGAGAAACAAACAGCCTTGGAGTCACTTAAGGGGAGGTGGGGTTGGTGGGTGGGATGTATCATTAGTCCTTCCCACACCTGGAAGGTCATTAGTCCTTCCCACACTTCAAATGCTCCTGTCCCTAGATCAGAGAAAGTAAGCTGTGCCCTCCAGCTGTTGTTGGACTACAACTCCCATCAGTCCCAGCCAGCATGGCCAAAGGTCAGGATTAATGGGAGTTTAATCCAACCAGAGGGCATCATATTTGCAACATCTGCCTCTGGTTATGCTGGCAAATCCGGATTTGGAATCATGCCTTTATGAAGGTAACATGTTGTCCCATGCATCTCTTATTTCTTGTAATAAACTCTTGTGAGCATTTTGCGCAACGTGCATGAATTCAATTTAAGCAGTACAAAGTTTTACAGACTAAAGCCACACACAAGGCCTCTATATAGGGGGAAATTCCCAGGTTCCAATATTGATTCTGGGTTTTTTTGTTGGTTTGGGGGTCTTTTTTGTATGTGTGTGCTACTGCTTCATAAAGCTTTTTTAAAATGTAGGAAAAGATCACAGAGATTCTTCCATAATTTTAGCATTCTATCTATTTTAAACGGTTTTAAGACATTTTCACACCTGTGAACTGTTACTCTTGCATTCTGCCTAACAAGTTTCCCTGACATCATCAATTTGATGGTGCCAGATAATGTTTGCCACTCCAAACTGTCATGTAGTTTGGAGATTTGAGAGCACCCCTTGCATTTTACAGCTAAATTCTGGCAGGGAATGAAATCTTATACGTGAGAAACAACACAGTTGGTAAAAACAGGAGCGAATCTTATGACACCTTACAGGCAAACAAATGTTTTATGCCATAAGATTTCATGGACTACATTTCACTTCATTAGGTGCATGAAATGTTGTCCTCCTAAGTAAGAACACAATTATCTTCTGACTTCAGTTTACAATCCCCCGCCTCAACTATATGCATATATATACACATGTAACACAGGGCAACACTTCATTCATCTCCTGAAATAAACTAGTCTATGAAACCTCACACCATGTTTATTAAGTCTTGAAGGGAGCCACAAGACTCACTGCCGCAATCATCATGTAAATAGTATGGGAGTAAAACAAACAATTAATTTTGCAGTTACACTGAATGGCTTCAAAGGTTTTAACTTTTTATAACACCCCCCCACAGCTGCTAACAATCCTTGCACTACTCAAGTAGTAGTCTTGGTTCTCCTTTTGTTTAGGCGAGATGTGGATTTTCTCTAAATAGCAGTAACTTTTAAAAAAGGAGATATGCAAGTTTATTAAACAAAAATAATGGTCAATTATTTAGAGTTCATGGGTAGAGAAGGCAATGCTTCTTGTCCCAGACACTGAAGTGGTTCGCTAGGTGTCCCCTCCCCACAACAAGCCCCACTAAAGTCAAGTTTGTCGGCCTACTGAACAACAGTCAGCATGTCTAAAGTTTGTCGCCATCTTCCATCCTAGCATTGAGTCTTTGGGCTGAAAACAAAACCGACACAGCGGGGACATTTGAGCAAACCTGCACATAGTTTGAAGGAGCTTTTGGAAATGGAAAAGTCAATAAACCAAGAGAGCAAGTTACAACAGGTTGGGGAGCGTTTGCCTCATTCAAGATGGGGCTGCTGCCCCAAGGCCAAGGTTGTGGCTGTTCGCAGGTACCCTTCCAAAGAAGGGCTCTTGTCCACACGGACAGGCCACTCCAGCCCCACTGAAAGCTCTTCCTCCCTGGAAGGGTCGCCTAGCTGGGCGCTCCTACTTTTCCAATCCAGAGGCGCTAGTGCGCCTCAGAAGCGCCTCGCCTCAGGCCACGAGGAGGCTTCCTCCCGCCAAACTTTCCTTTCCAGGAGCCTCGGGGGTCGTCCGAGCTCGCTTAGCTCAGAGCTTCAAGTTGCGGGTGGAGGCGAGGCGGAGGGTGGGCGCGCGCGCATGGCTCCTTCACCCCGGCGCTTTCCTTTTGGGGAGGCGACCCCCTGACCTTCAGGCTGCGCGCGGCCTTGCGCGGATGCAGCAAGTCTCCCTTTCCCGGCACAGCCGCCGGGGCGCACGGCCTCTCTCTTGTTGCCGCCTCGGGGCCGGGTGCTTTCTGCCACCCTCGGAGCTCTCCTCCAGCAGCAGCAACAGCATGAGGGGCGAGGAGGAGTCTGGTTACAGCTGGCGAGCCGAAAGGCCAGACAGAGAGACAGAGGGGAGGAAGGAGCTGTCGTACTCACCGTTACTGGGGAAAGGCTCCATTTTCCCGCGAGCAAAAAGCCCAAACAAGGCGGGGTGGCGGGAGGAGGAGAAACACACACGCAAATGAAGAAGAAGAAAGCAGAAACCCGCCGCTGCGGCTCCTCCTCACTCCGCTTCCTCCGCCCCGCAGGGAGACAGCTGCATGTTGCCCGGGCGGCTGCGGCGGCCGGTGCTCAAATCCGCTGCATGCATGCAATAATATCGGTCGACGGCAGGGAAAACAACAGCCCGGATGACGACGAAGGCCAAAAAAAAACAGAAAGAAGAAAAAAAAAGAGGGTCTCCGGCGCTGCTGCGCTTCCCCTTCTTCTCGGCACGGCGGCGTCCCCGGCTAGCTTCGCCTCTCGCACCAACCCCGGCCGACCATTTTCTGCTCCGGGGCTTGTGCAATCCCTCCCCCTGCCTGGGCTGGGCTGCTTCAGACGGAGCAGCGCCTGCCGCCTCGGCTGCAAGAGCAGGCGGTGGGAGAGGAAGCTCGCAGCTTGTCTGGCTAGGCGCCTTGCTCCGCGGCCATCGGCGCCACATCCAGGAGGAGAGGTCGACGCTCCGTTTCGCAGCACTTGCAGTATCTGTTCCTGTAGTTGCGTGTGTGTCGTAGCTGTCAACTTTTCCCTTTTCTTGCGAGGAATCCTATTTGGAATAAGGGAATTTCCTTTAAAAAAAAGGCAAACGTTGACAGCTATGGGGTGTGTGTGTGTGTGTGTGTATTAATCTGGAATAATTCGCCATCGTTGTTTCCTATATGGCCAAGCATTGACTTGCACGCACAGCCCACCCACAACCGGATTAGAATCGGATCCGGCTGCGATCCTAAACCCAATCATAAATCCCACTGAGCCAAGTAGACGTGAGCTCTGAGTAAACACGCTTAGGATCGGGTTGCTAGCCATAAACATGCAGTAAAGACATCCTAGTAGCTACCATTTTCCCAGCCCTTGGTTGTGAGCGCAAGTAATGTCTGTTTTAAGAGATCGGGGGTGGGGGCGAGTTAAATTATTTTGAGTATCCATTTGCGGCTTCTAGGGCTTTCCCCCTCCCATCTTTAACCTTTCCACGTTTCACTGAATCAAACAGGGCGTAAGAATTACCGCGCATACTGTTCCTATTGGGTAAAAATTCTGGCAGGGCTCCTCTGCGTGACAACTGCGTAGCAAGTAGGAATTTGGCAGGCGATGCTTCTCTCCCACATCAACTGATAAATTATCTTCCTCCCACAGGTGGTAAAGGTGGTGTGATATCAGTATCATTTTCGAACTGGAACTTGGTCATTTTGGAGGGAGATAAATGTGAGGATGACCCATAAGGGAAATGACTTACGGTAGTGCAGTAGTTTCATGGTTTGTCACCAAATAGTAACCTGATGCGTGTTGGCCAAGCAGCTTTTAAAAGAAACAAAAACGGCTATGGAAAACCAGCTGGCCATATACTTAGCTAAGATTTGACTATGCATGTTGGACCAATCCACCTCCAACTTAATGTCACGGGCATTGCCAATTAAGATCAATGCAAGCTCTGCCCTCTTCTGTTGAGTCATAGGATCCATTTTTTGGCCAAGACCTATATTTTGGGTTCCCATTTCCCTAGTTCTTTGCCCTGCCCCAATTTTGGCTATTGTTGGTGTGTCTAGATGCACTTGACTACAGCGTCATGGACCCATGAGTTTGATGGATTAAAATGCCGTATCACAGATGACACCCTCCCAGTTGTGTAGGTGTCTGATCTGTGGTAGCCCAAAGCATGTTCTGTGATTGAGACCCCCAGTTCTTGATTCCCCCCACCCCATACATGTTTGGGTTGCTGCTGGTGAGCATTAGTGCGCTTGACCGTGCCATGCACTTGGAGGGGGCTCTGGGCCAGGTGGGATCCAATGCCATCTTGTAGAAGACCCTCACCTGGATGTGCGGGTGCATGATGTGTGGTGGCTCAAAGCGCATTTTGCAGGTGGCACCTCAGTTCCTGATTTGTTATGATCCTAGGATATCATCTTGCATTTTGAGCGTTTCGCAAGCATGGTAATTTGGATTGGTGAAAATTATTGTTGTGTTTGCAGTGGAGAGTCCCCCAAGAAATTGCCCCATGTATAGATGCATTTCAATCACATTTTCCCACAAATCTTACACCTGGAGACAGTTGCCCTATGCCAGAAATATATGCTGTTTCCTTGGCTAAAACTGAGAATCTCATAGATGTGTTAGCCTTGACTACAGGATCTCCCTCATAATTTAGCTACACAACTTTATTAACGCATTCTGTGTTGTTACAGATGCCTGACCCAGTTCCCATTAAAAAAAACAACACCAAACAATTCATACTCTGTCTCAACACAAAACTGTAAGAGGTCTATCATGTCAACTGCCTTATATACTGGTCTTATTACGAAGACCGAGGTTATGTGACCCACAATGGTTATTATATTGTACAGCTTCTGTTTATTTTCCTCAAAAGCTTTTGCAGAAAACTCAATAAGCTGCTGTGCAACTGGCACCTTTTTCCTGTTCATGACAGGATGTTAGAAGCATCTTCATCTGATCTACTGTACCATCCATTTTGAGTGCTCTCTTGCAGTTTCATTGTAGTCTTTGTACTTGGTACAAATTTGGTAATGCATGTGCCCTTGTACTACTGGTTAGGGAAATAAAATGCAAAAATGACATACAAGTTTTTTTAAAAAAGCTAAGTATGTTAATCAGGGAGAAGCCATGCATGGCAAAATCCATGACTGCATACCTTTCTGTAGGGGTCCAGCATTCAGTTAGCAGCCCCACTTTTAACATATCTGGTGGAGAATCTGCTTTCTATGTAGTTCCCCATATCCAGGTTTTCCTGTTCAAGTTGAACAGTCCCTTTCCAAAATAAAAAAATTCCTTTTTTCTTTTTTGTTTTGTTTTGACTACAACAGACCAACACGGCTACCTACCTGTAACTAGTCCCTTTCCACCCACCTCTTTGGGGTGACTTTCCCCCTTTTTCCTTTTTGCTGAAAGGCAAATAGGCACTGTTCTGAATGTGCCTAAGTGTGGTGTGCAACCAAGAATGAAGAGCCAGGCAACATTTTCAAAAGGAAACTTCCGTTTGTTGTAAAGTAAAAAAGGATATGAAAGCATATAAATCACAGTGCAGTTGAGGACTAATTTATGTACAACAGCCTAAGCAGGTGCATTTGATTATCGCCCTAACACATTCATAACTCTAAGTGGAAGAATTTAAGAATTCCATACAAGAAAAAGGAAAAATGGAAGGTTTGGAGTACAACCAAGTGTCATACAAATTCCCAGAGACAGAAATGGGTTGTAAAGATATACTTCTCTTGGCTCAGATTGGGAAACGCCTGGCTGCCGGGTGGATGAAAAGATGTGGAGGAGCTCTTGATTAAAAGCAGGAGTGGGATGCCTCATGCCTGCAAGGTTCATCCATCTGGGATATGTTCCAAACCTGAGGCACCAGGACCTCCTCCAGAACTTTGGGGCCTTCAGTCCAATGAAAGCTGCCTTTGTGAGAGCACCTAGAAAGAGGAACCAGGTGGAGCTCAAAAAGGCTAATTAACATTTCAAAAACAGATTTCCTGGATATGCTTTTACCTCTCACAGATGTGTCTACCTGTGGGAGTGTGCGGGAGTGGTTTTAATGACATCCAAATGAAAGGTGAGAATGTCTCCTTGCTTACCTGAGAAAATGGTAGGGCCCCAAATTTTTATGGCTCTTCTCCTTGCCCCAGGGAAGATGTGCAGCACGACTTGTGCTGACTTAACAATTTTTAGATAAACAACCCTTCATCTACCCTTAGCCTTGTTATGAATGATACATAATGGGGAGAAATTAACCTCTAGCCAGGCAGTGCGCTTTAGCAACAGGCCTGTATCAGGGACTCCTTTTTGAAGTTTGAATATGCCGTCTTGCCTTGCTGTTCTGCTGCAGTTAAAGCCAGGATGCTTGCGTTCATGTCATGTAGCATTCAATGGAGACAAGAGGGCCAGAGCAGGGAGGAGGAAGGCAAAGGGGAATATGTCCTAGACTGCATTATGGCTGATACCCACACCGGTCTCTTGAGGTGAACCAAAATTCTGGTGCCATGGGCAGTCCTCGGGTATGTGTCTGAGGCCTTCTAGCTATCTTCTGCTTCTTGAAGTAGTTGCAGATATCCATAGCTAAAGAAAGAGCAACAGCTCTGCTTCTTTGCTTTCTCTAACAACCTAATACAGGAAAACACTGTACTTTTCCTTTCTACTTTCAACTGATCAATCCTGTAGCAAGTAAGTTTCTGTTTCCCAAGAAAGCGATTTTTGCTACCCATTTCCTGAGAACCATGTCAGCACTTTTTGTTTCTGTTTTTGGCCACTGTCCCCACCTACCTCTCAAAAAGCAGGAGCAGGTCCAGGAACACCCCAAACTCACCACCCGAGGACCACAACACCTCTGTTTATATTGTCATTGTATTTCTAGGGTTTCCAAATCTTGTAACGTTTACAGAAGCAGCATCACTACATCAGAACAAGCAGCATGGAGATGAGCTGTCTGCTCGTCCAGGAAAGCTCTTTTCCAGAAAAGTGCTGTCCTGGCGTGACATCCATCCTCAATAAGAGCGATCTCAGAGATCACTCTAAACCTCAGGATGTGAGTGTGCTTACTACTAAATGTACTACTTTATTGTAATGTAAGTGAACCCTTGACCTTCTCCTGTGGGCTCCCCCATGGATAATACACAGCCATAATGGCTAGTAGCCATTGATAGACTTATCCATGAATCATGATGACTCATGAATCATAACCTTAAGAAGAGCCCTGCTGAATTGGACCAAAGGCCCATCTAGTCCAGCATCCTGTTCTCACAATGCCCAACCAGATGTCCATGTGAAGCCTGCAACCAGGACACAACAGTACAGTCGTACCTCAAATCCCGAACGCCCTGGAACTCAGACGTTTTAGCTCCCAAACGCCGCAAACCCAGAAGTGATTGTTCCAGTTTGCAAATGTTCTTTTGGAACCCACAACGTCTGATGGGACTTATGATGGGCAGCAGGAGCTTCCTGCAGCCTATCAGAAGCCGCAATTTGGTTTTCAAAAATTTTGGAAGTTGAATGGAGTTCCGGAACAGATTCCATTCAACTTCCAAGGTATGGTTGTACTCTCCCCATTTGTGTCCCATCAACTGAGAATCAATGGTCATTCTTTTATAAGAGCTGTTTAACTGGATCACAAGAAATGAGCAAGAAAATGGCCAGTCCAGTGTAGTAACGTGAGGCTGCTTAAAAAATCATTGTAAACAATTAAAATTATGGTTTTACTGAAGATTTAATAGAATTGGATTAACAGAGAAGAGGCAAGAGAAAAAGTTAACATGAGGAACTACAAAAGGGGAGGAGGGAAGTCAAAGGGAACTTATGGAAATTGTCTTAGTTTAGGATTGTAAACCTGAAAATCTAAATAATTTTTTTAAAAAGAATGAGATGATACACACCAGAAGTGGTTAATTGATACCAAATTAGTTCGGTGCTGTTGTATCAAACCTTGTATTATCAGCTGCCAGTTTTTAACTCTAAATTTCTTCAGTACCCCAAGATCACCAGCGACAGACATGGAAACTTTTTATGTAGGGTATAACGTGTAACTCATATTAATGGTAAAAAATATACACAGTGAAACCATGGGCGTAGCTAGAATTTATTTTAGGGTGGGCAGGCTTTATGTTGTGGAGACAGAACCAAGTCATCTGTAATGCAATTGGTCAGTTAGTTAAGCGTTTTTATTTATTTACTTCATTTAGGAGAGGCAGTTGCTCCCCTTGCAACCCCATGGCTATGCCCATGAGTGAAACAAGCATCTGTAGTACTAGCATAGTAGAAGAACAAACATTGCAAGGAAGGCAAACAATTTCACCAAGAAGATAGTTAACACAAATACAATAGATAACTAGTTTCACAGTGATCTTGTTTGCTTTACAAACAGGTGAAGATAGCATATTGTGCCGGGGATCCAAAGTCCTTCATGCAGAAACAGGAAGCATGTCACACATACCTGGGGGCAGAAGCAGTATTGTGCTTCACAGGGTGATCCTCTGGTGCCCTCCTGACTAGAACAGGCTATGAAGGGCTTCTAATAGATAAAGGAAGTTGAAGAGAGCTACTGCCATGAGCAAGTTAGAACAGCAAGCATGGCACTTTGGATATCAGCCTTAAGAAAGTCACAAAAGTTTTACCTGTAGCTAAATATTTGGAAGTAACTAATGATGATTACTTCTTCATTTATAGCTTCAGGACTGATTTGGGGGATTTTGAGCTTTCGTGGCACTTTGCAGAAATACTTTGGTCTTGGTTTGGCATTTAGCAATCCAGGAAAGGCAACTGCCGGTTCCAGACACCACCATCCCATCCATGCTTGCAGGATGTTAGAGCAAACAGGATTTTGTTCTTCTCTGGGCTGCCCTATCACGTGTGTAGATAATTCTGCCCTGCTTGAACAGAACACGGAGATGTTAATAGATGTGACGAAAAGCCACAACATCGGAGATTGAGGAGGAAGGAGAAATATTATTCCTATCAAAATAATCTATACATTTCAGTCTGTAAACCAACTCCATGCTATCTTCACCATTCTGGAGACTGATTTCACAGGACATTCATGCTAATATGTGACCAGATAGCAACCCACAGTGCAGGCTGGACCAATTACTGGTGCAGTTGTGAGGTTAGGGTATACACTATGTCTGGAATGGTGTTAGCACCTGTCAGTGCATCCCAACAATATTGTTCCTGATTTAAATGATTTAAGGAGTACAGCAACCCTTCATCCCATATACAACTCCCAGGAAGCACTACTTTATGTCTGTGCACCAGTGTGCATACAATCACACCATAGCTGTCAAGTGTCCCTTATTTGAAGGGACAGTCCCTTATTTCAGCGCCATGTCCCGCTGCTGTCCCTTATTGATGGATGTCCCTTAAATGTCCCTTAAATAATGTCCCTTAAATTTCAAAGAAAGCAGCTCCTCTCCCTCCCTCCCTGCCGGCCAGGGAGGAGGGAGGCTCCAACTGTGTTGCTTGGCTGTGTTGCTCACCCAATAAGAAGTCTAAGAACGACTGCGGGGTGGAGCTTGAATGCCTTGTGTGTGGCTAGTTAATGCAAGCTGAGGGGGGTTTTGAATGCTGGACGCCATTTTGTTGCATGTGCTGCTGCAAACTTTGCAGTGCAAAGCCAGGCCGGGGAGCCATCGTAAGTTGAGGCTGCATGGGCCTTGTGGTGCATGTGATTCAGATTCTATTCAGTTGAACCTCTGGTTACAAAGTTGGTTGGACAGTGTTCTCGAAGCTACCAGCATGAGTTTGACCAGACTGTAGGAGGACAGGAAGACTGGAGTGCCTGGAACAGGTGAGCCTGCAGGTCCCTTATTTTGGCTGCTGGTCCCTTATTTTCAAGGCTGCTGGTCCCTTATTTTCAAATCTGTAAGTTGACCACTATGAATCACACTCTTTCTTGACATTATATTTCCTCTAGTTACACTGACTGTAACAGTATCCCTACTAAGCAGTGACAAAATGGATTATTTAAAACCCATGAGGGATTTTAGGATGACAGGACAGATAAAATTTTAACACCAAATATTTTATGAAGGCTAAACATTGTGGAATAAAGCAGAGAGAAATTGTCACTTGCTGCAAATCTGCATGCTAACGTTACCAACTGGTAGCAAAACCAGGAAGCAGTTTTTGTAAATATATGGTTAATGGAAATTTAACTGTTACCTATTTAGTGGCCCAATTTATATATGCAGCAGGCTGCAAGGGCAGCAGCTTGTACTGTAGTTCAACCACATGAGCGGAGCATCTTGTGGCAATTTTGTGTAAGTGGCTCCCCACATGGTGTGAGTGGGTATTATTTATCATATTCTGTTTTATAACCATTCCCAAAGTGGCTTACAAAATATGCTTTAAAAAACAACATTTAAGTCTGGCATCAGAAAAAGAACCATCCCAAATATGCATCAGTTTCCAGAACATTTAACCAATCATGTTTTTCCTCGTTGCAAAGTATACGCAAGACATTAGGAAATTAGCACCATTCAAAAATGAACAAATGAAAGAGGAAAAGAGGAGAGGAATTTGAGTGGAGCCTCACAATACATACAAAAATATTTTATGTTGTGCCAGCACTTTCTGTCTGGGAGTGCTCTTTATTTGCATAGTAATAAAATCATGCAAATAATTAAAAACTTACATGATGTTGACTGTCATCTAATAATCATTCATAATGTCCCATACGATTCATCGTTAGGCCCATAGCATCTGTACAGTTCTGCTTCCAACATAAATTTCACTAGATCATTGGAAACTCTTGTAATTTTTAAATAGAAAAGAAATGTCTCTACAGCAGAGGTTTCCAAACTTTTCCTGCTGGTAACACACGTTTTAGATACGGATCATTTCACGACACAGTAATTCAGTTTTACTAACAAACCGCAGGTTAAATTAACCCCTTCCCAGCCCCGGGCACACCTACACACTGCAGATGACAATGTGTCATGACACAGTTTGTAAAGCTCTGATCTACAAGATTATTTAGGTGGTATTTCCTGCCTTCCTCCTGGTTCTTTATTTGGCCTCTGCCAACCAGGAAGTGGAATTCACTAAGGCCCTCCTAGGCAAGGGAGTGCAGCTAAGCTGCTGAAACTCACTCAGCCCTTGTCAGGGAGAGGGAAACACAAGAGTAGGAAAGATTATGTCTGCTGCAAGCACCAGTACAATCCTACAGGAACTGACAGGTAGCCTTGAAAAATGTTGTTCTGAACTGTATAGAACTAAATAGTCATAACAGATTACGGTCATAGTGACAACCACTACATGGCTGCATTCAACAGAGAATTTGGATCATAAGATCCGTGGCTTTTAGAAATTAACAGGATGTAGTTTATGGAGACAACTCTTGACAGTCGACAAATGAGCACAATGTACCTCAGATGATAAAGAGTGCTTCTTTTTGGCGTTCATTTCACAAAGGAGGAAAACAACCACCATGCGTTATAGAAGCACTGGAAAATAAGAGAGAATGAAACTGAAATGGAATTCAACACTGTAGCTTGAAATTCGACTGTAGTCAAAAGTGAGCAAGAAGATCATGGCTAATCCTCAAAAATTGTATTGAAAATATACCCGGTGGTGTTTGATGAAAGGTGGACCAGGCTACTGTTTTTCATGAGTTCTTCTCAGCCATCGAAAATAATGTAAAATATCTGACTAATAGTCAATGTTCAGAATTTACCCTCTTCTCCCCCACTCTACTGCCCTCTGCAGACCAAGAGGAGGCTTCCAATATTAATACTGTGGCAGTAAAAAGCCCTGGCAAATACCGTATTTTTTGCTCTATAAGACTCACTTTTTCCCTCCTAAAAAGTAAGGGGAAATGTGTGTGCGTCTTATGGAGCGAATGCAGGCTGCGCAGCTATCCCAGAAGCCAGAACAGCAAAAGGGATCGCTGCTTTCGCTGCGCAGTGATCCCTCTTGCTGTTCTGGCTTCTGGGATTCAGAATATTTTTTTTCTTGTTTTCCTCCTCCAAAAACTAGGTGCGTCTTATGGTCTGGTGCGTCTGTTTGCAAATAGCTAAATTTACCATCCCAATCCCAAAGAAGGGCATTGCCGAAGAATGCTCCAACTGCCGCACAACTGCACTCATTTCACATGCTAGCAAGGTTATGCTTAAAATTCTACAAGGAAGGCTCAAGCAGTATGTGGACCGAGAACTCCCAGAAATGCAAGCTGGATTTAGAAGAGGCAGAGGAACCAGAGACCAAATTGCAAACATGCGCTGGATTATGGAGAAAGCCAGAGAGTTCCAGAAAGACATCTACTTCTGCTTCATTGACTATGCAAAAGCCTTTGACTGTGTCGACCACAGCAAACTATGGCAAGTTCTTAAAGAAATGGGAGTGCCTGATCACCTCATCTGTCTCCTGAGAAATCTCTATGTGGGACAAGAAGCTACAGTTAGAACTGGATATGGAACAACTGATTGGTTCAAAATTGGGAAAGGAGTACGACAAGGCTGTATATTGTCTCCCTGCTTATTTAACTTATATGCAGAATTCATCATGCAAAAGGCTGGGCTGGATGAATCCCTAGCCAGAATTAAGATTGCCGGAAGAAATATCAACAACCTCAGATATGCAGATGACACAACCTTGATGGCAGAAAGTGAGGAGGAATTAAAGAACCTTTTATTGAGGGTGAAAGAGGAGAGCGCAAAATATGGTCTGAAGCTCAACATCAAAAAAACAAAGATCATGGCCACTGGTCCCATCACCTCCTGGCAAATAGAAGGGAAAGAAATGGAGGCAGTGAGAGATTTTACTTTCTTGGGCTCCATGATCACTGCAGATGCTGACAGCAGCCACAAAATTAAAAGACGCCTGCTTCTTGGGAGAAAAGCAATGACAAACCTAGGCAGCATCTTAAAAAGTAGAGACATCACCTTGCCAACAAAGGTCCATATAGTAAAAGCTATGGTTTTCCCAGTAGTGATGTATGGAAGTGGGAGCTGGACCATAAAGAAGTCTGATCGCTGAAGAATTGATGTTTTTGAATTATGGTGCTGGAGGAGACTCTTGAGAGTCCCATGGACTGCAAGAAGATCAAACCTATCCATTCTTAAGGAAATCAGCCCTGAGTGCTCACTGGAAGGACAGATCGTGAAGCTGAGACTCCAATACTTTGGCCACCTCATGAGAAGAGAAGACTCCCTGGAAAAGACCCTGATGTTGGGAAAGATGGAAGGCACAAGGAGAAGGGGATGACAGAGGATGAGATGGTTGGATAGTGTTCTCGAAGCTACCAGCATGAGTTTGACTAAACTGCGGGAGGCAGTGGAAGATAGAAGTGCCTGGCGTGCTCTGGTCCATGGGGTCACAAAGAGTCGGACACGACTAAACGACTAAACAACAACAACAAAATTTACCATCTACATCATATTTCTGGTGTACAGGCAGGTAATTGGAACTAACAGCTCTTACCAACATAGGCTTCGAAAGCATGATGCTAACAATACAGACCTAAAGCACTTAACCATCTTCAAATAGCTAAAGACCTATCACATGGAAGATGGAGCAAGCTTGTTTTCAGACACTAGGTCCCGAAACAATGGATTCAAGTTACAAGAAAGGTGGTTCCGACGAAACACCAGGAAGAACTTTCTGACCGTAAGAGCTGCTCATCAGGAATGGTCTCACATGGGAGGTGATGGACTCCCCTTCCTTGGTAGTTTTTGAGTTCTGTCATGGATGTTTTAGTTGAGATTCTTGCATTGCATTGGGTTGGACTAGATGACTCTTGGGGTCCCTTCCAATTCTACGACAAACAACATGATCTTGCCTAAAAATATTATCTTGCCCATCCTCAGGTTTTGGAAATCTCAGTACAGACCCACCAATGATTTCCCTGCATCTCTTTTAAACTACATACTAAACTTCTTTGGAGGGACGCGGGTGGCGCTGTGAGTTAAACCACAGAGCCTAGGACTTGCCGATCAGAAAGTCAGTGGTTCGAATCCCCGCGACAGGGTGAGCTTCCGTTGCTCGGTCCCTGCTCCTGCCAACCTAGCAGTTTGAAAGCACATCAAAGTGCAAGTAGATAAATAGGTACTGCTCCGACGGGAAGGTAAACGGCGTTTCTGTGTGCTGCTCTGGTTTGCCAGAAGCGGCTTTGTCATGCTGGCCACATGACCCGGAAGCTGTACACCGGCTCCCTCGGCCAATAAAGCGAGATGAGCGCCGCAACCCCAGAGTCGGCCACGACTGGACCAAATGGTCAGGGGTCCCTTTACCTTCGTTGAAGCTTCGTTGATCATCCAGTTGATAACAACAGGTCAAAGTGTTCCCTACAGCAGCAGTTGGACTTCTTAAGTATGATACTTTGGGATAAACTGTAGACTACAGTCACTTCCCTATTATGTACAAAGTGGCTATAAGCACAGGAACTTCAATGTTCTTAGAAAATCAGAAACCCACATACCCCACTCCCAAGTATTCACATGATCCTTGTTAACTTATTGTGCTTTGCTGGTCTTAACATTTTGCTGTTGTTTGTCTTCATTTATAATGTTTTGAAATTCTGTTTTCTAAAGGTTTCTCTTTTTCAAATTTGGTTTGTACTTTTAAAGTTGCCTTTGCTATGCAAAGCTGACTAATAAATGTTGAATCAATAAAGAAATAGCTGCTGGATAGGGATTGCACCTGCGGGACTTAAAGGGCCGTCAATTCTGTCAGCTTTGACAGCGCCGACCATCTGTTTGAAAGTGCGATGGGGATTAAATACAGGTCCCAGTACTTTGCTCCACTTTCTGACAAGTAAGTGGCATTGTCAGAGCTGGCCATGCTGGCCATCTGTTGGGCAGCTGCACGTGTCTGCAAAACCCAGCATGCTGCTACACACGTCTTTGGATCAGAACCATACCATTTCCAGATTTAAAGTATCCTTTCGGTGGCTTACACATGCTATTATTAATTGCTTAAACCAAGCTATTTCCAGGTTCAAAATGTAGTCTTTAAGTTGCTTAATTCGTTCAGTTAGATGTTTCCCTTAACCCAACACAACAAGCCATTTCCCCAAAGCCTTGGTACGGGGAAATATTTCCCCCAAAATCACCCTAGCAAAGTGTATGGAAGAAGAAGAAAACGCACACCACTCAATTTTCCCAAGTCACACCACACATTAACTAGTTCAACATTTATTATCCTTTGACTCCAGATCGTACATGGGCCCATCCTCAAACTTACTCTCCTGCACTATCAAGTTTAAAATCAGTCTGTTTAACCCATTTTCTGACTATAAGCCATAGAACCTACTGCCCCCACCAATTTCTCATTCTCATGGTGATTTCAGTCAATGGTCTCCCTTCCTTGGAGGTTTATAAGCAGCGTTTGGATGGCCATGTGCCATGGTTGCTTCAGATTCCTGCAGGGGGTTGGAATAGATGACCCTTGGGGTCCCTTCTACAGTTCTATGATCCTTAATGACTGTTGCCCTATAATATTCTGAAACAGCTCCCCCCCCCAAAGCTTCTCTTGAATTCTCACAGTACCAGAGTTCTGAAAAAATAAGCCACACCCAATCCATTTAGAATGTTTTCTAAAAACCATTTTGACAAACTGTTTTCTGAAACTACTGTCACCAAACTTAAAAGGGGCATTCCCCGCCCCCCAGCAGCACTTCTACCAGTATAAGTAGTACAATTTTGTTTTGTTTTGTTTTCCCAAGACAACAGGCCTTCGGGGACATGCTCTGACTTGCTGTATTTTAGTAAAGCATTTGAGTGCTACTGTTCTCGAAGCTACTAACATGAGTTTGACCAAACTGCGGGAGGCAGTGGAAGACACGAGTGCCTGGCATGCTCTGGTCCATGGGGTCACGAAGAATCGGACACGACTAAACAACTGAATGAATGAATGAACTTTATTACGGTCACAGACCAGGATTTAAAAAGGCATATAGATAAAATAGCAGTTAGGAATTTTTGACCGATAATTGTCAGGGCAAATGAGGACAAGGAAACAGGCATAAAACATCCAAATAAAATACAAAATTAAACACAGATAATGGATAAAAAACTAATAATTAAAACAGATAAGAGCTAAAAACCAACAAAGACACGCAGTTAAAACAGCTGCAAGAGCATAAGAACTAAAAGACTCGCAGATAAAACAACTATAAGAGGCTGCAGAGTAGAAGCCTCTTAAATAGAGGACACTCACAACGTTAAAAACTGCTGTGCAAATATGGTTAAAACAGACAATTAAAACAATATACAACACTAAATTTAGAAACAATGTACAACAATAAACTGTCCCAGGGAGTTGACTCAGAATCACCCATGGAACCGTGTTTGGGGCTTTTCATGCCTGACTATTTTGAGTTGGCCGATGGTCTGCGCCTACAGATCTGTAGACAGAATCTGGTGACCATCCAGGTCATCTTCTGATCTTTGCCCAATAGCAAAAGGTCAAATTTTTGCTTTTGCAGGAGGTCGCCGAGCCTTACCAG